AACACACACACCGTTCAAGTCAGGAGTGCGATTCGAAGGTTAGGCCTCAAGAACTTACCTCCCAGATACCTCCCAACGCCGCTATGCCCCTGGGTCCTTTCAAAACATTTATTTATTGGCCCAAAAATAGTGTGTAAAAATAAATTTAACTTATTTCCCCTTTAAACTCCTACAATATCAATTTGAAATCTTTTAGCCATACTTTTAAAAACTTAAATCTTGCGAAATAAAAATGTAAGGTCATTATTATTGCGATCCCTACAAAAAATAATAATAATAATAATAATAAGAAATAAAAAATAATTGTTACTTCATTTGCAGAGAAAAAGAAGATAATTAAACCAATGTCCCTCATGTCTAATAAAATAAATAAAAATTTTTTTCCAGACATTAAGTCAAAGTAAAAGAAAGTGAAGTAAAGTGAAGAAAAATTAAGTTTCCATGTCAATTTGGTTAGCACTTAAAAAATTTCAAGAAAATTATGTAAAATTATTATTTTATGGTTTGAATAGCATGTAATTTATCATAAAAGAAAGGGAAATATTGTTAGTTCACAAAACTTTCTCAATAAATCAAAATAATCTTGTGTTTTTTGGAAGAAAATTTTATGGAAAAATTAGGTGGTTATGGAAAGTGATTTTCCTCAAAATTTTCCTTTTCTTGCTAACCAAATTCCTAAAATGTTTAAAAAATTTATATTTCCTTTCTTTTCTTATCATTTTCATCTAACCAAATGAAGCCTTAAAAATCGTGTCCTTACAAAAAAAATTAGTTAGAATTATATATCAATCTCTATCAACAAGTCTTGGGAGGAGGGCGCAAGCAAGAAAGGGAAATAAGATTTCCTTCTAGCAACAATTTTCCTCCTTGGTCCGGTGAGAAATATACTAATAGAGACTTTCAACCATTTTGTGTACTTATTTCTTTAACTTCATCAAAACCAATAATTTAGTGATAGTTTATCGCCTTTCAAAATACAGGATTGAGAGTTTTAAGTTTACCTAAAAGTATAAAGGTGTATTTCTTATTGAACTTCATCCGTGGGGCCAATTTTTTGATATTAAACACTTTTTACACTATTCATGATGTCAAAATAGAAAGTTGACGGGTCAAGGTTATTTAGGAGCACGTGGGTATGTTTCAAGTCGCTGTTTTCGGATATCTGGCACTGTTTTCATCATCCATGATGAGAATTCTACCCCTAATTTCATGAGTTTTTTTTTTTTTTTTTTTTTTTTTTTTTTACCGATAACACCATCTGATTCATCTCTCATATTTTTTCCATCTGTAATAAAACATTCTGGAAGGATTTTGATAATTTCAATAATTTTGTTTTATCTACTTTCATTTTTGTTGAATCTTTCTTACATGTTAGCTTCCTCATAACTGCATTTGTTTTAAATACTTTGATCGCCCAAAATTTATATTTTAGTGGTTTGAAGGGGAAAATATATATTATTATCACAATGGAAGTTTATTAATTATTATTACTATCGTTATTAATTTAGCGTAGCAGTGTTAATCACAATTCTAACTTGGTTTAGGTGTGCCGAACATCACAGTTTTTATTTCTACAAAGACAAAATTGATTTCATTTTCAACCATTAAATTAAAAAAAATAAGGTACATGTGCAATTTAATTTTATTAAAAATATATTATTATAATATCAGCCTAAAAAACAATACTAATATAATAATTTAATTTATAGATGTCGACGTACTAGACGGCATAGTAAAGTTGAAAACTCAAAAATTTTATCTTTAAAAAAAGAGATTTTAATATTTATCCAAAAAAATTGATAACATGAGAATGACCTGTGACAAGAAATTATATTTTATTATTAAATGAATATTATTGGATAGATTTTAAGTCAAAATTGAAGCCCAATGTATTGTCCCAGTCAATGGTCATGTGGGTCCGTAAAATTAAATGATTATGAGACACGTAGAATCTAGATGTGACATTAGTGAGTCAGCTTCTTTGCATAAACGTTGGTAACTGATAACCTGCGCCGGTTGTTTTGAGCACATCTTATTTAACAACATAAATCAACGGGCGAAATTTTATTTGTCCCCAAATAACTTAAACTAAAAGATGTTATCACATCAATATCTGCGCGCTTTTTTTAACCTTATGCACTTTAATTTTTTAAGTAAAATAAAATAGAATAACATAATTATCCTTCAAGAGTATTCTTATGCTTCACACCTATTTCATAAATTATTTTAAGCCTCACTTCTGATCAATAATTATCTAATTATTGTGAAATAACTTGGCATTTATAATTTTTATGATCAAAATCTTTGGAATGGGTGATTTCAGATTGAAATTTTTGTAACTGTTCGAGTATGATGGAAGCAAAAATAATGTGTGTGTGTGTGTTTATTTTAAATTACACAAAAAAATATATATATTGCTTGGGAAAGGGAAAGAATATTAAAAACTATATATATAGAAAGAAATAAACAGAAAGAAAAATTATATAATATTTATAAAGAGCCGTGAATTTGGTAGGAACAGTACGAACGGAAAGGATAGTTTAGTAATTTTAAGTCAGTAAAACAACTCGAGTGGTGGTTGGGCCACACCAAAAATCGCTTCGGCTTCAAAACCATGGGCCTTATTTTCAGTGGGCACATTTTCAGACGTCAAGAAAAGTGTGAAACGAAGTGCTAACTTTAAACGGTGATAAACACACTTCACTTTTTAATATAAACTTTATTATTATTATCCTTAATTCAATTCATACCAATAAAAAAAAATTAAATATTTTCGGTATTAACCATTAATTAAATATTAGTAATATATAAGTAAAAATACATTTAATTTTTGTATGTCATGTCACTATGTATTAATATTTAATTAGTACGTGATAAAGTGTGTTGTAATTCTTGTATCATTTTTAAAATTATTTTGTTATTCTATAAATTAAGTTTTTTAAAAATAAGATTATAACGTGATTATCGATATTTGATGGATTGAGTTGTACTGTAATTTAATTAGGAGTATGATTTTAACTTTTATACCATTGGATCTAATATTGTGATTTTTTGAACTCTTAAGGATTTTCTTCAAAATCTAAAAGTAATATATGGTTTGATCATCAATTAAATAGAATGGTTGAACTCTACTCTTTAATTATTACAGTATTTTTTATTCCTAGGAGTTAATTATTGAATTGAAATATCAGCATTATCATTTAAGTTTTTGTCCATAAAAATCAAGCAAGGGGTGAATATACATGTATGTATGTGTATATATTTTAACAGCAAAAAAATATATTTTAATTGTTTGTTTACCGATTAATCATTTTTTTTTTCCTGAGAAAAAGGAAATCAGTGGGCTAAGAGTTGTTTAGTGGAATTAATAATCATTAGAGGTGGGGACTCTTTCCTGATATCTTAACACGTATCCAATTGCCGATTAAAGAATATCACCTGATTTTTGTATGTCAATGGGAAATCAACATATCCCTGGATCTCATGTTAAAAAAATAAATTTAACCTTTGAAAATAGATGTAACGTGTTAAAATAATTAAAATATTCTATAACATCACTATCGTACCTAACTCTTTATTTTAGATTCAGAGGCCTTCAATCATACATATACTCCTGTATGTGTATGTGTGTATACGGATTAAAGTCAGAAAATCTTTCTTTTATTTTAAAAAATTATCAACTAACTTCTCAACTAAAGAAACGATTATATTATTTTTGATATTTTAAAAAGTCTATCATATCATTCCCTAAGTCACACGACTCACACAGAGCGAAAGCGAGTGCGAAAGCGAAAACGAGAATGAAAGTGAGAGTGCAAAAGCGTCAAAGTCTAAAATTATTGAAAATGAAAGCGTCTTGAGAGCTTCTGTATATTATGTTTAAATAAAATTATATCAGATCATGACGTATATATTTTATATATTTTTATTTATTTAAATCAATATACAAATATATTGATGATTATTTATTTCATTATAATATATGTAATAAATAAGCTAATTTCTTTTAGTAATAAATGTTTGATTTATTTATAATATTTTCTAATTGAGAAGTTTTTTAATAGTATATTTTTAAATGTGTATAATTAATATATATGGTAGTAGAGCAACGCCATACAGTTAGGGTACACTGAAATTTAAATAATTAATTTATATATTGAGTAATAGTGTAAGTAATAAATACATATATGGTAATATATGTGTTCTATATAAGTGGGAGTCTACCGAATTTAGCTATATAAAGTAAATTCATATGGAAATCACGAATTAGGAAAATAAATTCGCGAATTGCAAAAATTGAATTTGGGAATTTTATACAAATTTACTCCCAAATTGTAAATTGGCGTGCGGAGCTTGAGAGCGGAGCCTCTTCAGAACGAACTGTGTGACTTAGAATTCACTCCCTCCCGTTAGTTTTCCGTCTAAAATTAACATGATTGTATCACGTGCAACAGTTGCATGATTTTGCTGACCAAAATAACTTTATAATTCATAATGACAAAATTATCCTTCTCACACTATAATTTTTTAATAAAATATTAATATACTATCATGGACATTATTATTATTTTACAACAATTGAACGGTTACATCACAAAAAAGGAAGTAACCTAATAATTTTTAGTAATTCGGATGTTTGATAATTGAGGAGTAATATAACGTTTTTTTAAATAAGAGGGGTATTTTATGGGAAGAGGGGTATTTTATGGACTTTAGCCCCACACACACACACACACACACACACATACATATATATATATATATATATAGTGGGTCTCAATCATTGGAGTATGACCTTTGCCAAAAAAAATAAAAAATAGGCAGTGACAAGTGACGTTTTAAAATAAAATTGAAATAGCGTTAAAAAAATAGAAAAAGAATAGAGAAATGATATATGTTGTCATCAGCCAGCCTGTAGTTTACATGTTGAAACCAAACAGTAGGCCAAGTCTGTCCAACCACTCCATCCACCCTCTTATATAAATTGCTGGCAATACCAGCATTAATATATATTGTTGAGAGAAACAATTAGCAAACAGTGAACTGAGAATTGAAACCCTCCCATATCTCCATCATTTCTTAGAATTTCATACCCACAATCAATATATATATATATATACACATATACATATAGTCTTACAGAATGTTGAGCAAGAAATTAAAGCCAGAACTGATGGGGAAGCTCACTGCTGGCGACAACTACAGTATAGATCATTTTGGAGTAGGTATTGTGGCTGCTCTTGAGAAATCACAAGGTGTGAGAAGAAAGGCAGCTGTTTGTGTTCCAAATTTGAATTCATCATCCAACAATTACCATCATCGTAAAAATGGATCAATATGTGGTGATCATCATGACTATGATCATATTAATAGAAACAGAATTAATACTAGTAAGAATAAGAAGCGTGTGCTTGACAGTATGTCTCCGGCACCACAAGATATTAATACGATGAGGCCAATATTTCCGGCCTCTGATTTCCTCAGTTCGTGTCATTTGTGCCGGAAAAAACTCCATGGGAAGGACATTTACATGTACAGGTACTTTTTTTTAAAAAAAAATTTCTATGGATCATTCATTCTTGTGTATCATTTTTCTTTTATTTTTTTCTCTCTACCAGTCTCGAAACGCTGACATGTGACATGACGATGAATTTACAGGGGAGAGAGCGCGTTTTGTAGCGAGGAGTGTAGATACAGGCAGATAGTGATGGATGAGCGCAAAGAGCAGTACTGCAGCTCTCTTGTTTCAGACTCACCTTATACTGCTTATAGTAATGCTTACACCGACAAAGCCAACATCTTCTCAACTGGAATTCTAGCTGTTTAAATTTACAACCAAACAACATCCATCATCTATGGCATGCATCGATTCATCTTCTGCTCATGTCACCGGAAGACTACGTGTATATACACACACATGAGAATGGGATCGATCAGCTAGCTCAATGTCAGAAATTTGTTTACTTCTTCCAATTTTACTTTTGGAAACTTTTAATTATGATGTCAATCACAATTTTGGACTTTTACAGCCTACTTATCATCTCTTCTTGCAACTTAGTGGTGTATATAACTTAAGAGTACTGATATTTACATGGAAGACTTGCAGTGCAGTGAATTATCCGAATAATTTTTAATCTGTTATTTATACCAAAAACAAGGATTTCACTTTCTTATTTGTTACAGAATTGATCAATTAAAGGAGTAGGTATAACAATTCATTACAAAAATCATTTATTATAATTTAATAATCAATAAAATTTCAAAATCAAGAAGAGTGATATCTCTTTTTATCTTGGAAGGTCAATGATTCAAACTTTTATAGGGGTAAAGAGGGGATGGGTCGCGGTGTCAATTACTTCTCTTAATAGTCAATAAATTTTCAAGATCAAGAGGCCTGATAATATTTCTTTTTATCTTGAAAGGTCAATGATTCAAACCTTTATAGGGGTAAAAAGCGGACGGTTGGGGGTGTCAATTATTTCTTCTTTCGTCTTTATTTTTTTTCAAACCAACGCAAGAACATCATTGATGAAATCAAACAGATCTACTTTCTGAATGAATTCAGATCCCCTCCTGTAGAAAGGATTCTATGTTTGGTCTCATATTTGTCAATGCAATACACTGCATCGTAGTAAATGCAATAACCTTGTGATAAAGTATGGCAATACAAATAATGATATAATGTAGTTGTTACATAAGCGATGTAGAAACACATGATGTGGTACGGATTCCTTATGATCAAGCACATTATCAAATGGGAAATTATCATCAAACACTATAGCAAATGAGCAACTTGATATACTTGCTAAGAAGAACCGGAATGTCTCCCCAAATCACTGCTATTTCTTCACTTGAACTTTAATCTCCAAAAGCCATCCAGCAATCACCTTTCAATACACAAATTTCCTAAAAGCCCAATTTTGCCCCATTAGAGTTTCTCCTACATTTGCATAACCAATTAATGCTTTGATAGATGGGAAGGAAAGGAGGAAGAGATGTGGAAAGAAAATAGAAAAGAAGGAATAAACTTCTTCAATAGGTAGAGATGAGACAAAGAGAAGTGGGAGGACTGTGAAGAAAAGTGGGACTATTATAAAAGTTTGAAATTATATTCCATCCTAAAATGAGATGAGACAGAGAAGTGGGAAGACTGTGAAGACAAGCGGGACTTTTATAAAAGTTTGAAATTATATTTCATCCTAAAATGATAATATTATAAATAATAATGAGTATAATGGGACTATTATAAAAGTTTTAAATTATATTTCATCCTAAATTATACAAATTTTAAATTACAATATTAACCTTCATAAATGATAATGGTAAAATAATTTAAAACCCACTTCCCTTCATAAATTGTGAATTTATTATTTTCTTCCCTCTTTCATCCAATTGATAAAAAAAATAAAAAAAAAAAAACAGCAACCTCTTCTCTAAATATGTCTCATCCATCCCTTCTTCTCTCACTTTTATTTTTATTTTTTATTTTCCTATCGAAAGCATACAAGGGACGAGAGAGAGAGAGAGCCCAGTTTCTTCAAAATTTTACCAGTTTGAACTCTAAAAACAGCACCACCAGCTGCCACACCAGATTCCGTTCATGAAGATGTATCAAAATTTTCAGTTTAATTATGAACATAGGCTAAGCACCTTTAAGTTTCTTGGGTAGTGAATTGATACAATGAGAAGCATCATCTCTCAGCCTCTCAGAATAAACAAGAAAAGATTTAGACAAGCAACTTCAATCTGCCAATGCCTTAACAAATAACAAAAAATAACTCCAGAACGCGGCAGGCAAATTACTCAACCGACATATCAGAAATTCCACAGAAAAACTTGACAGTGGGCTATTGGAAAAATAAGAAACCACTACATATTACTGTTTTTAGTGATAACTTAAACCCCTGGCAACCAAAGCTGTGCATTCATTTCCACAGCAACACTGGTTCAGACAAGGTTTGGTCTGATTAATCATCCTCAACATAAAATACACGCTATATATATCCTCACACACAACGGGTATATAAATAGAGATACAGCAACCTACCCATAAAGTGAAGGGAGAAAAGGAAAAAAAAAAGATAAAACAGCCTACAATTTTTTAAGACTTCAATCCTGCCAGCAAAGCTTAGCAGGAGTCTATAAAATTATTACTGGTAGTACATGGGCGGCTGGGTTGTAGCAATGCTTGGATACCCACCATCATAGATTGCCTGACTAGCACCAGCTGCAGCCATTCGCTGACCCTGTGGATGCATCAGGGCTTGCATGCCACCCATTTTACTCAATGCCATCTGCCGTTCATATGCTACAAGATCAGTAGCTGAAAGACCAGCCATATGTACAGCAGTTGGAGGGGGTAGAGGGGTAGAGCTGGTCCCTGGCGGAGTAGGTTTGCTGCCCCATGAGCACTGCAACATATTTAAAAAAAAACAGTTGAGTCCTTGTCTCAAAACAGGATATCTATTTACCTACTCACGGATAGAACGAGGCTGAAAAGAATTAGGAAGATAATCAAGCATATTCTTTCAATGCATAGTTAAGTGACTCATGGCATACATTGTAATCATAAGATCGGGTTCCTTGTAAAACCAGAGCTTTCTTTCAAACCAAGCCATGACAAAGAGTTTATTAGATGAATGTATAACACAGTATATTCCATCATTACTTTCACACTAACAGATAGCATCGTCAAAGGCAGCCCGATATACGCTGGATCCAATGATTTTGTGCATTCAAGGGTGTGCATGTATGCCATTGAACAAACTGACAGACAATGCGAACTTCTATGTGTTCCCTTACTAGATTTGCTTTTTACAAATTTAATTTAGGAGTTCCTCTTATTGGCATCAGACGTAGAGCCATAGTTGAAGTCCAGCACTAAATACCGTGATACAATGATCACATTATTTAGATCTTTCAAATTATACCTAGCCTCTCTTGAAGGTACTTTTTTCTTTTTCATTTTTTGTTGTTCCTCTCTGCATTTGGGATGGCAATATAGGGTCTCACTCCTCAACCCTCCATCATATAATTCATATCCAATGGAAAATGATCAATTGCAACATTTTGAGAGAGCCCTTTGGAACATGTCCTTTGTTGAGTGAAAAGATTTCACAACCAAAGTAGCGGAACTCAGAGCCCTTATATTTATATGGCATGCACATTAGATACATTAATCAACCGAAAATACCATGCAACGTGCGCTTAGATGGCAGAGCATCCAAAAAAGAAGCAAATTTAGTCATCGCCACAATGACATTACTTAGAACTCAGGCCAATTTTTTTTGACAGGTCACACAACTCATTTTTTATTTTTTATTTTGGTCGGATGGACGGCAGGGGCGGTGGCGGGGGCAGGGAAAAGAATTTAACAGAGGATGTTACCTTTATTGGTTTTCCAAAAAGAATCCGGGCATTTCCCGTCTGAATGGCTCTAGCTGCTTCAGCATGAGTACTGAACCTTACAAAACCGAAACCTTTATCTCTCTGTACCCGAACATCTTCAATAGTCCCAGCACCAAGCGCGTGGAAATGCCTGTGGAGATCAACTGAAGTAACCTGCAGTAAAATTGTTTGAAATGTTATTCATGATACACGCAGGCCAAAGGAACGATATTTAAAAATACCCAAAGTTTCCCCATAAACAACTGACAAAAAATAACAGAACAGCCTAATTCATTGAAAAGATGGCAAGGTAAAAACACTTGAATTAGTAGTAGTTCAGTTGATTTAGTCATTAAGATTGTGGTGGAGTCAATATTACTATCAGATTACGTCTGCTGCAGGAAGGGGATTCAGTGCTCTTATTGTACTCAAATTATTTGAAATGTTATTCATGATACATGTAGGCCAAGGGAATGATGTTTAAAAATACCAAAGTTTCCCATAAAAAGCTGACAAAAATAACAGAACAACCTAATTCATTGAAAAGATGGCAAGGTAAAACACTTGAATGGGTAGTAGTTCAGTTGATTTAGTCATTAAGATAGGGGTGGAGTCAATATTGCTACCAGATTACATCTGCTGCAGGCAGTGGATTCAGTGTTCTTATTGTACTATCGCACACTTTACTAAATTTCAAGGTGGTGGGACAACAGAGAAGAGAAGTATACTATAAAGCAAAAGCAAGACAACTGTACAGAAAAATTCAAAACAAACAAAATCCAATTTTTATTTTCAAAAAAAGGAGGAAATATAGGGCCAAAATCCTACTATGTCGCTACTGGAGGCGGTATTCGCAGTGGCACATGCAACATTCAGCTGCTCAGGGTGGTATTGGAGGGGCACAAAGGTGTTGTGTAAAGAGTGTCCTAAAATTGAGGTGCTCCCACATACCCTGGAGGTGCACATGCACACGTAAGTGTAAAGAATTATAAAAGTAATTTAGAAACCCATCTATTATTCTGAATTTACCAGTTAATGCAGCAGTAACAACCTTACTACAAATCCACCACAACCTCTGTCTTCTACAACAGGGCTGGGACACCCACTCTCAATTATTATATACAACCAATAGATAACAAACTGACCAAAGAACATTTTTCTATTAGTTATCAGTGCAAGACTCCTTACCTCTGGAGCAAGATTGCCAACATAAACAGTGGTATACTGAGGATTATTCTCTGGAGCATCATCACTGGTCCTTTCTTGACCATCTTCTGCACAAACAATAATAGAATGATTTTAAGGTTTAAGCCGAAAAAAGTATTAAAATGTAAAGATCATGGCTCAGTTTCATAATATCCTAAGAGTTGGTTACTTTGACTTGGACACGAGCCTATGCTTTATACCCCTAAACATTATAAATGCACCATAAAATACCTTAGTCCAAACTCAGTGGTCCCTCTTTCCCATTCCTGGATATTTCACATGCCCATTTTGAAAAGTCAATTACATGATTTTTCTTCTTTTTTTTTCTTCATAAAGTAGCCCTCGAGTCGAGTAATATAACGTGAAACATAGACACTGTTTATACCAGAGTACCCATGTCAACATGACATGTATGGGGACAGGCACAAGAGGATGAAACAGGAAGAACAAGATTGCACCTACTAGAGAACTCTTCAAAATTAGGATTTCAGTTGCCAGTGTATACCAGCCACTATGGTCAATGACCACCAAAATCACCGCAAAATTTGATAAAAGAGGAATAAATGAATGATTATTCCACATACTGGAGCTTTACAATAATTTTCATCCTGGTATGATATTATGATAAATTCTTCCAAAATTTTATATTCTTCCCCAACTTAATTTATAGGCCAAACTGCAAGAAACCTCCCTAAAGTTCCATTTTGTTGCAAAATACTCGCGAACTATTTTTCCAGCCAACAAACCCCTTCATCATCAAAATCATGCAAAATGCCCCCACTCAAATGGCCGTCTAGATGCAACCGTTAAAATCGTGGCGTGCGTTGCTTATGACACAAATTATGAATTTAACTTGTTTTATCCTATAATATGATCCCCATCGTTCTCTGTCGATGCATTTTAACAAACTTTTGACCTTTCGAACCATAAATGCTGCTGCTCACTCTCACCGTGGTCCACTTTTCTTCTCCTTCCGTCAGCATCATTCTCCACCAAAATAACCAGTCCCTAGAGTAATCACTGCCTCCATGTCAGTCACCACATGCCACCATTGTGGACTCAATATCTATTATCTTGCCACTTCCCTTTATTACTCTCAAATCATGAGTTTCTAATTTGGTAATAATTGTAATTTGGGTTTTATATTAAGGATTAGTATTGAAATAAGTAACTGAATTGGCATGTTTGACACACATGTACACACACAGACTGAGGACTAAACTATGAAAGGGAAAGATGTCCAGTGACTTTCAGATTTATGTTTCTAAAATCAGAGGAGCCAAGGAACAAAGAAACTGTGTCACATTCCAATCTGCGAGCCAAACAGGAAGGGATATCAAAGGTATACGAACATAGTTACAATGTATGAGTGCATTATCTTCATATATATACATATACGTAGATGGATCTATTGCTTGGGGAAGCCAGAAATCAAATAGACAGAGAAGGAAGACAAAAAGTACCTTTGATCTATTGTTGGAAGAGGAGTGAAATGCAGTGTCATTATAAGCGGAGGATAGAGACAATCACGATGAGGGACAAAAGCAACCATGAGAGCATAAAAAGAGGAGGTGGTGTCATCGTGCTGCTGACACTGAATGTCAAATGGCAGTGACCGTCGAGAGCGGTGGGTCGCCACAAACGGAGTAAGCGTCACCCATTGTAATCTGATTTGACGAAGGTTACGTGGAAGCCTTTTTATATTAATATATTTGTTTAGGGGTTATTGGTATTTCACATTTCCATTTAATTTTCATATTTTAAATGTTAATAACTAAAGGTGTCATCGTAAATACACATAATTAAGCGGCCATTTGACTCGGGCATGTTGCATGATTATGAAAAATGGGAGGTTCGTTGGATGTAAAAATGGTTCAGGACAGCATTTTGCAACAAAATGAAAGCCCAGGGGTTTCTTGCAATATAGCCTATTCTTAATTTTCAAACTAGCCTAGTGCTATTATATTTTTCTTCTATCCTCAAAAAAAACTTTTAATTTTCCTAACTTTTCTTTACATTTGTAAACCAACCCCAATGCTAATATCCTATGAAAATGTTTCATGTAAGCAGGTGAGTGACATGTCTAAATAAATGTACCCAATTTTTGGACTCACTTTAGCTGAGTCCTCGTATCCTACAAAATAACTAGGTAAATCGAACGCTTCCACACATACTCGTTCTATATATCATTTTCGAGTTCTAGTAACATATTATGGAACGAGGGAGTATTGGCAGCAACTAAGAACAGCACCAGAGGTCCAACTAGTAACTTAAATCTGACTACCAACCGAGCAAGAGAAGAAAATAATAATAATACCAGTCATAGAGGTTAACATTGCTAAAATTTTCAACTTTACATATACGAATTTGGAAGTTCAATTTCATTAATGACCTAACCTGAGGTTCCATTTGTTAGTTCCACAACACTTTTGGCATCTGAATTCTGCTTCTCATCGTTACCAGCGCCCTTTGTTGCCCAGTTGCACCGGATTTGTCTGCTTCCAAGCCACTTTCCTATAATTTTAGATGAAGAGTATTTCAATTTAGATGAAGTCTTAAGAGGTTAACAACAGATGCAACTATGAAAAATTATTAATTATAGAAATAGCTCTTCTCATATAATGTGGTGAAGAAATAGAGTATAAATAACATAAGAAACAAAAACACAGAAACTACATCAAAAAATGAAAATTTCCTCACCATTTAAATCATTTATCGCACCTTGAGCTTCCTGGTGAAGAAAAGCAAATTACATAATCATGATGTGAACATTAACTATTGGAACAAAGGAAATAAACCATTATACTGTCACCATACCTGCTGATTACGAAAAGCAACAAACCCAAACCCCCTCGAACGCCCAGTCTTCTGATCCCACATTACACGTGCATCTCTGTAACCATCAATGCACAGGTCAAATTATCATCAAGATGAATGTTGATCTTTCCAATATAGGAGTACTCAAAGACCAAAGGAAGAGAACGTGAAAACAGAACTTACGAGCAACTAGGATAAACAGAGAAACACGCAAACAAGGTAGCATCTGTAACTTCAGGGCTAAGATCACCAACAAAAATGTTGAAGTGACCTAAAAGCCAATGCGAAAATAGCATAAGTGATCAACAAATTAATATGAAAAGCATCATTGACTTAACTGTAGCCTAATAAATTACAAAAATAAAGTAATATATATATATATATATATATATATATATATATATATATATTACAAAAATGAAAGAATATATATTCAGACCTGATGTATCCTCTCTCTGACTACTGGCATATGCCCAGTTAACTTTAATAGGCTGCCCAAACCTGCAAAGGACATGTTAAAACACTGCACCAAGATACACATAACAAGCAATTAATTAAGTATTTAAGTTTATTTTTACTGACAGATGCCTTCCATTCAGAGTCACGATAGCAAGGGCAGCTGATCTGCGATCATAGTAGTCCACAAAACCATAGGATGACTGCATACCAAGAAACATCACTTCAGTATGTTAGTACTGAGACAAGGAAACCATACAGGGAATCACAGTTTAGCATCTGTGTCTTAGAAGACCGCACAATTCAAGCTTATTGGAAACAAATACGTCATGCAAACATTGGTCATGCTATATAATATATGGAGTGGTCTGCTGTAGACCATCGAGTAAAAAAGAAGTTCAAAAAATGTGCACAACAAGAGACCTTCTCCTTCCGAATGAGCTTGCATCCTTCCAGGGGACCAGTGCTCGTGAAAACCTCTTGAAGAAGTGGTTCTGTAACCTGTGGGTGGATGTTCCCAACATACCTGCATAATATCATATAATTAAAAATGATAACAAATAAAAATAATAATAACACAGCTAGATTAAGACATCAAATCTACTTGCATGGGCAGACTAATATATGAGCAAATATGCATCATAGAGTGGAACATATAACTGTGGAAAAAAAAAATATGATAAAACATGGACATATATAAACTGTGAAAATACAGATATAAATAAATAAATATATATATATATATATATATATATATATATATATATATATATATATTCTTGTGTTTGTGTGTTCAAATTCTAATATTAATTATATGCAAAAATAAAAGGTTTAATCTCGACCGCAACTAAATTTCTAAATTCGAATGTCACAAGTTACACACAGTTCAAAAAGCAAATAAAATAGAAGAAAAGAAAAAATAAAAAGAAAATGTCTAACGACACTCACACACTGCGGCATGTACTTGAATCAAACCCAGGAGGCAGATTTCCACTCAAGATAGGCTCTATCTGCAAAATAAAAATGTAAACAAAAAAAAACGGAGAAGAAGGGCGAAAGGGCCCAAAAATAAAACATCTAAAACCCATTGGAACAACTTTTAAATATAACTAAAACATGTGCTAGGGGGATGAACTCATGGAGTCATCTGAACTTACAAATCTTGAATTAGAGAGAGAGACCCAATCTTTCATTTCCATTAAAGCAGCATTGGCACAAAGATTTGTTAGAATTTCAATATTTATTTCATGTTCTATTTCCTACTTCATTTCATTTCATTTCTTTACTAGCACCAACCCATTTGTTAAGTGTAACTATAAAACCTGAGGGGGAAGAGATGTAATGGGCATGATAGATGATGAATGCTTCTCCACAAATTGTTAACCAATACTAATAAATAATTTTTTTAAAAAAAAATCATACACACAGACGTAAATACTAAAAATCTCTATAAAGATAAATTTAATAATCCCCAAAATATCACCCAAGAGCGCACAAACATCATAAGTCAAATTACACCCCTTCTGATTAGGCCTCAAAGAAAGTACAACCAATTTGATAAATTTGAGAGTCTTAGGGCTCTTGAATAATTAAACGGTCAACCGAAGGCATTTAACCAAAACTACTCTCACAGTACAAAGAGCATAATTTTTAGGACCAAAAAAAAAAATCCCCTACTTATTGTATTGATATATTACTACGTATAGATAAATAAAAAAGAAAGTCATTTTCAGAAGATCTTAATTTAGAAATCCTCAACATACAATACAATCTCTCTCTATCTCCTTGCACTACAGTCTCACAGCATACTCATGCAAGTAAAACAAACATAAAGATCTATTTCCTCTCTCTCTTCCTTTCCTTTTTTTCTCTGATAGATTAGAACCATATGTTCTCTTAAGATTCATGGGCGGGTAAGTGCCATCCCTAGAACCATTTCCACTGTCACACTTTCGGAAATCGAAGTTAAAGGAAAAAAAGATAATTAAGAAGCAAAACAATCAATGCCACAAAATAATATGATCAGAATCATATACTGTAATCATTTAGACAGAATAACAACCAAGAAGAAAAATAATTGTTTTATGAAAAAGTAAAAATCTTAGACAAAAAGTTTGAATCATATGTTTGGTCAGAATCATATACTGTAATCATTTAGACAGCATAAGTTTGAATAATTGTTTTATAAAAAAAAAAAGGGTCAATAAGCTAAACGGAATGGTTATACTTATAATAACCTCGGCTGAGTGGAAATTAAGCAAAATCAAGGAATATCCCAAAATTCAGTTTTTTCTACCTTTTATCTATCGGCAAACAAACAAACAAACAGGTAGCAAATAAGCAGTATTCAGAAAAGGAAGCCCTTTGTAAGGAACAAAAAAAAAAAAAAACAACCCTAATTCATCACAAAAATCGATCTTTAACTAGTGTTGTACGTAGTAAAATAGACCCTATATTTAACCTTGAAAACAAAATCTAAAGGAATGCATAAATTGATATGAATCCACCCACAGCGTAAAATAAATGAATTTAGGGAAATAAGAAAATAGGGATAACCCAAGGAAGGAACCTGAGGAGGGGCTAAGAGACCAGGGTGGTAGAGGGATTGCTGCATCAATGCTTGTTGCTGCTTCAGTCTCAGCGGCTCCATCTTCTTATAATTATATATATATATATATGTTTGTGTGGGTGGGTGAATATATAGAGAGAAAGAGATATAACAGGAGAAGTGGCCTATGAAATTGATTAGGGTTAGGGTTAAGTTCCGGAAGCGAGAAAGGAAAGGGAAAAAATTAAAAGCAAAAAAGAAAATCGAAAGGAAAAAAAGAGAAAAAAAACGTAAGGAAATCAGAGAAACAGAAAACCCTCCTTAAGAAGAAGAAGAAGAAAAAGAAGAAGACGAGGGTAGCGAGTCGGCTATTGAGAAGATATCATATGGTTCCGTCCGAACGTTTTGTTATAATGTTTGATCTACTACAATCCTTTACAACTACGACATCCTGCGATCGCTCTAAGTACCGTTGATCTCTTATCTATTTTTCAGATTTCTCTGTAAAGTAAGTAATCCACCAAATCCTATAATATACTATATATATATAAAATATATATATATTTTTTCTTTTTATATTTTTACCAAAACAAACCACACAATTACTCTTAAGAGACAATTACTCTTAAGAACATCTCTCGGTATGTTAAAATATTATTTTATATAAAATATATATTGTCACTTACGATGTGATACATTGCAACATCACTAATGTGTAAAAGAGTTGTGTGTATTTTACCCGACCTTTTTATTTACTGCTAGATTTACATATTTCATTTCTCATTTCTTTTTTTCATTTCATTAAAGAGCCTCTTTCTCTTACATATTTTGGCACAAAAGGTATAAAACAACGGTTAGAGCATCTCCAACCATTGTGTATAATTTTTTTTTTGTAAATCTGATGTGTCATGATGAATTTATGCAAAAATTTTGAATTATTTAATTTTAGCTCCAACGGTTATTTTATATTTTTTGTGTAAAAATATATCTCTCAATAATAATTAATCATGTGTCATGTCAGGACCCACACAATGTTGATTCTTTACTGGAATGAGAAAGAGGGATGAAAAAGGAAATATGTTGATTTGACCGTGCAAAAAGGTTGTGGGTTGTGTAAAATACACAATAAAATACACAACCCTTTTACATATTGGTGATGTGATAATAAATCTTAACAGACCGTTAGAGATGGAAAAAATTTACAGATCATAGGTGGCCGTGTATATTTTACATAAAAGGGTATTTTAACACACCGCTGGAGATGCTGAGCTAAAATTAAATAATCTACATTTTTGTGTAAATCTATCATAACATATCAGATTTACATAAATATATATATATACACACACAACGATTAGGGGTTGCAAAAATTAACACGACTCGCGAACACGACACGAGATAAATGGGTTTGGGTTGACCTATAATGGGTTTGGGTCATAAACAGGTCGACACGATTAACCTGTTTAATTAATCGTGTCGTATTTAGGTTGAAGGATTCAACCCGTGTAATCCGTTTATACACTTTTAACTATATATGTTATAAATAAAATTCTATTTAAATTCTAAAATTACTATATAAACTTGTGTCTTATAATTTAATCTTTATAAACTATAAATTATTTAGTAATTTAGTTGATTAAATTTATATTTTTTTTATAGTATTTATTATTTTATTGAGTATTATTAATATTTTATTATTATTATTATTATTATTATTATTTTTTGTAAATAGGTCATAAACGGGTTACACGTATAACCCGTTTAATAAACAAGTCGGGTTAGTGTTAAGAATTATTGACACGATTATTAAATGAGTCGTGTTCAGGTTGAACTGTTTAGTATAATATCTTAAAATTGACACGACATGATTACGATTCGGGAACATGAATTGATACCCCTAACAATGATTAGTGATGTTCTAATAAATTTCTAGAAACTTGAGCTAGAAAAAATTTCACTCAATATAGATTTGTCAATGAACCGTATTTTAATCTCAGAACAATCATCAAATATAATAGGGTCAAGTGCAGTTAATCCCTTTAACTTTCATCCTTTTGTAGTAAATTCTTCCTTTATTATATATTTGGCTAAAAAAACGAAGGGAGGGGGTGACTATTTAAATTTGCGCAAAAAATAGCCCACTAACCAAGTCGGGATTATTCAATTTGTCCAATTAGCTGAATTTAACTAGTTTTTTTTTTTTCTTTCCCTTTCTTATAACAATAATATTTCAACTTATATTTTTTTTAGCAAAACATTAAAAAGAAAAAAAAAATTTAAAAGTATATAGTTATGAATGCACTATATGTAAGTTCAAATCTTATATGTTTACTCATACTATATATTATTATATCATTATTATATTTTTTAATTTATATAATGTGTGTGTGTAAGTATATGAGATGGATATTTGATCAAAAAAAATTAGATTGAAAAAAATGAATTTTAAATTACAAAAAGTAATTGAATGGCATAAAATAGTAGGTTTTTCTCTTCTTCTTCTTTTTTTTTTTTAATAGAAAATAAAATTAAAAAATAAATATTACAAGATTTAACTATACTAGATACTTTGTACATGCTAAACAAATAATGTAATTACACTCGTAACTATGAATTTTATTTTATAATTTTTTTATATATATTTTTTAATTAAAAATATACTGATACACATAGAAAGATAAAATTCATACAATTGGGCAACTTGCGTACCCCCGTTGACATGGTTGGTGGGGGTATTCTTGCAAAAATTCAAAAAACAACCCCTGGTTGGTTAAGGGGAGGTTTGTTGGGGAAAAAAAAAAAAAAATAGCAAAGAGCAGTTTATTGGAAACGGTAAAAGTTAAGGGGGGTTAAGTGCACTTTACCAAATTTAATAGAGAGTACTGTTACTTGGCCAGATAAATACAAAATCAATATTTTACTGACTTTACATAGCAGTGTAAAAATAGGTAATTTAAAACCAAAATGTAAGTCTTTCAAAACAAAAACTCTTAAAAAATAAATTAACAAAAATAACTCTCTTTACTTACCGAAAAGAAAAAAAATAAAAAATAACTTTCAAATAAAGTAACAATTGAGAATTTAACAAAACAATTAAAAAAAACACAATCAAATTAATAAAATAAGAATTTTGATTCTTCAATCATCGATTTTTGTTGATATTCAAAACTTCAAATGAAATTTTTGTTCTAGAAAAAGTGATGGAAAGAATCATATATAAGATGGAATTTTAGGATAATAAAGATATGGAAAAAATGGTGCTTGAGTTGGAAGGTTTTTTAGGATAGTCATGTTATGTAAAGAACTATATTTGAGAGGTGAAATTTCAAACAAAAATGATCAGATTGGATCGAAATATATATATTATTAGATTCCGACTAGCTAGGTGAAGCCAGATTTAGAATTCAATCTAGTTTTTCTCAAAAATGAAGAAGATATCAGGGGACTACTAAATTAAACACAATTATTTATTTATTTATACTTTTTCTTTTATTTATATTACAAAGTCATAAGAATAAAATGTCTAACTTCATCATACCACCATTTTGAAGCCCACATCTTGCTACTATAATCTAAAAAATCATAGCTAATAAAGTAATTAAAGTCCATTCTTATTTCCTTCTTGCAAAACCCCCAAGCAATCTGCCATTAGTCCCTGCCTTCTGATTGAAGATCTTATGAAAGACTACCAACAGCAGTAAAATCCCCATTTGTGCTTTGAAAATTGACATAAAAAATGCATATCATCCTGTGAATTGGGTCTCTTTGCTATCTACCCCAAAGCAGACGGACTTTGCAGCTAGAGTGGTCTCCAGGATTGAGTCTATTTCAGTAATTGTAGGGGTTGTTAGATAGAGATCAAAGGTTCAGCTATCATTGGAGAAGCCAGAATAAACCCTTCTTTAGGTGAAATGTGATGGTTTTGAGTGCAAGATTTTAAGAAGTCTTGACTACGGTGTTGCTGCTTAATAACTAAATTCAAAGCTTAATTTTGAACAGATCAAGTGCTTATCCAATTAATTGTGTTTTTTTTATAAATTTGCTTAAATTTGGAATTTGGTCTATGATAAATTTCAAGCAAAGCCAGGCTGCAAAGGAAATGGGATTTACCTCAATTGCTTATTTACACTGATCATAGGAGATAAATATATCCAGCTTTAGTCCTTTGTACACACTCTAGATATTCAAGATTTCTAATTTTATTTGGTTTGTATATATATATATATATATGCTATAATTTGGACTGATTATGGACTCACTTAGGCCCCCAAATTTGTTGACCCTTCACTTCAGATATCAGCTCAAGTATTCCACTTAATTAATGCAAGGGCCATGAGAGAGTCAGACCTGTCACTCTGATGTTTGTTTCTGTAAATGAATCATTTTCCTTTTTATAAGCCCTTCAAATCTTATCTGCACACCTTCAATTTACTGTGTGAAATCTACTGTGTGCGACAGGCATCATATATCACAAGATTCACAACATTACTGTAGTGAACAAATGTGTGACTTCCATTTCAAATGCCCAAATCTCAGTTTCCCAATGCTGAATGCTGAAACATAATTGAAATAAAATACTTCCTCTATTTTTTTTTTTTTTTTTTTTTTTTTGTTAATTCAGTGTCACAAATGCATCTTCGCACACCAGCGACAGCACCAGGGTGTTCATACATCCTTATACAGATCATTGTAAAACGTTAAAATCGTCATCAAAACTACAAAAGGCTTATGATCCTCATGACTTCGGAGTTCAACACTATAAATTTGTGGTATTGCACAATAACAAGCTGCTTCCAAGACTGAAATTCTCCCAACATGACTTATCATATGGTACATGCCTGCATATATAATATAAGAATGAAGACAGAAAATCAGAGAGGTTGGATTTATGTCTGAAGACCAGCTGAAAATTGAGTAGACATAAAGAGGGAAATTTTCAAACTAGTTGTAAATAAAAGTGTATTCTTACCAAACAATATTTTCACCACTGCCAAATTAAAGAAGAGGCAAATCATTTCATATCTCTAGAACAATAACTGCAACCAGAAATATAGATACATCAATTTACTGTAAAATTAGTTTTGTTTTGATCAACACCGAGCCAGAAACTTACATTCAGAATCTGTTTTGACCCATTTACTTCCAACATTTTGTTTGTCAAGCATTTCATCTCTACAGTCAGTCGACTCGGGCATTTTTCTATTTTCCAAATATTTCTTCGTCGTGGAACTTTGGGGATATATCTTCTTGTGCAGTATAGTTCTCATAATCTGCAGACATATAGAGTAATCAACAAACAAAGAATTAATTTCTAATTTCAAAATGCAGGAAAAAAAAAAAAAAAAATCATAATTGCATTATATAATCAAGCTCATCTAAGATGCATAGAGAGATATATATACTATGAACATTTACCTTCTCCATTCTGGACTGTGGAATTGGATCTCTTAAGCTGCGAGCGGGTGGAAATCCACTTGGGCAGAGAAACACCTTCTTAAGAAGAAAAGACAATGACTTTTTGCTAATGGCACTGTTAGTGTGATCCAAACGATTATCGTTCCCTCTGTTCAAAACATCACTGATACTCTGCTGGAGATTACCATTTTTGTGAGCGCAAACTGTATCGCTGTTAGTTCTGTCATCTCCCGGAAGATTATGAATGTCTAACTCCACTGCCCAACTACATCCACCAGAAACTTGTTTATTCAATAATAAATTCAACTCTTTCTCAAGTTCTCCAACTTCTTCAGGAGTAATGTCTTGAGAGGAAGATAGGGTCCCCTGAACAATATTATTAATGCTGCTGTGTGGATCTTCTTTTAAACCGTCGTGACCAAATGTCCCAATTGCAAGTAGTCCATCAGGCCAATCACTGAATTCTTCTTTGGGAGGTTGTTGCAGCATATGATCTGTATTAGTAATAACACAACAAAATCATATATATATATATGACTGGGTAAATCCTTACCATTTATATACAGCCCACAAATAATTATATGTGAGCATGAGTACCACATTCAAATTATTAGTCAGAAAGACTAATAACTTCAATTTTTATTTTTATTTTGTAAATCACAGTGTTCAAAAAGAAAATAAAAAAGTCAAAATCTTGAAATTTCAAGTTGACAGAAAAACGAAAGAGATTCTCACGATTGGCGGATGAGATTGATTTTGGTTTTCTGGTGCCATGTTTTCCGTCGAGCCTTCTCTGCATCCAGCTTAGTATCTGAAAACAGAAGTCATAAGTATCATAGATCGACCAATTTACAAACACCCAATATATATATATATATATATATATATATATATGTGCATGTTGTATATATGTATCTATTTAGGTACATTATACACAATTGATGAACCGTAGATCGATCATCTAACTTACCTTCATTTGGGTGGATAGAAATTATGAATAGCTTTACGAAATGGGCTAGAGAAACTGCAGGTAGATATATAAAGTGAGGGTGGGCTTAAATAAATCAATTGTTTTAAGCCAAAGAAAGATGTGCTTCATTACAAAGGTTAAATAGAGAGAGGATTCCACGGTTTTCATGCTAGTTTCTAATGGTTCAAGTTCCAAAACTCGGCCCTTTGCCGCGTTATCTCTCTCCTTCAATATATATATACATCTTTTTCTTTTCTTTTTTTCTTTCAACAACCGCATTCGTGTTCTTTACCCACTAAATAATTATATTGATATATATATATATAAATAGATCTTGTTTAACTAAATACTGTAAAATATATAATACTTATTGTATGTACCTGTTTTTCGAGCCAAGCTCGAGAAAAAATTATGAGAGAAATACCACTAAAACAATATAAGGAATATAAAAGAGTCGATTGAGGGAAAAAAAACTTGAGGACTGAAACGTTGGTAGAGAAGACAAAGTCTGGAGTATTGACAAAACTTGAAATCTTTGTGTCCTTAACCCTTTTGCCTTTGACACCTCTTTATAGCCTTAGGTCATTCAGATTGTATATGTTGGGCTTTTGGATAAGATGAGTCGGGGCTCATGTTCCTTTATGAATCATGATGCCCTAATCCCAATTTTTCCAATTTTGTCACCAGGTGTACTATCTCCTTGAATGACCTACATAAAAGGTAGGTATAAAGGTCTTTATACTTACTCCAGCATGTCTTTCACTTTTTCTCCTCGAATTAGGTTCTGTCTAAGCAAGACTTAGCTAGTTTTTCATCCTCCATTCTAAAGTCCCTTCTGCATTTCCATTGGCCTTGAAGAGTCCTACCCTCTGTTTGTTTTCTTTGATAGAGTATGGCTTGGTCGGATCGAGGTTCAAGGCCCATCGATCGATAATTTCTGACTTGGTCGGATCGAGGTTCAAGACTCATCGATCGATAGTTGTGGCTTTGATCGAATCGAGGTTCAACACCCATCGATTGAAAGCCCGGGTCCCATGCCTTATGGATTCTCGTCAACTAGTTGCCTCTGCTGAGATGGCTAGAACTTTATCGTCAATCGAGTGTTGATCATTTTGTCTTCTTGTTATTCTTTTTTTAAGCCGACACTGAGGTGACGTCAGCTTGATTTAACTTTTGATGACGTGGCATAAACTACATCCACACTGATCATTACTCATGTGCCTTACATGTGTAGTTTTTGAGACTGATGTCACTGATCACAAGCATTTTTTGCAATTGTAAAATAAAACTACTTTTTTATATTATTAAGGTGAAATTAGCATATACTACAAAAAGAGATGGCAGAAAGAGATACATATATATATATATAATAACAGACTTTAAAAAAAAAAAGAAAACTAGGAAAAAATAAAGCATGGGTATCAAAACAAAGGGCCGGTTACAGCCAACCAGCCCATGCAGTGGCGGGGTGGGGTGGGGATGTCATGTTCCTTACTGACCCAACCAGTACCGGCCGCCGCCTGCTAATCATCTCATTCTCACTGCACCACTACCACCACCGGTACTGCCACCGCCCGGCATGACTTAATTTGAGTCTTAGTTAAATGGGAGCCCACTCTGAAACCTCTAGTACCATATCTTTTAATCAAATCCATGCTTACATCTATTAAGCTCTGCATGATCATTCATATCTCTTGGCCTTGTATGTACCGACACACACGCACGCATGCAAAGGAGAAATAATAAGCAAACCATACAAGTACCACATACGTACCCTGTATGCGTGTGCATGTTCAACCTTCATTAATAATCAAAATAGTAGTGATAGATTTACAATTAATTTTTAACCAAAACAAGATTTACAATTAATTATCTAATAAAATTATTTTTTATTAATTATTTATACTAAATATAAGTAAGTGGAGAACTCACTCTCTTATTTGTTATATAAATAATGAATTAAAAAGAATAAAATTAGCAATTGACACTATCCTGTGCAAAAATTATTTTCCTAATCAAAATCGTTTATACCATCAGATTATATTATTTTATCGGGGCACACACATTATGCTGGGCTATTTCCCATCTGAGAAGCAAATAAAAAATAAAAAAATTCCGTGCCTATAGAGGCAAAGTGGGTGTTTGTGTTACTTTTTGACGTTCAAAGACTTAAAATTCTGATTTTTTATTTTATTTTATTTTATTTTTAGAGTTTTAAATACTGGTAATTTTTCTCAGTTTCATTTATATATCAATGAAATTTTAACGTTTATCACATCTAAAAAATAAAAAAAAAATTCTGATTTTTGTGTTACTTTTTGACGGTCAAAGACTTAAAATTCTGATTTTTTTTTTATTTTATTTTATTTTTAGAGTTTTAAATACTGGTAATTTTTAACCAAAACAAGATTTACAATTAATTATCTAATAAAATTATTTTTTATTAATTATTTATACTAAATACAAGTAAGTAGAGAACTCACTCTCTTATTTGTTATATAAATAATGAATTAAAAAGAATAAATTTAGCAATTGACACTATCCTGTGCAAAAATTATTTTCCTAATCAAAATCGTTTATACCATCAGATTATATTATTTTATCGGGGCACACACATTATGCTGGGCTATTTCCCATCTGAGAAGCAAATAAAAAATAAAAAAATTCCGTGCCTATAGAGGCAAAGTGGGTGTTTGTGTTACTTTTTGACCGTCAAAGACTTAAAATTCTGATTTTTTATTTTATTTTATTTTATTTTTAGAGTTTTAAATACTGGTAATTTTTCTCAGTTTCATTTATATATCAATGAAATTTTAATGTTTATCACATCTAAAAAATAAAAAAAAAAATTCTGATTTTTGTGTTACTTTTTGACGGTCAAAGACTTAAAATTCTGATTTTTTTATTTTATTTTATTTTATTTTTAGAGTTTTAAATACTGGTAATTTTTAACCAAAACAAGATTTACAATTAATTATCTAATAAAATTATTTTTTATTAATTATTTATACTAATTACAAGTAAGTGGAGAACTCACTCTCTTATTTGTTATATAAATAATGAATTAAAAAGAATAAATTTGGCAATTTACACTATCATGTGCAAAAATTATTTTCCTAATCAAAATCGTTTATACCATTAGATTATATTATTTTATTGGAGCACACACATTATGCTGGGCTATTTCCCATATGAGAAGCAAAAAAAAAAATAAAAAAATTCCGTGCCTATAGAGGCAAAGTGGGTGTTTGTGTTACTTTTTGACGGTCAAAGACTTAAAATTCTGATTTTTATTTTATTTTATTTTATTTTTAGAACTTTAAATACTGGTAATTTTTCTCAGTTTCATTTATATATCAATGAAATTTTAACGTTTATCCCATCTAAAAACAAAAAAAAATTCACTTTTGCCCTCTTCTCTAGCACAATTTTCTGAATCCGAAAAATGCTTCTCAATCATCACGCGTACATTAAGTGGAATTGTTGGTAATAGAATTGGAGTTGGATCCAAAATGCTTCAAATCATACATCAATGATAAACATGGCATGCTAAAAGCTCAGCATATGTGCACAATCGATCCAACCGAGTCCAAAAACTAAATGTCATGGAAAATTAATTGGCTAGTACGTACTTTTGATGAACAAGTAGCTTATATCCTACACCTATATATTTTAGAATATCATGCTCACCTGCTCTTATCTTCTTAATTAAATAATATTAATTCCTCTAGTTTTAACCCAACACACACATATATATGATACATGTGTGTGGTTTTCTCTATATATATTGTCAAAAGAAGTCCCTCAAATCTCTAAGGCTCGGTCTTGGGCCTTGGCCTATAAAGTACAGACAACAGTAATATTTTTCTCTTTCTGGGGCTGGATCCCAATTGACACCAGTCCACGTGAAGTTGTCCCATCTCACATGGGTGGGACCATGCATACCTCCCCACCAATTAATTTGCTGGGCATGCATGCAGACGATCTGTGCTCGTGCAGGCTGGCAGCCTACGTGTCAAATGACGACGTTGTGGATTAGTCATCGGACCGTATCAGACCAACGCGTGTGTTCGTACGTCAAACACGAGGTCCAGCTCTATATATTCTAACACTCTCCAATCATGTCCGATGCAAACATATAGTATTACAAGTACTTGAGGTTTACTTGCTAGTTGCTATATATTGTCGATCGGTGGTCCATCGACAATCTACAATAATGATACCATCGATGCATCACCCAATGCATTTGATTATATTCTATATATATATATATATATATATATATATAAATTTACTTAAACACTAGAAGTTACCCTACCGAAATTCTGGGGATTTAATAAGGGATCAAAAGCGATGGAAGAGGGTCTCCACTTGACTAAACATGCACACTTAAACCAAGAAGCCATATCAATATGTAATATTTCAATTTATACATTTTCAACACTAGAAGCCATGTGAGGTTTTCCCAAGGTCTATACCCATATATATTTATATATTTATCATCTGTCTCGACATTTACTTGGAAACCTCCAGCATATGACTTTCCCAAAGTGGAAATTCGTACTGTTAAATAATCTACTTTTACCCAACTGAGAGATTTCATAATATATTCTAATATAAATATATATATATATATACAGGGTGGAGCCAGGCCCATGGGGGCGCATGCCCCCGGGCCCATGCGGGCCTCTAAGTTATAAAGGTTTTTAAAATGTCCCTCTTAAAATATATATATTTTTTTATTATTTAGAAACGGGCATTAATTTTTATTAATTTAGGTCAATAATTTATAAAAAAGCAAAAAATGCTCTCTGAAATAATTATTTACCCTTGGGCTAATTAATTTTTATTGTAAAAAAGACTATAATTTATAAAAATATTCAAAAATGTCCACTAAAATAATTCTTTTTAGGTTGCTTTATTGATCATGTGGCCCATCAAATTTTGTGCAATAGAAATCAAATTAAGATTCCCGAAAAAAAAAAAAAACTCAAATTAATATTTAAATTGAAACTATTAACCTATGATTGTTGGGTAATATTATACTGTTATATAATTTATAAATAAACAAAGTACTACTACTTCGTATATTATAATAGTTATAAGTTTATAGTGTATGGGACCTATATTACTAATTACGCCAGTATATTTAAGTGGTTTAAGTAATATACTATTAAGTGGTTAAAAAAACAAAAAGTCCTGTCAGCCCGTGGGCTAGGGTTGAGGCCTAACCCACACCGTGATATGGCCGGGCTTCACTAGTTGGGCCTGGGTAACGCACAGAGTCACACAGACTGACGTGTATAAACACTAAAAACTATAACGATCTATATGGAGTAAAATACAGAGTCACACGCACAGACATACATAATTTCACCTACGTGTCGTGCATTCATAACTGCCTAGTTGGGATTCTGAAACGTGTCAACTTTAGACTCAAAATATATACATAAATTCATGCAGGTCCTATACGTATAGGCATACCCTACAACCTTATTTTTGTGCTCGTCTTTCACTAGTTCACACAGCCACTGAAGCAATCTGTTCTATGGACAAACACTCTCACAGGTCAGCTACTGTGTTTAAGTCAAATCCAAATCATATTCATTACCTGTAATTAGTTTTTCACTTTCATTTTTGTTTCCATAAATTAGTTTAATTTTCATTTGTTTACTTTTTTATTAATTGCTCAATGTAGGATTTCTTCATGTAATACCTGAATTGACCCAAATTATATAATTATTAAACACAATCTTTGTTGTTAATATGGTGGTTATGCCTATATTAAACAAATCCCTGCAACATTTAATCAAAATTTTTATGGCTGAGGTTGTGGAGGTATTTATTAGTGATGATTTGCTAAATTATTTTGAACTAGGTTTCAGATTGCTCCATTTGGACTAAACCTATTCTTTCAACATCAGTTGAAAGATTAGAAAGCCCTGTTTGAATCACACAAAGTGAAATTTTCATTGAGATTTAGAAGATAGAAAAGCCCATTACATTAAAAAGAATGCAACAAAACAAATCTTGTAAAAATAGGTTCGCAAAAATGTCGAGCCGGGAAATGCATGGTTGTACTTTGTCATCCGTGTCATCAGCCAATTATATCTTATCACATAAGTAAAAGTGCTTTACTTTAATGGGTTCAATCACTATGTGTCAGTATTTAATCAGTTGGTGATACCACGTTATGATGTTGAGAGTTCGGTGTACAATCCTTGGAGTTTGCAACAACAATGGCTGCCACATTACTAAAGTAGTTTTCCCTTGTATAGTTAAATTGCATGTGATCGATACTAGTGTAGCTCTTAAGAGTTTGGTGGACAATCCTTGGGGCCTGACAGCTTAATGGCATATGAGCTGCAAAACTTATTAAAAGGAGACCTTATGGATAGTAAAAATAGGTCATATGAGTGAACAACATAGACATTGACATTACTGAAGTAATAATTGGGTAATTATTTATTCTAGTTTCATCTTCTAATTAGTGTATTCTTATGGTCATGATCCCAGATTTGATAATAAGTAGCACATTACAGCATTACGCGTTGTAAGAAAATGAGAGTGTTGACTGCGGAAGAGGCATGTGGCATGGCACCTATTTATGTCTCGGACTTTCAGAACATATACAGAGATCTCCATCAACCAGCCTTCGTAATTGCAGCATGCTTTGCCTTCATAGCATTGGTGCTCTCCGCCCTCTTAATTTTTCAACATCTTAGGTCATACACGAATCCCGAGGTTAGTTATTTGCCAATATGTTTACTGTAACTTTTTAAGTGTATGTGGTATTAAATATTGCATTCTATGAAGTTTTGCATAATGATTTTGCTTGATTGAATAAATCTAGTGTTCATAACAGTTCATGATATGACTGTATAACTGTTGTGCATTCTTTTGGTTGGTTAACCGGGCAGTTCTTTTTTTACTGAATATCACATCCATTGAATGATAAATATTGAAAATTAGTAAAGAAATTAATCTGAGATATATTAATAAAATGCTATGTAAGCCAAATTCATAAGATCCTAAATTAAATGAATTATGAAGTTGTGTTTTTTTGTAATTCGGGGGGTTGGACTTACTCTCATCTTTATTTGGTTCTTTTCCAGGAGCAAAAATGGATTGTTGGAGTTCTTTTCATGGTTCCTGTCTATGCCAGCGAGTCAGTAAGGATCTATCCATTTAAAAGTATACTAATGGTTTCTTTGATAGTTTGGATGTACAACGATATACGAGATTGTACATCTGACATAATCCTTCAAATGCATATAAAGCAAATAAAACAACATTTAGTTTCCATCTCTTCACCCATGCCACTACTAAGCAAAGCCTGAATCTTTCAATGATGGCCGTCAGAGCCTTTGAGTGAATTATTCTTATTAAATATTATGGAGGCAAATACATGTTGAAAGGCTTATCATTTACGATAACGTTTTGTGGTCATAATTTATTTTTAACAAAAATAAGTATACACAAGTTTTGTAAATTTCTACTAGTACCCATGACGTAAACTTCTGTGTGTTTTCAGAAATAACTATTTAACAAATTTATCTCATTTATGGTATGCTCATACTGTGTCAATCGAACAGAAGCCATGATTTGGGGTGGGGATGAAAAAGAAACACCTGAAGGCAGTTTGACATGTATTCTCATAAAAATTTTGAGAGAAAAGGGATTGCTTTACACAATCTAAGACAGACAGCTTTAGATCTTCTACGAATTACTCTAATGACTTTCATCTCTCTCTCAGCTTTTATCGTTGTGGAATCCAAGGTTGTCCCTCGCGTGTGACATTCTAAGAAACTGCTATGAAGCATTTGCCTTGTATTCTTTTGGGAGTTACTTGATCGCATGCCTTGGTAAGCTACACAATCTTTTTGGCTGTTTCTCGAAACACCACAATGTACTAAACTATCTTGACTATGTTTGTGCTGCTTTCCTCTCTTCTCCATCTCTAGAATTCAGAATTATATTTCGACATTAGTTTGTTGACACTGAAATCAACGACTTGAGAAACTGTAGGATTTAACACCGCGCTAGATAAGTGTACCTTTAGTTGTTTGTTCCATGGGCATCTTACCTCTTTATGGCTCAACATCTATCTCAAAATTAAATTGTTAATTTTATTTTTTTTAAAATAATGTCTTTTAAATCTTTCTATGATGTTGCTCCGCTTCTATTAGATTTTTCATTTTTTCCGCTGTTCAATTAGAGGCCTTTTAGTTGAACAATATCCGTGCTAGGTGGAGAAGATAGAGTCATAGAACTGCTGGAAGATGAATCAAGAAAACTGCTCATGAGCGAGCCATTGCTAGAAGAGGCAGATGAGAAACCAAAGGTGCAACAGAGAACATTCTGGTACTTCTTCATCCAACCATCTGTGCTTGGAAAAGATTTGCTATCTATAGAAAAGTTTGGCCTTGTACAATATGTAAGTCACAAAAAGATCAATTTTTATATTTTTGAAATAGATTCAATTAACTCTAATATCTTCCCGATAGCCCAGATGATTTTGAAGACTGTATGTGCATTCTTAGCACTCATACTGGAGCTCTTTGGTGTGTATGGTGATGGAGAGTTCAAGTGGTACTATGGGTATGTATCATTAACAAATGACAAAAAGTCAAAACTGTTGCATAAATATATAATTACATATATGACGATTGTTAAGTGTTGACATTCATAACAATGGTATTGCTCCAAACTTCATGGTCACTTTCTCAATGTTCTATGGAACATATAATTCGATCATAAAGTCAAGACTTTTTATTGTTTTCCTCAAATTTTTCATGCTGCCTGGAAGAGAGAAGGCCCGTAATTTATCCGCACTAGAAATCAATGGTAGTTTCCAAGTGAAGAAAAATTAACCTGCTGCAACTTATTCACTCCAATTGAGTTCAAGTTAAAATGGTAGCTAACTGTGATCAATTGAATAATAATTTTTGTCTGTATTTTTATTTTTTTGGTTGCCTTGCAGTGTTGACAATCTTCTCTCTCTTATCTTTCTGCTCACTGTTTTTTTTGCTCCTGTTGCAGATACCCTTACATGGCAGTAGTATTGAACTTCAGCCAGATGTGGGCATTATATTGCCTAGTGCAATTTTATAATGTGACTCACGAAAGGCTTCAACCGATAAAACCGCTTGCAAAGTTCATCAGTTTTAAAGCAATTGTGTTTGCTACTTGGTGGCAAGGCGTTGGGATCGCCTTACTGTGTGCTCTTGGAGTTTTGCCCAAGGAAGGAAAATTTAAAACCGGATTGCAGGATTTTCTAATCTGTATAGAAGTAAGTTTCTCTTTAGTGCAACAATTTCGGAAATGTCAACTTTCTTTCTGTACAGCTTGATTCTCCATTATAAATGCCCACCACACCTAGTCTTTTGAGAATCCCTACTTAATGTTGGAGAAAATCTCATAGTTGACAAGAAAAATGAGAGAATGATCTAGGCATCTTCGAGGGGTTGATCTTTTTTGGCCCCTCGTGGATGCTATGTATCGTCACATTGCTATATTTTTAACTGAATACGGAGAATTTTGGGATGGAGCCATGGACTTTAGGACTGTCCTACAGAATATGCATGTAGAACTGGAGGCTTCTATCTGGCAGCAACATGATGCACCATGAACATCACAATGTTCATCACCAATGACCATATAAACTCAATAATCATCTTTTGCTTAATGAAGTGGAATGTGACGTGTCTGAATTACAATAAAGAAGTGTGGTTGATAAGAATATAGCTAGTTATTTACTGATAAACAAATTTGTGATTTGGAAATTTAAATATTTTCTCTTGCAATTACTTAAGCATCTTTCAATTTGAAAGCCAACAAAAAAGAGATGTTTTACCACATTGTGATGGAGCTGGAATGGTGATCTCCACAAAGAAGCACATGTTACTCCCTTAAACTCATACGACTAGAAATGGAACTCTGTCGGGCCATTTCCCTTCTGATATTGAATGGGAGAAGAGAGAAATTAAGAGGGGCGAGTTACAGTGACTTTCTTTGTTTTTTGAGCAATATTTCCTTTGCTGAGATCAATGAGTTTGTACTCTTCTAAGTTAATCTCTCGTCCTCCCTCTTCCTGCTTCATTTTTTTTTCCTTTTCACCCAAAGGAACTTTCATTGACTTTTGATATATGATCACAAGTGAATATATGGGACAAGAAGTTATTTTATTTATTCATTTTTTTTTTTGGGTAAGTTGTTTATTCTTTTATTTCTATTTATGCAAAGTTACATTAAGGTCAAGTTGGCTTGTCTCTATGGAAAACAAGTTGTGTTTGGTTGGTTGTTGAGGGTTTCACATCAAGATTATAAGGTTGTTGAGTTATACTGTTTAATATTACGTAATATGATCTAAATGAAGTATTAACAAAAGGAAAAGCCACCATATCCTTATTATGCAAGAATACACTAATTTGTATGTTCTGTAAATATAATCCCTGTGGAGAGAGCTTCTGATCAAAGACAAAAATAAATAAATAAATAAGTATGCATTTGTCGATTTGTGAAACCCAGAAACATCTTCCTTCTTCTTCTTTTTTTCTTCTTTTTTTTTTTCTGAAATATATATTATCATACCTGGTTTATGTTTCTGGAATGTCAGATGGCTATTGCAGCTGTGGCTCACATTTTTGTCTTCTCCGCAAAACCGTATCAATTCTTGCCAGCTTCCGAGTACGAGAAAGTCGCAACCCGAAGAGCCCAAGCAGTGGCAAAGTTAGACGAGGGTGGTAAGGAAAAACCAGCTGTTCCTGAAAGGACAGAATCTGAGGTTGAGGCTCATGGAACAAGAACTAGTGTTAGAGAAAGCGTTCAGGACATCGTCGTTGAAGGTGGTCAACATGTGAGTTCTCCCCTATATATACTACTTCCATGCATAAATACAATAAGTTCAGTTCATATTTATCTGACATTGCATGAGCAGGTTGTCAAGGACGTCTTTTTGACAATAAACCAGGCAATGGAACCTGTGGAGAAGGGCATGACAAGGATCCAGGAGACTTTTCACCACCGATCCGTGGCTTCCGATGACAACAAAGAGGAGCTAGAACTAGAAATTGACGAATATGCTGAGCAAGATCTCACCAGAAGTGGATCCAATGTATTGAGTTATGAAGAGAAGGTATTTACTGAAAGTGATGGTGGAAATGGAAGATGAACAGGTTCAAAATTTTTAATGTTTAGGGATTCTACGGACAATTATCAGACGAGGATCAGGAAATGATCATATCAATTTTGTCAAGTTACTTGGAATGGTTGAAACTGCTGATTTAATTTAGTTCTCAATATGTAGACTATACCACTTTGCACCAGAAGTATACGCAAAAATGGATACTGATGCAACCGGAGAAGCCACGATCATGATTGGGTCCTGCTATTTAATTTTAGACTAAGCTGTGCATGGTCTGATGCTGGATTTTAAATGCGACTATTATTAGGTGCAATGAGCTCAAGGGCAGACTTTGCTAACCAAATGGCTTGGTTAGTTGAGATTATGTTCATGCATTGGACCTGGTATCGCGGTCTATGTTCTAGAGCAGGTCAAGTGCAGGGAAAATAAATTTGTATCGCGTTTTATGTTCTGAAGCAGGGTTAAGTGCAGGGATGGTGTTGAATAATTTTTATTGTATTATGTTTCTATTTTCTCACAAGGGTGTTCTTTGTTAGTGGGAAGGTGGCAAGTGAGATTGTGCTGGATTGGGTTAATATTCTTGCACAATATTAAATGTAATATTGGTTCATGGAAACCACTGTAAAAGATTGAAATTTCTAAATATTATACAGTTTTAAATCACACTAGGAAGGTGGTAAGATTTTGAATGGGTGAAAAAATGGGTTTGTAAATGTTGTATACAAAATCAAAACTAAAGATAAATAATGGATTTGAAGTCCCAATGAGCGTCATGTAGCTCCAAAGGATCCTCCTTGCTGCAAATCTTCCAATGCGCTGAACCCTTGTGGATCTTCAGTGGGAGAGTTCCGATGGATCCTCATTCCTGCAAATCTTCTTCTTCATCTTTCATATTTCCGAGACTCGTTGGGTCTAGAGACTTCAGTTATTGAAGGCATTTAAATCAAGCCGATCCAGTGAAAAATAAATGAATATATTAAGAAAAATGCAACCCTTTTCATATACAGACATGAATATTATCACTGCATAGAACAAGAACCTGAAAGATCTCATAGTTTTGGCTTTGTCATCCATCGCGTCCAGAACAGCACGTATCACAACAAACTAAGCAACCTAAACATGCTAGGGCACCAAGGAGCTGTGTGAGTACTATTGCGCATTGGTCGTTCATCCGCGAACATGTGTTGACGCAGCACATGCAACAACAGTGGCCGCAGAGCTTGCCACAACAGTTGGAAGCTGCCATAGCTAAAATTTCACCACGGTCGGGCGATTTTGGTTCTTCAAATCCAGGAGGAATGTTTTCAGCAGTTGCTTTCAAGTTGCCAAAGCCAACTTGAAAGGTAGCTAATGTCGAAATTTTCTGGCTTGTAGAGTCCGTCTTCTGGGAATCACTTTTGCTGCTTACCTGTTTATGTTGGCTTTCAATTAATTCATCATATAAATCATAATTTCACCGTAAAGGTTGTATATGCACAAGATAAATCACTTCCTCCCTCACAACTACTTCGGCAAACGTACAAAGAGATCAGCATGATCCACATTTTTCTCCCAACTAAATAATTATCATTTCTCATATACAAAAGGAGATTTGATATGATTAAACCAACCAGTTTTAAAGGCATTTATAACACTTGCTTTTGGTTATATGCAGCTGGTCTGTGCTGCTATGAACTTGACTGGTTGTTACGAGTGTTTTGGTGCAATATAACACTTGCTTTGGGTTATATGCAGCTGGTTCACTGTGTTGCTATAAACTTGACCAGTGTTTTGGTGCAATATGTACTCAGTAGGCCACCATTGGAATCCTTTCGTTATTGTGTATCACGTATTTGATCACATCAACCACGTATTCCTACAGGGCACTTATTTATTGCAAATTAAATGTTGTTTTCTTTCTTTGACTTGATATTAGCTGTTTTAAATCAAAAATTAAAAAAACTTATACCCTCTCATCACCACAAGGCTCATGCCTCAACTTAAGGAGGGTGGAAAACTTTGACATACACTTTCACTTTTTAACATTTATTATAGGTAATGCATACCTGCTGCACTCCAGTTGATTCGGTGGCTTTCTTCCCTCTCTGAGTCTCGAGCAATATCATATGGGTATACTCAGACACCACACCGCTTTGTATGCTCAATTTGGCTATCTGCCAACAATAAGAAACAGATGAGGTAAATGTCTTTACACCTCAGAACAGAAACTTACTGGGGCATAAAAGAAACTGTGAGACATCCCAAAACAATGTAGTCATGCATAGGATTAAACATGAACCAGCGCAATGATATGTTATTAGACCCCCCCTAACACCATTAAACCAACTGTTTCATCAACACGTAGATTGTCGGTAAAGAAGATCCAGAACTGTTGCTGACTGGTGGTTTGGATAATGGTACCAGGATGATTTAGAAGCGAATAAATGTTCATAGTATTCATCTCAAGGTCCGGTTCAAACACCAGTGTAGGTGCATCTAAAAAGTATACATGCTTTATATGGATAAAATAAATTGAAATAAAAATCTAGATAGGGGTCCGCTCAACAGCTTTTTCCCGTATAAACTCACTTTGCCTAATTGGCGACCCTTCTGCTCACCATTTATCACCAAAATCTTCAATCCCCCCTCAAACTATTTGAACTTCCAAAGCCAAACTTTTTTATCAACAACTGAAAGAGGGAAAAAGGGCTTATGATTCTATTTAGTTGTTCGACACTTGCACTGTTTATCAACAACCGGAGGAGGAAAGAGAGGCATGTTAAGAGTAACAGACCTTATCATCAAGCTCTTTATTTTCTGAAAACCATTCCTGAGCTGTGACTACATCAATCTGTTGCTTTTCAAGTACCTATGGCAAATAATAAGTTAATTTACATCAAGAGAGTATAGATGTAAATTAACTTTTGATTTTTACGTCAAGAGAGTATAGATGGAAACTAACTCAATTTCCCTAATTGGCCCTTCTGCTCACCATTTATCACCTATCTAGGCTTTTATTTCAATTTATTTTAAATATCTAAAGCGTGTATAATGGATACTTTAAAATGGGTGTCAAATTACATCAAGAGAGTATAGATCTAAATAAAAGTTGATTTAAAAGCAAATAAATCTTCTAGGGTAAAGAGACCACAGTCTTCTAGTGTAATTGAAACCCATTTCAGAGTATCCATCTCAAGGTCTGGGTTCAAATCCCAGTGTAGGTGCATCTTAGAAGTAGGTACATCATACATGTTTTAGATGTATAAACTAAATTGAAATAAAAATCTAGATAGGGGTCCCACTCAACAGCTTTCTCCTGTATAACTCAATTTGTCTGATTAATTGCCGACCTCTCTGCTCAACATTTATCACCATAATCTTCAAATCCCCTCAAACAATTTGAACTTCCAAAGCCAAACTATTAATCAACAACTGAATAAGGAAAAGAAGGCTTGTGATCCTATTTAGTTGTTTGACACTTGCACTATTTATCAACAACCGGAGGAGGGGAAAAAGGCATGTTAAGAGTAACAGACCTTCTCATCAAGCTCTTTATTTTCTGAAAACCATGCCTGAGCTGTGAGTACATCAATCTGTTGCGTTGCAAGTACCTGTGGCAAATAAAAAGTTATTTTACATCAAGAGAATAGATGCTCTAACATAACTAAGAAATCAACAAAAGGATCCGGAAGAAATATAATTGAATGAAGTTAAGCTATCTGTAACAAATAAAACCTATAGATGCTCTAACACGGATAGCAATCGATTAGTTGGTATTATCTTCGAATTAAGGAACTTAGTGAATCATGAACTGGAACAGGTAAACAGGTGAATGAAAGAATGTGATGGGTAAAATATACAAATACAATCCAAAACTCAGAGGCTCCAATGGAATTTTCATTCACCTGAAGTCTATAGCAGATACAACTTTAAATGGACATCAAAACGAAAGCTACCAACAAGGCACCAAAAATTAGTACAGATTGTGTGACACATAAGAGTAATAAGCTTACTGTATTGATACCTTACCTTATTAAGAGGTATGTCCTTCGCCTGTTGTACTTTCAGGTCAATAGTAAAATTGCTCATATTTGCGAGGACACCTCTAGCTTTGAGGGTGTCAGGAAAGTCTCCATGGTATCTGCCTGACACAATCAATGGGCTTTCAGATAAAAGGTCTGGAATACGAGAAGGATACACCTATCATAATGATTGTAAAAATTCCGCGTTAAGTTTGAGGGACAAAAAACCAGATGAATCAGAAAATGTGAAGGAAAACCAGTCTAATTGCAAGCAGGATGTGATTGACAAAAGTTATGCAGCAAATAAGTGAATTTCTTGCTAGTTCCATGTAAAAAAGGACTAACATAATGGAAAAAAGATTTTAGACATGGATACAGACAAAAACCACAATATAAAAACAACAGAGTACGCACTACATTTAAATTGCATCATTTGCATCCCCAAAAATCATAATGAAAAGGATACACCTATTCATTGTTAAAATTCCATGTTAAGTTTGAGGGACGAAAAACAGATCAATCAGAAAATGTGAAGTACCAAGTCTAATGCAAGCAGGATATGGTTGACAAATGTTATGCAGCAAATAAGTGAATTTCTCGCTAGTTCCACGTAATAATGGACCAACATAACAGGAATTTTTTTTTATAACTCCAAGTGAATAATGAGACATGGATACAGACAAAAAAAGACCACAATATAAAACAACATAGTACGCACTACATTTAAATTACATTATTTGCATCCCCCAAAAATCTGTAACTGCAACATCATTATATTTGATTCATTGGGGAAAAAAAAAATCATTATAGATGTTACTTAAAGATCATAATAGCTGACAACTTTGTCGAAAATATTCAGCAAATCATGGAACATATAGCAAGGAAGTTCTTAAATTACTTGCAAAACGAAAATTGAGAAGATGCTATCATGTCCTTAATGATGCTTTACAAAATGAAAATTATGAAGACAGCCACGCCAAGCATACCTCAAGTTCATCAAGGTTTTCCAGTGTGTCAATGGCTATATTTGCAAGAATAGTAGACAAAGCTCTGGAAAATAATCCTTCCATTCGAATATCAATTGAATCTGACCAAACACAAAGCTGGATTAGAAAAAGAATTTTCCATGTAACAAGGCAAAATTGAAATTCATAATTGCCAAAGAGACAAAAAAGAGAGCCCAAATGATGCCATGGGTGCCAACCTAAGACCTTACAACCCCCAATCACTGATCCTGTAGACACACTACCACTGTACTTGTGCAGGTTATCCAGTTATGGCAACAGTCTCAAGCCGGTGGCGTAACCACCTTAGGCCCACTGAAAATTTTCTTAATTCACAAAAGAGCTTAAGAAAATATCTAAAATTTAAAAAGACCCCTCATATTTGTAACTCATTTGCCTAATAAGATGTTAAAATTTCAAAAAAGACCCATATTTTTTCTCATAGTGGATTTCTACATAATTTATAAAAATCAAAATTAAAAAAAGACCCCTTATTTGTTATTTATTATTTTAATTTACTTTTTTATTATATTATTGTTTATTGTTGCCCACTCTGAACTAATTTTCTGGCTCCGCGCTACTGTCTCAAGTTCAGATCTGTACACTCAATGACGCATATACAGACTAAAGAACCAGTTTTCGCACTTAAAATCTTTGGACCTATATCAACTATTCCCTGGCTATCCAAAAAAAAAATCCATAACTCTTCATACAATCTATCTTACATGAACTTGTGTACATGTTCTGGGTACTATGAGTGTCAAACCTCACCTGATCCCAAAATTTACATGCGGGAAATGGATGAAGGTACGTAGGCCTGTATTACGCATTATATTTATATAAATACATGTACGAAAAGCATAAATAGGTTTTTCCACTAAAATTTTTTTGAATCAATATCAACCAATCCCTGGCACATCCAAAAAAAAAATCCAAATTATACAATATATGTTACATAAGGTTTGAATAATTTAGCACTTATATTAAGCTATTATCCAATTAAGCGCAATTTGAGTGCCACTGAAAACGGTAAGCTGGAATTAAAATGGGGTAAAAATTTAAGTGACACAAAACATCACTTATCACTAAATGCTTTAAATTTTACAAAATATTAAAAAATATTTTATTTTAAATTACCACTTAAAATCTTCAGCGCTTAAAATTCAGCTCTTAAAAATTTTCAGTACTTAATTTTCAATTGGATACAGTACATAGACATGTACACATTTAAATAAGTATATGTTATATAATAGTGTAATGTTTGATATTGTTGTTCTTTAAGAATATACTTTATTATGATTAGTTAAATGCCGTGTGATATAAAAGGAAAATTGTATTTGTTGTGACAACCGACTGTCGCAACACTCACAGTCCCTTAGTGGGGCCCACCATGAGTGCCCACTAGGGGGCTGTGAGTGTTAACGACAGTCGGCTGTCACAACGCCTATCAGTGAGTGTTACGATAGTCGGTTGTCACAACGCTTATCAGTGAGTGTTGCGACAGTCGGTTGCCGCAACGCCTATCAGTGCTCGGTATAAAAGGACTTCTAAATATGTCAAAAATCAGAAACTCTTCTTTGCTATCAAATTTGAGTTCTTACTTCTTCGATCATAACATGTGAAGGATCAGCGTGTCCAATTTGGGATTGTGTGTTGAGCATGTATCCCCGAGCCCTTAGCCATGTTGTGTTGCATCAACACATGTAAGAGTCCATGCTGAAAAACTTATTTAGTATTACCTCTTACCATGCTGAAAAAAAACTCTCAAAGGGCTTGGGGATACCTCTTATCAAATTTGAGTTCTTACTTCTTCGATCATAACATGTGACGGATCAGCATGTCCAATTTGGGATTGTGTGTTGAGCATGTATCCCCAAGCCCTTAGCCATGTTGTGTTGCATCAACACATGTAAGAGTCCATGCTGAAAAACTTATTTAGTATTACCTCTTACCATGCTGAAAAAAAACTCTCCACTGGCAAGTTACTAAAGCCACTTGCTTAATGAACTAGGCTTGCTTCTAAAAGCCAAGCAAGCACCTAATCAGGCTTCACCAAGGGTTCCATATCTGGAATTAACTGTTTAAAATCAATATTCACTGTTCAAAGTGTCCATAGTTCATAGTGAAGTATCTTGCTCAGCAAGTGAAAAATACTTGCTCCTAAAAAGTTACACATAGAAGAGGAGCATATTTGCATGCCAATTCCTTGGAGAATGCAATACAACTGTGTCAGCAACCAAAAAAACATCTTCTTCAATCTATCAGAATGTAATATAATTTAATGAATATGATCATTATTCTTGAAATACCAGATATTTGGGCTAAAAAAGGAACCAAATGGGAAAGAATATGCCTTTCTTAAATAGGAATGAAAAGGGGAAGGGAGGGACAAAAAATGGGAATGTTTTATTGCGAAAAATTATTACCAAAAAACATTAATGCAATACAAGTGAGTATTCTTCAATCTGTCAGAATTTAATATAATTAATGAATATGATCTTTATTCTTGTAATACCAGATATTTGGGTTAAAAAAGAAACCAAATGGAAGGAATATGCCTTTCTTAAATAGGAATGAAAATGGGAAGGGAGGGACAAAAAATGGGAATGTAATAAAAGTTATTACCAAAAAGAAACCAAATGGAAGGAATATGCCTTTCTTAAATCGGAATGAAAAGGGGAAGGGAGGGACAAAAAATGGAAATGTAATACAAGTTATTACCAAAAAACATAAATGCAATCTATCAGAATGTAATATAATTAATGAATATGATCATTATTCTTGAAATACCAGATATTTGGGTTAAAAAAGAAACCAAATGGGAAAGAATATGCCTTTCTTAAATAGGAATGAAAGGGGAGGAAGGGAGGGACAAAAAATGGGAATGGTTGGGCTTCTAAAACCCCTTTTTGCAATGAAAGGAAATGGAGAGGAGAGACAAGAAAGTTAGTGTTTTGCGCTTCTTTGTCCTCGCACAACAGATTATCCACTTTTTCCTTTTCTCCCCCATTTATTTTTCAATGAAAACGCTATCCATTCCCTCCCCAATCATCTTTCCATTTCCTTTATTTTATCTCCTAAATAATAGTAGTTTTGTCTATCCAAGTATGAAGCTAGTTTACAGAATCTAAAAAGGATTAGATCGTACACACATCAGTGAAAAGGGGTTCCTCACAACCAAAAAAAAAAAAAAGCATATAAATACATATAATAGACACAAACACACAACTCTGAAGCAGTTAAAAAATAAATATACCAAGCTAAATAACATAAAAATTAACTATTTAAAGTATACGATTACTAAATTCAAAAATATATTTCTTGAGTTCAACTAATAAAGAAAATGAAAAAAAAAATGATGCTTATTGTGTCACACCAACAGAAATTCTCAATAACTTCAAAATATGCACACTCGCTTTGGAGAAAGGAGCTTAGCTTTTTTCCAAGATAATAATAATATGAAATCACAGAACTTACCTACATCATAAGCAGCTCCGTAATGGCCCCTGCCAAGTATTGCAAGCATTCGCAAGAAATAATGATTACAGAATGTACCTGGAAATTTGAAATGACAAGTCAACTAGAAGGTTTGAAAATAAAACGCAATTATTGCCTCCGACATGCATCTCTCTCCATCCCAAGAAACAATGATTACAGAATATAACTGAAAATTTGATATGACAAGTGGAAGGTCAAAAAATAAATAGAACTCCCTCCATACTAAAGGTCCAAAATAATAATCCTAACAAGTGAGAATTCACTAGTCCAATCATCGTGGCGCTATTTGACATTACGCGCATCCATAGATATAATATGCAACTTGAATGAAAGAAGAGAGCAGCAAGTGACTTAGATCATTGATGGACAATGAAAGCCACTCTCTTCAAGGAACATACATGTATGACCAGATAATGTCAATCTTATAAAGCAGGATCATGAAACAAGAAAACAATTATTGCTCGGTAAAATTTAGAAAAATCAAAAAGCATCCACCGTTTGAATATCACTGGTCCAATCAATCATGGCACTATTTGAATTATGCATCCATGGATGTAATATGCAAATTGAATGAAAGGAAGAGAGCAACAAATGTCTAGAGCATTGATGGACAATGAATGCCACTATTTTCATGGAACGTACACATATTACCACCAGCAGCAGAGTTGTAATTGGCACACATTGCTGCTTTCATCATGTTGGTCATGTGCAAGCTTTGCATAAAGCAATGGATATGTTGGGAATTATGAAAAAACAAAAAAAAACAAAAAAACAAACAAACAAAAGAAAAGTATAAAAAGTTGTTCTATGAACATTACTCAACACAATGAAGAATGTGACATTCCACACAAATTTTATCTCTCCTGGTATTGTCATCAGCAAACAATTACATCAAATAGACTAGGAGGAGTTCCTACCTATGCCAAAGGTGTGGATACGTGGGCATATTGATCCTCGATTTGTTAGATGACTTTTCATAACGTCACAAATGTGCCTCTCATTTTCAACAGCCCCATCAGTGATGAGAAAAATCAGAGGAATAGCATTGCGAGTACTGGATAACATTTCTATTGCCTGAAACATTGTAGCAAAAGATTTCAATTAAGGTTGAATAAAAAGGTTACAGTGTATTGAATACCAACACTTTATAAGATCAATTAGAAATGCTATATTAAAAAAAAAAAAAAAAAAAACTTGGTTGATTGGGTAACATCCTGGATGGACATCAGAAAGCATTCAGCATACCTTCAAACATTTTTTCCTTTTTAAGTAAAATTTAATTACAAACAACAAGCATACCCTTCAACATCAAATTATTAACTTTTCAACAATATGGTTCTGCAATAACAGTCAAATTGACTACATAAAGGTACACTGCAAAAGGTGAAAATAAATAGATATACTACGAGAAAATTTTAAATTACATGTAGATTGGTGAAGTTTCAGCAGTTACATCAGGTAGTGAGTGACCGAATGTTCCTCCAACAATCCATAAGAAGCAACATCTTGGTTGAGCTTCAGAAAGCATAACCATACATTTATATGATACTAACACTAATAACATATAAACTATGCAGATTTGGGGTGTACAAAAAAAAAAAAAAAAAGAAGAGAAGTTGACTGCATAAAAATTTTGGGTACAGGTTGTGAGTGTAGAAGTTTGTAACTGTAATACTCCTTTTCTTTTTTATGATGCTTGTTGAAAAGGCACCGCCACATAGTTATTTTATACATGAGGCATGTATTATTCATTTGGTCAATCAGTATGGTAGAAAAAGTGTCATGTTGCTAACTCAGTGCAGATACAAACACTATATAATATATCCATATATATATGATCAGTGAACACTGGAGGACTGGTGAGATTTTTTTTTTTTTTTTTTGATCTAGGGAAATTACTGGAATAACAAAATATAATCAGTGAACGACGAAAGAGAATGAAATGGAACCTGATTAAGGGGAAGCAAAATATCTGTACCACCACCTGCAATGAAGTTCATGCTAATCCACTGAGTGGCATTTTCAATCGCGTCCTTGGTTGCCAACTCCATAGATGAGGAATATAGGTAAGTCTCTCCATTAAAGGCTATTATAGTAAATGAGTCTTCTGGACCAAGCTTTGAGAGTGCCACAGATAATGCATACTTTGTAACCTCAAGTGGCTTTCCCCGCATGCTTTCACTTATATCAACAACAAACACCACTTCCTTTTTGAAAACCTTTCAAATTGATTAATAAAAAGAAATTAATACAACATGATTCCAGATAAACTAAACCAAACAAAATGCAGATGAACAAGGGAAAAAAAATGTAGATGGTTGAGAAAACAATGGAAAAAACAATTGGGCTCGAACTAAAATGCACCAATATTCGATGTCAGATGCTATTTTGGGAAAACCTATGATCCCATGCAAATATACATTATAATATAATATTGGTTGAAATTTGATGGTAGATTGCATACAGTGAAGTAGGATGTTTTGTGCAAGTTGTGAGTAGACAAAGTCATAGAACTCAAAATTCTATTCAACATAGGTGTCAAAATAATTTCCCGTGTAAAAAATCATTGGCTTTTGAAGAAGTTAGCTAACATGCTATAGTTCAACTAACATGCGATAAGTTAATTGCTCATCATTAACTAACAGGTATAAATTTAATAAATGCTATTTGTTACTTATTATTACTTTTTTCTGCTAGAAATATACTCATTATATTTATATCTTAAAACTCTCCTTTAAACATGGTCCTACTTAGCATCCTCCACACATATATATGACTAGATGATCTAAAGATACCCAAGTTTTTATAAATAAAAAAAAAAATTGCACCAACTCTTCACCACCTTAATTGATGTAAATTTTTTCTGCTAGAAATATAAACATTATGTTATATTTATATCTTAAAACTCTCCTTTAAACATGGTCCTACTTAGCATCCTCCACACATATATATGACTAGATGATCTAAAGATACCCAAGTTTTTATAAAAAAAAAAAAAAATTGCACCAACTCTTCACCACCTTAATTGATGTAAATTTTTTCTGCTAGAAATATAAACATTATGTTATATATATATCTTAAAATCTCTCCTTTAAACATGATCCTACTTATCATCCTTCACACATGCAAATATATACCTAGATGATCTAAAAGATACCCAAGTAAACAAATAAATAAGCTTCATTACTTATACTAAAGTTAGTAAGAAAACAGTAACCAAAAAAAAAAAAAAAATTCTGAAATTAAACATGTTAATTGATGTTACGCGCTAACTGTTAAGACACTTTTAAGGAGTGTCAGACACATGCCCTAACCTTCATTTCCAAGGTTAGCACAACCCCTGTCCAAGGCGTGTCAATGCTTTACAATTGATATCTGATGTGGGAGCCAAATCGATTTTATGCGCATGTATTTACACGAAATATAAACATTATGTTATATATATATATCTTAAAATCTCTCCTTTAAACATGGTCCTACTTAACATCCTTCACACGTGCAAATATATACCTAGATGATCTAAAAGAAACCCAAGTAAACAAATAAATAAGCTTCATTACTTAGACTAAAGTTAGTAGGAAAACATTAATTAAAGAATAAAAAATAAATAAATAAATTTGAAATTAAACATGTTAATTGATGTTACGCACAACTGTTAAGACACTTTTAAGGAGTGTCAGACACATGCCCTAGCCTTTGTGTCCAAGGCTAGTACAACCCCTGTCCAAGGTGTGCTTTACAATTGATATCTGATGTGGGAGCCAAATCGATTTTATGCGCATGTATATACACGAATATATATAAAAAATCGAAATCATATGCATATATCCTTTCAAAGGGAGGGGGGGATGAGACAGAGGAACAACTAAAAAAGAGGGATTCAAAGAGATGTGAATGAAAGAGTGTGCGAGATAGGGGGAGACAAGATTCCAATCTTATATTCTTTTACAACTTGTTTGGCCACAAGGATTGTGCCTTTTGGATATACATATATATATATATATATATATATTTATTTATTTTAATGGAATTTGGGCCAATAGACCTTTATGTTTTTCAAAAAAAAATATAGGCTATCTGGTGGGCCTTATTTAAATGGATGATATTTATGAATATACATGTGATCTTGAACAAAAGTTAATTTTATATATATAATAAATAAATAAAAATTATATATAACCAAAAAAAAATTATACTACTATTTTATTGTCATATCCTTGCCAAGTTCATGTCCTAATTTATTGAAATTTCGTATCACTATTTTACTCGTGTCCCGTGCCAGTTCTTAATAACTATCCCTAATATTTGAAGCTGGCTTATGAATCATTATTATTTTACCGTGTTAATAAAGTGTAACCATCCCAAAACCATCGTTTGAGGCTACACAACGGCGCTTCCTTTTCTGCTATATTTGTTATATAATTCAACATCACAATCACATATGGAAGCAAAAAAGCTTCATTTATAATTACTTATTGGGCAAAAACGAAGAATAAAGAAAAAGACAATTTACCTCAAGCTTCCTACTTGGCTCGTTTCCTGGAAAAAGATAGAAGCAGAACATGTCTCTTTGATCAGTGTCAAGCACAGATGGAGATTGTAAAAGCACACCGCCAAATACATTACTTGAAGAAACCTGCAAACATGTGTGCTGGGAAATAAGTTTTTATAATCTCATACAATCGTGCATCTCCCAATATAAGTCCATGCATATCCACGATGATGAAACTTCATAGTATATACACTCATATACTTTGCCGGTATAATAAAGCAGCAGCGACATGTCATATGCATAATAAGTCAGTGTATATGGGTAGGGTCTTACTATGTATGAAAAATTGAAATCGCTACTTGACCATGTAAGAACTTCTGATTCATATAAGAAACGCAAGTTCCCCACTTGGCGCCGTAGTTCCTGCACTTGCAGAAAAAGCTATTCACTTATTGAAATATTAAAACAAAAATCTAATAGAAACTAAGAAAAATATGCACCTTTAGAGGATGACTAGCCGTCTTACACAGCAATTCAGTTCCAGGGCCAGAGTTAACATTCAGTTGTATCTTCTCTTTTTTGGAAATCTTCTTTCCAGCAGGAACGACATACTCGGGGAAACTAAATGGTACATTCAAGGAGAATTGACCATCTTGATGTAATATTTTTTGAGACCAACTAACTTTGATTGAAAGATTGGACCCCCCATCAATCTGAAAAGTTTAAGCATATGTTTTAATGGAATTGAATAAGACTTGTAACTACAGATCATGAAGAATTTAGAGTCTACTAGACAGAATTAGTAGTTACCTGGGGTATTGTAAAAGTAAATATATGGGGTTTCAAAAAGCCTCCATCTTCAGCTTTGGCTACCTTTTCCAGGTCCTGCTTTTCATCCATGGCAATCAGTTGGGTACAATAAAATTTCCCAGGTACTTCAACCTCCACACCTAGAACTGAACCCTGTTAGCCAAATAATGTATTACTTGAGAACAAAAGAAAGAAAAAAGAAATCAGCAAAGTTCCATTTCTATTAAACAAAGGTACTAACTATACATTTAAGAACTTAATATATCATGGGAATGCATATAAACATAATTTGAGATACAAACATTGCCTGTACTTTCAACATCCATGCACAACATAGAAGCTGATAAGGTTAACATTGTGTGCACATGGGCTTGCACGTATGCACACTTATGCATGCGCTGCTTGCATATGAACCAACAAAATAAGAACAATATTGGGGAACTCTTTTATTTGAGGATATAAAAAACACAAATAAGAAATTCATGTGAAAAAATACTACTCTTAAGCTAAAAGCATAACATGATGTGACATTGTCTTCGTACACCACCACATCATTTTCTTTTGTTGCACAAGTATAGATGTAATGGTGGAATGAGAGATCTAAAAAGCATTCGTTTGTTCACAATCTGCAACAACTTCTCTGTGACATTTGGTCACACCCCAATCCCCTTTACTAGAGGATTCACCCATTATTTCAAATCCAGACATACTTAATCCGCACCAACAACGTCTCTCTAACAATTTGTCAGTCCCTATGTTACACAGAGTCTGAAATATTAATTTTATATGTAAATCTGATTCCATCATGTATATGGTTTATACAATATGGCGCGAAAATAGGCCAAGTCAGGTAGCAGTCCAACATGTCTCGCGATAACTTAGGACGGTCACCATCAATTTCCTGCATATGCTCAGTAGGAAAGTATAGCCTACCACCATAACATTTTATAATTTTCTACTGTATAAGATTCTTGTAACAAAATAATCAACCTAAGCCAAAACAATGAAAATACAATGATGATTTAAGACTGTTAAACAAAACAATAACACTCCAAAGCAATTAAACCAATGAGTGATGCACGTCATGTAAAAAGAATCATGACAACACCCTTTTGAGTGTGAATCACTGACGTGTATGATTCTTTTTACATGCCGTCAAATTACAATTATGTCATCCTTTAACACTAACCTTTCTGGCTTTCTCCATCCAAATTGCTTTTTCATTTAAATCAATTACCACAAATTTATACTAATTTTTAAACAAACCTAAGTTACTTCATAATTAGGAAATTTTCTCTCCTAAAATGAAACGAGAATCATTCTCTGATCAAGTTGCCCCAGAAGCACCACTTTTATAGTGAAGCAGTTAACTGAATTACAAAACAGATATTAGATGTGTGTCTTTGTATCCTTCACGCTTTTAAACATATGAAAAGAAATTATGAAGTGAAATAATTTATTGTTTGCTCAAGTACATCCTTCTTAGCTAATAACAGCTACCAAACAGAGAAGAAAGAAAGAAAAAAAACAAAATAAAATTCTTGAAAATGTGTGAAATTGATGATCACACATGTATAGTATTGTATGAAACAGTGTTTTGTTACCTGTTCGCCCATTGGAATTGCAACGCGACAATCACAGTGACGGCTTCCCATGACACAATGAACTCTCCATGATCCAGTAATCGTCAGGAACGCCGTGTCCAGATAACAATCGGCCTCCAACGCGATTCCGTTCATCTGAAGCGGAAGCAAAGCCGGAGGATCCAACCGCCCATGCACGTGAGGCTGGTAGCTGGCTATATCCGGATTATCCACGATCTCCGGATCAAAGATCACAGCGTAAACCATCGGCGCCGTCGGGAGGTACGAATTCAACGACTTCTCCATCTCGACCATCGGCTTCGGAGGCGCCACCGCCCTGTCTTTACCGAAGTACACTCGCTTCGACAGCCTCAGGCCGTCTTCCACGGCCCTCGCAAAGTCCTCGGCGGCCATTTGGTTCCGTATCGCCGGTGGGTGTAATTAACCGGCGGCCGAGAATAGGAGGAGATTTTGAAGTAGGGTTTTGAAAAAATGAAAAAGATAGACCTTTCAGGAAGATCGCTGCGCAAACGCAAAGTCTCAATAACGCTTTGATGATATCTTACGATTGATAGAAACTATGCAGGTTTTGGAGAAAGAGACGGCCGTTAACGCAACGGCTCTTTTTCTGTTTTCAATACGCTACGCATGAGCAAGCTGTACATTTAGTGCTCCTGAGCTGTGCCATGACTCAGCCCCCTTGTGGGGGCCACTGATATTAGTGGGTCATTATTACTAATAAATTAAGATGTCGACTTCAAATCTCAATAATCCATATGGATATGGCGCGACTTTAGTTAGTGCCCTTTGTGGAAATGGGGTAGTTCTAAAGCTTTATTGGAATTGTTTGAGCCCACCTGAGAAAATAACCGGTATTTTGTCCCAGCAACTGAACGAAAAACAGAAAGTTATCGTACTTGACAAAGCAATGGCAGACAAGAAAGTTACATACAGTGATTGGTAACCGAGTTCAATTATGTGCTATTACTCTAATTTTACATTAGGTATGCAATAAAATTCAATAATATAATCAATGATCTCAATCAATGATCTCAATCATTGATTGTTCTAATTTAATTATTTTTTTATTTTTTCTAGATCATTCTAATTTTTTTATCCTTTTGACCTATGGTAACTTTGTGATCTAAATTTTATTTTTGTTCTTTCTTCATGAAAATTAAAATTAATTTACCTAGAGGTAAAATGCAATTAATTGTTTCGGAAACAACTTCATATCACTGTTTTTGATAACCTTTTTTTATTCCTCTACCCAGATATATTGTTAAAATGATATAGAGATTTTTATTCTCTCCCCAGATTCATTGTTAAAGTGTATTTTTCATTTTAACAGTGATTTACACACCAATGGATAAGTCAAAGGAATGGAATTTTACCTCCTTTTTTTTCTTTTCTTATGGACAAATCACACTCCCCGATCCAAAAAGGAGCATAGTTCACATTTCACCACAGCAACCAAATCAAACAAGGGGAGGAATGTGAAGGATTAGATAAGGAGAGAATTTCCAAAATGTCAAAAGTCTTGTCAAGGAAAGCAGCTTCCCTACTTTTGGTATGAAATTATCTTGAAAAGTGGGGGCTTCTCCACTATTATCTCTATAGAATATAATTTAGAATTGAAAACCCACTAGGGCATTGAGAAAAAGAATTGGGTGACCAATTGTTTTTAGCTGTCGGATATTCATCATCCAAAATCTTGGCCATAAAATGAAAAAGACTTAATAAGCCGTCTCTACAAAATGCACAAATGATATAGTATAATTACAAAATCTGAAAAGTATTAACTAAAAAAATCAGATGAATTTATTCTAAAAAAAAATTATTTTCCTTATTTATCACTTTCTTTATTTCACTTTTCTGATTTTATAATTAGTGATTATTTGTACATTTATAATTTATAATTGAACCACATAAACAGTATGAATGACTTACTCACCGATGAGTAAACAAGTCTTGTCTAAATAAAATTATCCATCAAAGCAATAAAATGGCCCACAAGTGTGAGGGAAAGGAGTAAGTTTTCATTAGTATATATCGAAATGAATTTGTTGCATACCTCCAGCCTGAACATCAACACAACAAAATCAACAAAAAAGAAAAAAGAAACAATGAACCTATTGCTCCTGTTTATACAGTTATCCAAAAGAGGAACTATCAACATCTAAAGCAGAATTCAATCATATATCCTTCTGCCCTAAATTTATAATAACCAGCCCTCTTTAAAGGCCGTCCCTTAATAACAGCCCTCTCATTAAGAATGTTGCCGCCTAAGATATGCAAGACGTCCTTAAGCATGGATACTTGCACAGAATGTTTATGATTGGCACCTGACCCCCACAGGGTAAGGACAAACCTATATGAACTATATAAGATCACAGCTCTTCCAACAAATTAAAGTTTGGAACACAAGCTCTTGTATGGGACTTTGATAAATAATATCTCTGATCCCGTGTATACATCCCTATGACGTTCTGTAGTATATTTCATCCGAGCCAGGAAAAGGTAGAATATGTCTCTTTTTCCTGACATATGGAAAGAATTCTTAAATAACACCAGCATTGTCAGATTAAATTCGAGCAAAAAGGATCTCATTCCATGTATCAGGAACGCCGGGTAAGCACCAATGCAAGCAATCCTGCATTCCTTCCGTGGCTCTAATGCTGTACCGAGAGATATGACCCTCGTCCCTAAGCTGAGATATAGCTGTTATGTCCAAAAGTTGAACCCTTGTTCCCTTGACTGCCCCTGCGGCAACAGAATCGCCAGGCTTATCATGTAAAACTTCCTTCCCTCCAGATAGAGGTGTGGTATTGTCACAAGTACCTCCTGTGTTCCAATCTCCATTGAAGAAATGCCTGGGCGACATAGACCGGAAGAATGCTTTCAAGCCTGGATATTTTGGGAGCTGCAAGTTTACCCAGTTCACAATACTGTATATTGTTAAGTTTTTGGCACCTCCGATCTCTGCAATCTTCCTATTGGTGTTTGGCACACCCCCAACGTGCATGATCCACCGGTTTGCCTTCAGCTTCCCTCTATTCCAATGATGTCCAGTGTTGAGAACGAGGACATCAAATTTGTGAATAAAATGACGCAAAAATGCTGGTGGCCGATCAAGGTGCATGGCATAATCAGTCTCTCGGTTTTTGGGATCAATTGGCTCCAAATCACACAGGCTAGCTGACCAATAATAGAGGACGGTAGTATTGGTGCTTGGGAACCGATAAGCCCATCCATCAGGGCGAGCAGCACCGCGAGCTTTGACAAGACCATACTCCCTCCCCACATCAATGACATCAGGCCTCTCTTCACCACCAGTGATCATGCACATTAGTGATTGAAACTGCTGTCGACCTAACGAATCCCCAACAAAAGCTAAAGTTTTGTCCTGCATCCTGAATGCGTTATCAAAATCAGCATGCTCATATAATTCCAGATAGCAATAAATTCAATAAGGGAAAATTCGGATAAAGTACAATGTGAGTGAAAAAAGGGTTTGGGGGAGTGGGTAAATGCATGCTACTAGATCTGCTCAAAGAAGGATTTGGTGAAGATTTGAGATGGAATCTCTAGTCAGACTGGAGAGAAATCAGGGATACTCTTCAATCACTAATGAAGGAACTTTCTTCTTACAAGTTGCAGCAGCACCATAATCAGAAACCAATCACCTTAACAACCTGCTTATATGTGATCAATCCAAAACCGGAAAATTTAGAAGCTGATTTAACCCAACCAAAAATGCAATTTTTTCCTTTTGTTGGTTGTTTTGGCGGGTGTTGGAGGTAGATTTTAGATCAGTGTTTAGGAATAGGGGTACACTAGTCTCAATGAATCACCGAACTATGTTCCAATCAAAAAGTCATACAAAGGATTGACTGATATGAAGAATTTCCAAACACAAGATGCAATAATACCTTTTCAGGAAGTTAGACCCAGTAAATTCTTTCATTTCACAATCTTTTGGCCTCCACCTTAACTTCTCATACGCAAAATCTGTGCGCTGCGTCAACCGACAAGCCCACATCCCTGACAGCCACTGTTTGCAACCAAGCCCAGAATATAAAGGCCGACTGTCATCTATGACCCATTTTCCAATGGCATAGTTACAGGCTGAAACCGTCCATAGAATGGCAATTAATTATTATTAATACTATATATATAAAGTATAATAAGCCATGAGCAATAATCAATCATTTGTGCAGAACTGATAAGAATAAAGCTGCACATTTGAAATTGTAAATTAATGGGACAATCCTTGAAATGCAAGCCTTTTTTTTTTTTTTCCCTTCACCTTGACAAGAAACTCACACTCACTTTGTCCCGGGACTTGACCCTCGACCTTCTAGTTCTACTTTGGAAAGTGAGGAAGTACCACTAGGCTACAGCCCCTGGTAATGGAAGCAGCTTGACATTACTCAAATCAGACCATTCATAAACCAAACCCATAGCCTTTAGTTTTGCATGATCACCTTCAACAAAGAAGCAAACTGTTTGGGCAATTGGAGACCTTTAACTCTGTTCAATTTGAACTGAAGGGGAGCCATTGACTCAATAGTCTATTGATGAGGATGTAAAACAGTCAACCAGTGCAAAGAGTAGTGGAACTAACACTAATTGTCTAAAATAAATTGAAGGAGAACAATATTTAACTTTCCTTTCCTCATGATTTGACAAATTGTTGTTATGTTCCCCAATCACAATCCACTGGTGCTACAACATCCACAGCCTGTTCTGTTTTTAAACTATTATTTACTTCTGAAATTCGTTTAAAATCTGCTTCTTTACCTTCACTTCCAAGAATTTCCATGCCAACACAATGAGATATCAAGTTTTAATCCTTGAAGCAAGGTTATCAAAATTTGGATTTTACGTTGGATCAATTTAGGGTCTTTAGGACAGGATCAAATTAAGAATCATAAGATTCTACAAAATGAGAAAGATAATATCTAAAAATATTTTTATTTTAAATAATTCTTAAACAATACATAAATAATTTTTATTAAAAACTCGGAAAAAATACAGAAGAATTAAAACTTAAACCTCCAAAAGCTCTCCCTAGTAATTTTGGAGCACATTATCCCTCACACAAATAAAAGAATTATTAGTATAAAAAATGCTGCATTTTTACAAAACTAACCATAATAGTATGTCACTCTATTAGATCTAAAACATAAAACATAAAATTCACAAATCAACAGCTTATGAACATAAATTTTTTTTATTAGGTAATTAATCACACATTAACTGTCATATATTTTAAAATACTTGAACTACTAATCTAAGGACACTATAAGAGAGCCTATAACAAAGAATAAAGACAAAATAAGCACTAAAAAAAATTTTAGATAAAAGATTGGTTTGTTTGAAGTAAACAAATTGGGCATTAGAGATAAATATACAGGAACTGAACTAAACGGTTTGAAGTATTGTTTTTAAAGCAAAATTCTTGAACACCTTTGCATCACATCATAACAAAATAACCAACCAAGTTGCTGAATTAAGTTGTTTAAATAGTTGTATAGTTTAAAGCAAACAACTTAAAATAATCATTGTAGAGTGAAAATGAGAAGAAAATTTTGAAATAGATATCTAGGACGTTTATGTTGGTCTTAACCTTTGTTTCATCATATATATATTTATTTATTTATCTTGGGACTTAACTTACCTGAAAGGAACAAAAGAGTAACACTCTATGGCTTTATAGTAGGATCTGATCCAGAGTCAAATTGGAATCATATGTTCTTACAATCCTACAGGGACTCCACAAGGATTCTATCCATCATGGGATTTTTTGGGGAATCGGGATTTTAGTAACCATGTCTTGGAGACTTGATGACTTCAAAATCGTAAGGGGAACATGGACTTCAACAACTCAATAGAATTCAAAATTAATTGAAATATTCTTGCATTATAGTTCAGGATAGAAAAGATGGATGCTATGGCAAGGCACAAGCCAAGCTGATATGATGACTATGACAATTCAATAAAATAACAAGCATGGGAAATACACAAACACACACACACACAAAAGACAAAATGTTAGTCATGCTAATATGATGTGCTTAACAATTTGGTAACTGAAAGCAGAATTGAAGAGATCCGCTCAGCACTTAAAAGGCTACATCCAATGTAGGAAATGCTAATTGAATATAAGATGCAACATACATATAATTTAAATAAATGGGTCCATTGTGATACATACATCAATATTTCTATCATCCTGACTAAAAGCATAAGTGAAATGTTACCTTTCTTTCCAGCAGGAGTAGTTGTTACATTTGTTTCAGTTTTCCTAATTTCAGTAGAGTTATTTGCATGACCCAGTGGATCTGATGCACCAAAATTTGGTTCCTCTGGTTCATTTACCATCTCTTTTTCTGCGCCTGTGGATATGTTTCCTTTCTTCACAATAGGAGTCATTATGACATTTGTTTCCATCCAGCTAATTTCAGGGGAGCTTTTTGCAGGAACCATTTGATCTGATGCATTAAAATGCTGTTTGCCTTGTTTATTAACCATATCTTTTTCTGCATTTGTTGGTGTGTCTTTGTTCACATATGTATGCGACATTGAAGATGGTGAGCTTGAGAGGGGAGCACCCGTTAGAATCTCTGCACCTCCTATGGAAACATAAAATGCAATGGGGATGTCTCAAATACACTTAGTATACTAATTCACGGGTTAAATCAAAATAGTATCCAATGTTAATCTTGAGTGCATCGTAATTCAAAAAGGCATGACTAATCCCTTCCAATGAATTTCTTTGATATTTACACCCAGTTCTGATAATATTTTGGTAGGGATATAAAGAATGCTCTCATCCAAAAGCTCAGAAGTATAGATTTTGTGCATTAGTATTAGGGTATAGTCCTTATAGCATTTAATTACACTCTTAAACATTTTAAATGCCATCACAAAATATGCTACAAAATCTTAATAATAACTGAAAAATAATATCCGATGATATATAATACATTACTGGAGGCAGACCTGGAGATAGCTGCAACAGGTGATTCCGAGGTGGAAGTAAGGAGGTGAGAAGTGGGGTTCTGTCCGATACCCAAATAAGAATGGTCATGCAGAAAAGAGCAATCAGACCAATAGAGAGTTGTTTAACCCTCAATCCATAACAGCCACCTTTCATCCTTAATGCAAACAAAAAATACCAGACTTAATGTCATGCTGATGTCATAGGAAGGTTAAAAAATTCCTTAATCTTACAATCAATAAAATACCAAAAGACATGGTTCAAGGAAAAATGAAGGCAGTAAAAGAAAAAAAACAGATTAATTGAGAAACTAAGGTAGCTCCTGAGGCACTCCCAGATATCTCTCTCCAATATATGTATACATTTTGTTTCTTTTTCGGTAGGTAAACATCTATACACGCACAGTGAACTATACATATGCATACAAATTCCAACACATTTAATTAAAGCAAAGGTATGACAAGGAAATTTCACATGAAAAGAAAATTCTCTTATATATTGTGATTATTCCAGAGATTGAAATGCATAATAGATACAGGGGTTGTTGCTGTATATTTTTCTTATAATTTTAAGAAACATGGCTGAGGATGAGGACGAGGATGAGGATGAACTGCACCCATATCATTCACATGATCAGGAAAAGCCTGTCAGTGCAAATCGTGTATGGAAAACAATATGTTCACCCATTTTTTAACCAGCCACCCCCTTTTTATTTGAAAAAGAAGCAAATTGAACAATTCAGTTACATCTGTTCAAAATTCGAACTCTTCCTACAAGCACAAATATGGATTAAATAACAAAATAAACACAGAATTTTATCTACATCCTGGTGAAATAATACCCTAAACTTTCTGATATCAACTGCACAACCGAAATCATTCATAATCGCACACAAAATTAAGTTTGATTTCATAGAACATTATTAATAGTGATAACCCAGTTCCTCTGAAATTTGAAAAGTCCAAAGTAGATAATATTATCGCAGAGGAATTAAGATGAACTAAATGTGGAAGATCTACCATATTCTTTATTCTTTTTCCAGTTCCAGTACTAGTAGTAGTAAAAATTTGGGACCAGTAAAAACAACGACAACAAGCCAAATTGCTGGAGAAATTCAAGATGTGGCGAGATGATTACAGATTCAGAAGACAATGACAGAATTGACAGAAAGGAACTCAAAATCATACCTTGAAATAGCAAATGCGTCCGATTTAGAGGGAGTAAGTAAAAATGTGGACTGTGTAATATATTGAATTCAGCTGGGATCAACCAAATTCTGGATCGCGAACCAAATCAATATCATCAATGCTCTGTCGAACAATAATTAACCGTCAACTAATATTGAATTGATCAATGTATGCAAACATATAGATTACGTATTTGCCTATATGTGTCGAAGCTGGAAGTAGATGCATCTAGAGAGAGAGAGAGAGATAGACGTGCGTGCCTGAAATTGACAACTCCGAAAGGGCTGGATCTGGAGACAGTTACAGAGCGAGTAGTATATTAGCTGTTTTAGTGCTAGGTCTCACCGCCTCAGACTCCAGAAAGAGACCGTGCGGAGACTTGACAGGGACGGTGGAGAAAATCACGGAAATACGAAAATATTCTCATATATAGTATTATACTAACTACTACGGGGTATATGTTTTGTTATTTTTTATTATACACCTAGTTAAATACTCCAAAGACAAAAATAACTGGTTATATTTTCTTTCAAATCAAGTGAGAATAGAAAAAAAAAAAAATATATATATATATATACATATATTTATATTAAATATTATCATAGCCTACAAATATATTGTTACACTTCAATTTATTTGTTTAGTAAATAAATAACAAATTACATATTAATACTACTTTTATACAATTGTCCGAGTGTGAGAGCTATTTGAGGATAATTTTGTAATTTTGTTTTTCTTCTATAAGGTAAATGTTAGAAGTTTTTTGTGGGGTACCTATCATTTTTCTGCAGATTTTAATTTTATTTTAAAATATGTAATTAAAAAATATACGAGCATCTAATTGCTCCTTGTCGGTATAACATGGATAGTTGTGCATTAGGTAAGCAACGCACATCCACACGCACCACACACCGCATTGTACCGTGCGGGGTCTTTTTTTAATCATGACATTGACACTCCAAATATCTAAAATATGGTTAGCAATTTTGCATTGAATGCTTTTTCAATATGTTTAGCATTCACGGGGAAGGCGAAAAAAATTTCCCAAAATTATGTCAAAATTTATAAATATTTTTTACAAAATATTAGTATATTTTGTGCATAAAATTTATTAAATTATCATATTTAGTTACATAATATTCAATGCCTTTAATATATTTTTCATTAAATAACCATAAAGTCAATTCTTATTAATTACACTAAATCTATTGTTTTTTTTAAATAAATTCATACAAATTTGATGACATATTTTTCATTAAATTCTCTTCAATTTACCTTTAATTTTTTAATTAGTTTTTTAAATAAAAATATTAAGTAGGAAATTTAAAACAATTTAAGTAATTTTTTAATTTTTTATGAATATATTGCATAAAAATGTATTTTTTATGGTAAAAAAGTTTGAAGTGAGTATAGAAAGTTTTATTATAAATAGTAAAGTTTTAATAATGAGTTAATCATTTTAGAAAATGATAGTTACGAATTTATTTTTTTATTTTTTTATTTTTATGATAAATTGATACTAATAATAATAAAATCAGGGAAGTGTTAAGGGCAATCGCGTTAACAACTGTCCTTCCCATTCGCTTTTCTTATTGGTTACAATTTATATAATTACACGTTTATTTATGAATGTTTTCAACCTTTGTGGAAATTAAAAATATAAAATTTAGACAAAATTGTCGTTTAACCTTTTCTCATTTCTTCCTTTTTAACATACATATAACATTCTATTCTAGATTACCAAAAAAAAATAAAAAATATACGAAAATATATTATTTTCTTTCTTTTTTGATTGCCGAAACAAGTTAAATTATTTTTTATTTCCTTTTTAAAATTATATTTTAACTATATATATGTGTGTGCTAGCTATATATGTGATAGCAAGTGATATATATATATATAATATAAATAGCCCGTAGTTATTTGCTGCCCATGAAGTAAGAAAATTCTTCCGCACCTTTTATACTGACCATTAGCTTAAATCTAGTAATCACATTCTAAACCCACCTGTATGTTTTCCTTTCAATACAAAACCATTATCACTATTTCAAGTTTCTAAATTTAATATTTATCAATATCATTAATTATAACAATAAAAAGCAAATACTAAAAAAATAAAAATTGAAATCTCTTAACCCCTCGAAATCAAGTCTCACCTCTAATCGGAATTTTTTTTTTCTTAAAAAAAAAAATTATAAGTGTTAGAGAATTGCATCCATGATTTGATACTGAAGTTGACATTGCGTGTTTGTTTGAGTGTGAAAAATAAATAAAAAATTGCACTTTGACATACAAAACATCGATAAAAAAATAATTAAAAAATTAAAAATAAAATCTCTATTTTTTATCCACTTGATTAACTTAAAGTAACGATTTGCACAACACTTCACAATTTTAATTATTGTATACCTCCCTAAATACATGCTATTTAAAAATTAGAAATTCAATCTATTGTTCTCTAACCCCTTTGTCACAAATTGTTTCATCTTTTTTGTTAATTTTGTTTTATTTTATTTCAGATTTAACTAGTTAGAAACACATTCCAACTACTCATATGTCATAATAAGTTGCACAAAATATTTTTTCTAGTTCTACTGTAATAACAAAAATTTATTGACATAATAAGGAGATTCACGACAAAAAAAAATTACATTATTCTATGAAATTTCAAATTTTCGTTGTAAATTAGTTGTTTTCTCAATGTTTTCTTTAATACTACTATTATTATCATCAAATTTTATTTTTTATTTTCACTATCATCTTCTTTTCTTTTTTTGTTTTTTTAAGCAAAAAATGTATGAAAGATTGCTAATATGTAAAGTAACAGGAAAGACGTCAAAAAAATAAAAAAATAAAAAAATAAATAAATAATATTCCAATAAGTGGGTGGTGAGATGTTCCAGAGGTGAAGCGATGTATATTTTTATTTATTTGGTAGTTACCTTTTATAGTTGTAATTTGTGGTAGTTGTAAATTTTAAATTTACAAACTAGAAATAATAATACTGGTTTTATGTTAAAAAAAAAGGTATATAGGTGGGTTTGAAATTTGATCATTATATTTAATCTAATGGTCATTATAAAAAATGTGGAAGAATTTTCTTGTTCCATGAGAAGCAAGAGATTACTACTTGTTATTTACACACATATACATGTGTAAATAATAAGTACATTGATTAAGTGAGGAGAGAAAAACAATAGAAATAAAAAACTTATATGTATACGAAGGTAGCTATACACACACATATTACATATTATATACATGGATTAAGTAAGGAGAGAAAAAAAAAAATAGAAAAAAAAAAATATTACGCTGTATGCATATTCGACCAATTGAGATAGAAGCAAGAGTTAAAGGATCAATTGAGATAGAAGCAAGAGTTAAATGGTAATTTTGTTTTAAAAGTTTATATTTTAAATTTTTAAAAAGATAATACACATCTTATAAATGAACGTGTAATTATAAACTGTGACTAATAAGGAGAGCCACAGTGGATGGAGCGCCATTGTCCTAGCACTCAAATAAAATTAAGATAAATGGTACCAGTATAATTAATATTTAGATAAAAGAAAATATAATAAACATAGTTTAATAAGAAATGACAAATATAATGAAAAAGGGTAAAATAATATTTTGTAATGAATTTGCCTTTAATTGTAATAAATTAATATTGTAGTTCAAAGTAGATACTAGATATAAGTCAATTTGTTTGAACTTAGGCTTAATTTGTTTGGATGTAAAGTAAATAAAAAACAAATGCAGCCTAAATGTTTTAAATGTTTAATGTTTTCTATGTTTGATTGTTGTAAAATATTTATAAAAAAAAAAAGAAATATTAAAAAAAAAAAGAAATATATCAGAGTCAAAATATTTTACAGTAGACGTATAGAAGAAAATAAGATATGAAAAAAAGGGGTAAAAAGTTATAGCGAAGAAGCTATTCGTGCCGACCCATAGTATCGAGTTCCCGGCAAAAGCCTCTTCCATCACCCTTTCATCGACCTTACGATCCCCGGTGAGTTCAGTCCAGGTTCTCTCTATGCACCTACCTATAATGTATACATATATCTACACGTATATTTGTTGGTGTATGTATGTATATATTTGTTTATGTAGTCGTGCTCTTTCAATTCTTAATTCGGCATTTTTTTTTATAGATTTTCTGGCAAAAAGGTTTTTTTTTTAGACCTAAAATGATGCAAAATTTTTTCTTTAATTTTATAATCGGATTTTTAGTTAATCTTTTTCGTTTTCTAATTCAAATTTCACCCAAATTTTAAGGTTTTCTTTTGATCACGAAATGTTGACGTCGGTTCAAATATCAGCACTTTAATTTCATTTGATTTTGTGTAATGCTCATCTTTAGGTTTGTTCGTAGAGAATTCAATGCAGTTGTACTTTATCATTTCACCTCTAATTCATACAATTCCATAACACAATTTGAAAACAAAAGCACTCTCTAGTATTCATTGTTATATAGGTTGCCCAATAATTTAAAATAATTTTTATTTACCACAGTCACGTGCATCTCTTTGGGATCTTGAGCTATAACTATTGTGTTTATAATATTTTCAAATTTTTTTTTTTTTTTTTTTCTTTATTTTTTTTGTTTACGTGGACGAACAGATTAAACATTCCATATGAAGAAGTCTCCACTGCCAGTGCAAAATATATGTGGAACTGAGAAACAGATATGTGGAAGGGAAGCTTTAGTGAAACTTTTAAGATGGCATTTTGGGCATTCTGAATTCCGGGGGAAGCAGTTGGAAGCTATTGAAGCAGTTAAATCAGGTGCTGTTGATATTGCCTTCATAGTGTACTTATATTGACTGATTCTAGTAGCCTATATAAATTTAATTTCACTGTATACTTTTGAATTTCTTCATTCCAGGAAGAGATTGTTTTTGTTTGATGCCGACTGGTGGAGGGAAGTCGATGTGTTATCAGATCCCTGCACTCTTAAAAACAGGAATTGTGCTTGTTGTTTGTCCTTTAATAGGTGAATGGTGTTTCTTTTGTTTAATTTTCACATAGTAGAGAAAGCCGAAGCTACATAAGATTTTTGGTTGGCTTTCAAATGCTAGGACACGGCTCTGATTGCTTACAATATTTGTTCAATCTATACTCGCAGCCTTGATGGTAAACATGTTATATCTTTCTTGTACCTTTAGTTTCCGATATTCATTTTTGGGGTTTGATATGGTTTGTATTGACACCTGTTTTACTTTTCTAATCAGGAAAACCAAGTGATGGCACTGAAGGAGAAAGGTATTGCTGCTGAATATCTTTCCTCAACCCAAACATCACAAGTGAGAAATAAGGTGTGACATCTTTTGTTGTAATTTCACTATTAATATTGATCTCGTGCTAACTGCCAAGAACTATGAATTATTGTCGTTCTCAAGCACTGGATGGTGTATATAAACTTTCCAGATGCTGTAAAAGAAATGGCACTGGCTATGAAGTCATGATAACCATTTATGAGAAAGGCCACGAAGAGAAGGGTCGTATGCTGAAAGATGTGCTTTCCCTTAAATTTATACTTCACTAGCATGATTTATGATTGCCATGATTAGATTATATTTCACTATTATGAGAAATGTCACCATAGGTTTCATCACAAAATCCATAAATCAATCAAGTAAGGAAGTCACCTAAGCAAGCAAAGGGATGGTTTTCACTTCAAACTTTGATGCTCCTCAAATATTGGGAGAACTGTCATTTCTGATAATTTGAAAACTTCACTTTTCATCAAATGAGTTAGATAAAAAAAATCTAGGAAGCATGGAGGTGACGTGACAAGTGTTGGACACTTGTCCAACACGCCTAGGAGTGTCTTGGAGTTTGGACATGGTTGGAACACAATGGGGACAAGGTCGAGACATGACACAGACATTTAGGACACAATCTGGGGTAGTTCTGCAATAATTTTTTTAAAAGAAAGGGATTTCAATGCATTTTGAAACATATTATGGGTTAATAGAAAGACAATATAAATTTTTAGAAAACAAGAATAACATCCATCTAGCTCTAAGCTCCAAATTATTGATTATATTCTCGATAATATGGATAAAAAGAGCAAAAAACAAGGTGTTGACGTATCTCTGCAGTGTCTTATCTTTTTGAGAGTTGTCGTATTGCTATATTCGTATCATGTCGTATTCTTTTCCTGTGTCTGTATCCATGCTTCATAGACCAAAAGCATTCAATCAAGTTGATAAGTTTCTGTACTTGATCCACATTTCAGAGTTTCCAATTTCAAGTTTCAGATGGATGCTTTACTTCTCTGTCTCTATGTTTTATTTCTCTTTTTTCTTTTTTCCCCATGTTGATACTTTCTTATTGTCTTATTTATATATTTTTTAATCCTTCTACAAGTACTTCTTCTCTTCATGATGTTATCCACAGAGATCATCTACCTTATCATGTGGGGTGCTCATTTTTTTAGGGTGTTCTTCAACAGTAGTAAAGTAAATCGACTTTTTTGAAGTATTGTCTTGGCAATATGTTACTTTCGTAAAAGCAATGATGTCTATAGAGGGTTGACATGCCTTTGTGAAGACGAAATCACAAGAAGGTTCCATAATCTTTATTCTATGGCATTGTACAATGAAACTAGATTCTCGAGGAAGTGAGCAGATTTCAGTTTCTGGTGTACACTGCTAATAAATAAGGGCCATTTAGGTTACTATCTTCATGACAGAACTTGAGATAAAATTAGTAGTTGGCGCAGTTTGTAAAATCACATTGGACATATTGTTGACTCGAGATGACTTATTGATTATTGACTCTCTTCCTTGTGCTAAATTCTGGCTCTCAAGTCTCATCAATTTGATCTTGGTTTCGTTCATTAGTTTCCTTGGCATAGAAGAGTTTAGTACCTTTATCTCTTTCTTGTTTTATGTTCATGTCACCACTACAGTCATCAGTCTGGATATCATGGTCCATGTCTAACTTTTTCTCACATCCGAGTTCTTTTAGTTATCTTTACGATTTGTGTTGACATTGGAAACTTCTTGTTGTACATGAAATGTGCAAAGTGATGTTCCATATAACTGGTGATTTATTTATTTTAGATTCACGAAGACCTTGAATCTGGGAAACCATCCTTAAGGTTGCTGTATGTCACACCAGAGCTGATTGCAACATCAGGATTTATGCCAAAGCTAAAAAAGTTGCATGCTAGAGGGTTGTTGAATCTGATTGCCATCGATGAGGTTTGGAGTTACATGTCCTACACCAAGAAACATGATAATTAATTGATTTTGGCAGGAAGGTTCAGATTTTGCCATTTCATTCTACCTCTTTTCTCAAAATTTTCAGGCACATTGCATCTCATCATGGGGCCACGATTTCAGGTAACTCTCTCTCTCTCTCTACACACACACACACACAAATGTGTGAATTTTTTTCTCTCAGCACAATTGGCTAGGTGAGATATTAGTTATAATGGTTAATGTCTTGGAAATTTGCAATAAGTCCAAATCTATTTTTGACTTTTTCTCCATATCTTAGTTACTGCTCATTCAACTGTCTGAAATTCTCATACGTGGCTGTTATATATATATACCTACTTCCATTCTCATCATACTATTGGTATACATGTTTGATTGTTGGGTTTGCTGCTCACCAATATAACTCACATGGGTCGATTATTGTTTTATAGATTGAGAATTGGTGTTTGCATTCATGGTTACTCACAGAACTCAGGTTGCTACTGGAGCTCTATTTACTCATTTTTATGATCTTCTTCTTTCCTACTTGTCCATGTAATGCAGGCCTAGCTACCGGAAGCTTTCTGCTCTAAGGAACTGCCTACCTAACATACCGATATTGGCTTTGACTGCTACTGCTGTTCCAAAGTGTGTCTTCCACTCCACCCTTTGTTGAATTTTTTTTATTTTTAATCCATTTTATTTTCACAAGTGTTTCTAGATTCTGTCCACGAAAATTTTGAATGATAATTCATTTTATTTTCACAACAGTGTGTCTAGATTTCTGCCCATACTCACATTGATCCATTACTTCAACCACCACCCCCCCCCGGGAGCAAAAAATAAAAAAAAGAAGAAAAAGAAAAAGGAAAAAAAAGAAAAAAATGTCTTTTACTCTTTATCAGAATAGCCATGTTCTTCAGACAATGTTTGGTTCTGAAAGTCGATTGTTATTGATTCCTTCCTCTAATTAGCCTATACAACATACTGGTTTCATGCAGTGGTCTATTGTGAATATTAAAGTCGGTATAGTGTTTCATCAAGGAATGAATTAGTTCTTAAGAATTCCTAAATTTTTGAACTTATATGAGATCTACTTTAGTTCTTTTTTCCCGGGTGTTTTTGTTCAGAACTATATATTTTTCTTTATATGAATTGCAGGGCAATACTCATTTTCTTGCCCTTTCTTTCTTTCTGCAGAGTTCAGAAGGATGTGATAGAATCATTGTGCTTGCAAAACCCTTTAGTACTGAAATCGTCATTTAACCGTTCAAATATATATTATGAAGGTTAGGTCCAAATAGCTCTATTTTGTGCATGAATTTTGCTCTTTTGTATCCAATTTATGTTACAACCTGTTGAAGCCTGGAATGCTCACTTGATTGGTTTGTAATTCCCCTAGATGATGTGTTTGTCGTGTTTAAGTATTTAAAATTTTGGAGTATTGGTCAAGGGGGCGGAATATTCTTGCGAGTTCAAGTTTGTGAAGAGTTAAAACTGTGATTTAAATTTTATTTTTAATGTAATTTTCTACATTACACTTGCCTGCCTATCAGAGGGATTCTTTTTTCCAACTATGCCATCCCCATTATGTTTCCAGTAGTACAAAACACTAGTTTGATTAAATTGAGAAGCATTATGAAGGAAAGTAGCATTTTTAGTGATCTAACATTTTCCATGGGTTTTGTATAGCATGCAAGTTACACTTGCAAGTGCATCTTGCATTTTCTCAATTTTAGAGTATTTTAACATGTTAATCTCTATTTTGAAATTTGTTTAAATTTTAAACTTAATAACTGATTGGCACAAGTTATGTTAGCTTTCTGTTTTTCTCATGGATTGCTCTTCCTATTGTCCTGGGAGAATGACATAGTTTGCATGGATAAAGTTACTATTACCCCAAGACACTTTCTGGAGGCATGATGTGTGTCTTACTGTTTTATTTTAAATTTTTTCTTTTTTATAATATTGATGTGATCACTGCATATATGTATCTGAATAGACATTGTTTACAATGCAGTTCGATACAAAGATCTTTTGGACGACTCATATGTTGATTTAACAAATCTACTGAAAATTTGTGGGGATGTCTGTGCAATTGTTTACTGCCTTGAACGTACAACTTGCGATGACCTCGCTGCTCATCTATCAAAGAATGGCATTTCCTGTGCTGGTAACCATGTGTCCTCCCCCCCCCCCCCCCCCCCCCCCCTCCCTCTTCTCTTGAAACATTTAATCTTGTTGGGTTTGTAGTAATATTTTATTAGTATTTTTGTTTCTGCTGTGTTTTCAGCATATCATGCTGGCTTGAACAATAAATTGCGGAGTTCTGTTTTGGATGATTGGATTTCTTCTAAGACACAAGTAGTTGTGGCCACAGTGGCCTTCGGGTAAAATTGCATTTCAAATCTTACAGGAGTATTTCCCCTGTGAATTGTGTTGTATATGCATTTTTTCTGTGTGCAACCATCTGGCTTATGACTAAAATAGCTTCCTGATGTGTCTTTCATCTTATTATGATGCACTGGTCCATATTTACTTTAGTGATAGCAAAATTTAGTTTTATGGGAGCTGCAAGTTGGAGACTGAGCAAGCATGATTATACTTGCTGCCTCCCCCAGACTCAAACTTGTTCTGAATTTTCTCCCGTACATGTGTCTGAATTGGATGATATTTTTAGAGTTTAGTCATTATTATGATAATCATGTTCAGCTATAAATGTGAACTATGCATGTTCTGTGTCTGGTCCTCTCTTATAAAGCTGTTCCCATGTGAAGAAAGTTAGAGGGTTGTGATAAATAGGCAACGTTGTAAAACCTGTAGATAATTCATTGCAAATGCTAGTTTCTGAAGACTTTCAATTTTATGATTGGGCATTAGAAGTAGTGTCCTAGATAGAGTTCACTGGAGAAAAAAAAAAATGATCTTTGTAGCTAGCTCAACTGGTTTGGCTAAGGTCAAGTAGAATATATACACGCACACAAATATGAAGTGATTTATGCAATAACATTAAATATGCTATATATATATATATATATATATATATATGCATATATTTGTTGTTTAACTAAAGTCTGGGTTGAGTTGTCAAAAGTAGTAGACTTTGATTGTTTGGATTTTCAATTGGAAAATCCTGATTATCAAGTCTTAAATCCATTTAATCGTATTGGAAGTGAGTAGGATATTATATACAAGTGCCATAATATAATATTAGCCATGAAAGAATAATGTTGAGCACCAATATAGTTGGCTTGTCGAGTTCTCCCCATTTAGGGTTTCCACCAGGGAGCATACATATCTGACGCTAAGCTTGTAAATCCCAACCATTACTAAACCTTTTTGGATGCACATGCGCGCGCGCACACATTTCCTACATGATTTGATGATAAATGCTTACTTGGGAAGATTATTCAAAGAAGAATTATTTATTTGTTTTCCATGCTGAGATCTTTAGTTTGACTTTGTTACTCAAAAGTAATTATTTATTAATCTGATTGTGATATACATTGCTTCTTTTGCTGATTTTTCTTGGAGCAACTCTGGTGCTTGCACTGATACTGATCTAGTGGCGCTCCTTCAGGATGGTACGGAACTATTAGATATTAATTTTAACAAACTCTGAAAACAACTTTTTCCACTTTATTCTATCGGGAGGTATTGTTAAGCAGAAACATTTTGAACTAATAGGTTATGCGTAATATGTCTAGGGTATAGACCGAAAGGATGTCCGAATCGTTTGCCACTTCAATATTCCTAAGTCAATGGAAGCCTTCTATCAAGAGTCAGGCAGAGCTGGTCGAGATCAATTGCCCTCTAGAAGTGTGTTGTACTACGGAATGGATGATAGGAGAAAAATGGTTGGATTTCCATTTTTGCACCACGATCTCCGATTTCTTTTGTTTGCAAGGTGTAGAATTTTGCTTGAAACATGAAAAATATGTTGCAGGAATTTATTCTGAACAAAGCTGAAAGCAAGAAGATGCAGTCGTCGGGCGTGCAAGATGGGTCATCAAAGAAGTCGTTAGTAGACTTCAACAAAGTAAGTCTCAATCCCGTCTATTTGTAACTGATGTTTCAAGGAGCTTAAGCGTATTATGCATGTAGATGGTCGAGTATTGTGAAGGTTCTGGTTGCCGTAGGAAGAAAATTCTTGAGAGTTTTGGAGAACAGGTAATTTTATCTAGTTTATGCATGGTCCTGTAGACATTAGGATGCTTTGTATTGTTACCAATGTTCAAGTTATGCCACTTATGACATCATGTTTTGAAGCAGGTACCTGCATCACTATGTAAAAAATCATGTGATGCCTGCAAACATCCTACTCTGGTTGCCAAGTATTTGGAGGAGCTCTCAGCTATTGCCTTTTGCCACAAAAATGGATCTTCTCGAATATTTATAAGCAGGTACTTTATTTCCAATTCCATCAGCGAACCGGAATGTTAGTGCTGTATCAGAAACTTTGCTTTTTCATTAGTCGATGGTTGCTTGATGAATTTCTGATTTGCTCCTTTCTTTGAATCCTTTAATCACGTGGAATGTGATGTTCTTTAGAAACCCTAGATTGATTCTCAGTTTCTTATCTCTAAAAAATCTCACATTTATAGCCAATAAAGGAGTACTATGTAAAATGGGAAACTAAACCCAATTAAAAGATTTATTTTAAGAGTTTCCAAATAATTTTTAAATCAGATTGATCAATCGGACTTTTCCAGTAACCTTTGAATGATGTACTAGCCAGTTTTGATCGATTATCCTATAGGTTGAAGCATGCTGGAATTAGTTCGAGTGATGTTCGAGCTATTGAAGCTTCTTTCGAAGCTCATTGTCTTCAAACTTATTTTCCTATTCAAAAGTTCAATCAATCCATCAATCTTTCAATCAATCGACATCCTTGATTTTTAAAAACTTGTTTAATCATTAATTGAATCTTCTCATAATCAAATCTATGTTACCGGAAGACCTGTATCTAATAAATAGCTCCAACCTAGATTCCTATGTTTTCTAAGATCTCATCTTACCTTAATGTAGATATGTGATTGAGCTTGATGAATAATTCAGCGTGCTCTTTATCTTCATTGGCTTCTTTGGTTGCAGACAAATTGACTAATGACATTTTGTTTAATCTTACAAACCAACTTTTTTACTAAGAAATTTGCCAATACATGGTTCAATATTCTAACACGAGAATGGGAAGATTGATGGCCAAGAGATTTGACCATTTATGTAGTTTTTAATGTTATATTTTTGTCGGGTATGGTGAATGAATTGAATTAGTGCTTATGGGCGTTTGTGATTGAGACATGATTATCAGAATCCAGGACAATTTTGTAAACCACTACATGCCATATAGTCTGTTCTGTAATCATTTTTCAAGAGTTTAAGCACCAACTACTTGATTGTTGAAGTTGAACAGATCTATTGGCTCGCTTGAATGTTGGAGATTTTCTACTGTGACATTTGGGTTATATTCAAAATTTCATTTCTGTTCCATGGTTCTTGTCTTCTAACTTAAAGTTTTGAAGATACAGAGGTTGGCTTTCCCTTATTCTAAAGCGAGTGAGCCTTAAGGTCATACAAAATTTGATTTTAGTGTTGCTTGAGAAGCTAATTCATACAGGGTTTTTATTTCAGCTCCTCAAATCTGATTGATGAAGAGCAATTCTCAGAATTCTGGAATCGCAATGATGAAGCAAGTGGGTCTGAGGAAGATATATCTGATTGTGATGGTATATCCATTTCCTGGAAATTCATTAAATGTTGAATATATTATCAAGTGCCTCTGTAATGATGAGTTGTGTTTTTGCACATGCGTTTCTTGTGATAAGCTATGTTACATAAATTCAGTATGTGTGTTGGTGTAGGTATGTGTTTTAAGTGTCAGATTCATCCAATTCGTAAACCCAAGGACACGGCTCAATATCCAATATTCTCCTATCATTTTCTATGCGCTTCACTCATTTTAAAGTAATATTATAACAAAGAGACTTGATAAGATAGTTTTTTTTTGTATAGTCATATAATAAATTTGTTTATTGGATATTGCTTGCTTGGTGCATGTCCAACCAGACGTGTTTAACGCATATCTCATACCCATGTTCAAGTGCCGGAACTCGGAAGTACTGCATCATTTTTCAAGAGTCCGTGTAACAGGTGTATCTTAAAACTGTAAAGTTTATTTTTTTCCTTTATTTGATAGTTTTCATAAACTTCTACTGCTAGATGGTATTGATGTTGCAAAGAGCGTAGCCCGGTCAAAGTTATCATCAAAATCAAGACTAAATGAGAAGATTGAGGTGTTGCAGCGTGCAGAAGAGAATTATTATCAGCATAAAATCCCCGACAAACAGGTTGGTTTTTTCTTTTATATGTCTTGTCTGGTGTCTTCTTGGGGAACCAACTTAGTTTCAATAGGTTATCAGGGTTGAAGGCTTGGTGGTAATAATAATATTTTCTTGACTGAATTGAAGTGTTTGTAACTCACTAAAATCTTGCACTAAGTTGATACTGAGGTGTTTAGAGATATATGAGTAACCTGACATACCTGTTTGCAAAGCAATATAGATTTTAAAGTTCAGTCAATCAGACCGAAGGTCTTAAATCTGAGATGAGATTCACCTTATACAAACATTTATTGCAGGACTAGTTGTTATCTTTGTGCATGGTCTCTTATTATTGTAAAAACATATATATCACGCTTCCATTAAATTGAATTTTGTTTGCTGTAGAATTAACATGAATGTTTTTGTTCATGAGCTAGAAATATTGTCTTATATGCTGCAATAGATCTGTACTTTAAGTTCTAACTGCTCTAAAGTTTTTTTGCCTGCACACCCACTAACCTTGAAGCTGTTAACAGAACAATAAGTTGGACAAGAATGCCATATCTGAAAAGCTGAGAGAAGCAAGTAAGCAAAGATTATTAAATGCTTTGAAGGAAACTCAGCAGCGGCTTCGCAACTTACGGTGTGCACACATTATATAGCCAATGATTCTAAATTCTAATCTCTTGACCCTTGCTTATGGAAGTAAACAACTCCCTTTTGTTGAGGCTTGCAATTTTCTTATGAATAACCTAATTTCTTGTATTCAACCATGGGATTATCTCTTTGTTTGCTGTTTGGGTTGCAGGATTGACTTGGAAACATCAGCCACCTTCCTCGAAGATGAGTGCTTCAAGAAATATGGGAAGTCTGGGAAATCGTTCTATTATTCACAAGTAGCAAGTACAGTGAGGTGGCTTTCAACCTCAAATTTCACAGAATTGATGACTAGGCTCAGCACGAGTACTGGTTCTACTTCCAAAAGCATAAACTCGAAAATGAATTCTTCTCCAACATCATCCTCTTTGTTAGATAGACCGACGGAAATTAGGAATGAAGAAATCCACGACAGTGTTAGATCAGAAACTAATGTAAATCCACCACAGAGCATTTCCCAAGGTATAAAGCTGCCGCCAATCCCATCTTTCTCGGATTTTATTAACAGCAAAAAAGCCAATGACAATCAATTGTCGTCAAAAAGTCATTCACCCAGTGGAGATCCCAAGAATCTGGAGAAGAGGATGAGACTGAAGTAGATCGAATTGGTATGTTTTTGCACATGTTCGTGGTTCATTTGATTGTTGCATTGCGCACACCACAGACATGTATGCTGCAAATTCTTTACTGACTAAATATAATTTGTGACTATAGGCGTTTCTGACACTGATTTCTGTCACAGTACCAGCAAATAGTTGCTTGAGTGGTCGAAGTCAGATTTACATACACACATGCATATATGGTCGTTTAGTCTAATGAGATTGCCCATTTTCTATTTTAACAATCACCGACAGGTGCTTCCTTGAACCAACTACGAGCTTAGGGTTACACTAATGTCGACTGGTATTATGCAATTTTCAATGGTAATTTTCCAATGAAATTGGCGTTTAGACTTCCCAGGTAGAGATGGTCCTCAAACTCGATGGCCGACGTCACGAAGGACATCACTTCTCCATTAGGATCTTCAAGCTTCTTGATTATCTTTCCATTGCTGTCCACATTTACTACCATTGCTTTCTGTCGCACTCCGTTTACTACTAGCTGGTACAATTTTGGGAACGTTGCTAACAAATGTTTGGATGCTTTGGAGCTATGCACAAACTCGAAGTTCCTTCGCACGAACTGCACACACTTCACGTACTTCTCTTGTTAGCTCTATAAAATTGAAAGGTACATTACTCTCAATTATAAATGCTTCAATTTTCTTGGGGCATTAAGAGCCACGAGCTAGCTAGGTTTGTGATATAGACCGTCATGTCATTGATTATATAAAAAATTACAAACTATATATTTAATTTAACGGTCTTAATTTCTGATAAAGTTTGGATTGAAGTGTTTATATACCTGGAGGATAGCGGTCCAGAATGAGCCATCAGGAGCAAGATTGATGTTATCAGGTGCACCAGGAAGATTGTCAATGAAGATTTATTTAGCAAATACTTGAGGCACCTAAATCTGACCAAAAAAAAAAAAAAAAAAAAAAAAAAAACATCTAAAAAATTGTGACAAACGATCACAAGTTCGAAATAAGAAAAGTTTCGAGCCTTCCTAAGCCTGCAAATTCACTTAAATGCTTACTTCCATGTTTCGCAGACCACCAGATAATCTTGGTCCTTGGACAATGCAACACCATTTGGAAAGTGGAGATGATGAAGCAACATTGAGGTGTGATTTGAGAGTGGATCATACTTGAGAAGCTGGCCATGAGGTTTAGCCTCAAGCGTGTCAAGGTAACAGTTGTGAAGTCCAAACTTGGTGGTTGCAACACTGAATAGAGGCTACCATCCGATGCTTCCATCACATCATTAGCAAGTCTGATCAACCATCCATGTGTAAAGTATTAATTAAAATGTGATTGTTCTTTTTTCATTCATTTATGAAGAATAACACCCAGAATCTGACCCACAACCAGAAAATTTAAGAATGATTTATAGAGCATTGACAAATGATACATAAATAAACTCGACAACATAAATAAAATCGAGATATATAAATGTTGTATTTCTCTACCCATCTCACTCTCTCCTCTTTCTTAGACTAGTTTCTCTCTCTCAATATTTTCTTTCTAAAATTATAAAGATCTATAACCTTCCTCTACTACAATCATCACTCTACTACAATCATCACAGACGTCAATATTCAAGCCCATCAATATAGTCATTCTCTACATGTGTATCAAACAATTGTCCATGGCTAATTTCGTTTATAGGTGCTTAATTTTTTTTTTTTGAGTAATTATCCATAATCTTAACTCCTAACTACGCAAATATAAACCTAAATTTTGGAGTTATAGTTTCAGACCAACACATGAGAAGTCTTTACATATCTTTCGATTCTCTCCATGGTTAATTATACATAGCTTCAATATATATCCACACAGACATCTCCTGGCTTCTCCAGAAATCCTTCTCCAAGTTTTATCACTCCCTGTAATTAATTAATTCATATTGGGACACCATTAATTAATATAATATATGTATGTATATATATATATATATATATATATATATATATAATAAGCATATATCACATAACATAACATAAAATTTAGCAAGCTCTTCATGATAGATCGATCACCTGTAAATGGGAGTTAGTGGGAAGAAAGGAGGTGGTTGCAGGAGGCAATTGGAGTGGCCTGGTCCGGAGATAATGGTGAGAAGAAGAAGACTCGAAGTGGTACGTACTGCTAGTAAACAAGCTAATACAAAGCTTGAACACCAATATTGTCCGGATTCCATTGGTAGGTTGTGGGCGAAAAAACTACTAGTAGCTAGCTTCAGTAAATTATCAAGAAGGTGAGATGGTAAATGAAATGTCATCAGATGCAATTAATAACCAAATTAAGTTTGGACACCATATAAATAGGACAGTGTCTGTCTGTTAGCTAGTAATATTTAATTAATGGCGTGACAGATAAGGCTCCAGAGAGAGTGCAGATGATAAGGTACATTCTTTTACGTACTTACCAAATAATTCACATCTAACAGTTTGTACTCACCTACTGCCTTGACCCTTCTAAACTTGAGATTTCATGGAAGTGGACCAAAAATGGTTCTACGCTGCAATCCCTTCGGTCAGACAGCAGCAGCGAGTTATCTCGGCTAGTATATATAACATTACTCTGTATATACTCCATCTCTTTGTTTCTTTTATGAGGAAAGAAGGAGATTGAGTTTGATTAGGGTTTTTTTCTAAATCTGAAATGTTGAATGTCAGATTGATGGTAATGCCACAGTACGGTTATATATATATACACACACACATAATATTACGTTGCATATAGTATTTTTAAAGAGATTCTCCATATATTATTCAATGATTACTGACTGTGAGCTTAGGGTTAACTATACTAGCAGCTATCTAGTGTCCAACAATTAGGTAGATAAACAAGTTTAATTAATTAGCATTACACAAATTTCAAGGGTAATTTTCCAATGAAATTGGTGTTCAAACTTCCCAAGTAGAGATGGTCCTCAAACTCCACGGCCGATGTCACAAAGGACATCACCTCGCCATTAGGATCATCAAGCTTCTTCAGTATCCTTCCATTGCTGTCCACTTTCACTACCATTGCTTTCTCTCCAAGTCCGTTCACTCGCTCATACAATTTTGGAAATGTTGCTAGCAAATGCTTGGATAGTTTCGAGCCATGCACAAACTCGAAGTTCCTACGCGTTAGCTGCACACACATACACACACTTTTCTCGTTAGCTCTATAAACCCAAAGGAACATTATATAAAGAAGAATTACAAAATATGTAATAATTTAAAGATTATTTTGTAATGAATTGCTTATACCTGAAGCAGAGCGATCCAGAATGTGCCATCAGGAGCAAGATTGATGTTATCAGGTCCACCAGGAAGATTATCAATGAAGATCTCTGTTTTTCCTCTGTTTTCCTCATCTAGCCAATACTTGAGGCACCTAAATCTGACCCACAAACATAAAAAGTTCTAATAAATTGTGACAGGTTGGAAATAATGTAACAGTCTCACTTTACGTGCCGAGGTAAAGCTGTTTAGAGTTAAATTTACTCAAATACTTACTTCCATGTTTCGCAGACCACCAGATAATCTTGGTCCTTGGAGAGTGCAACACCATTTGCAAAACAAAGATGATCAAGCAATGTTGAGGTGTGATTTGATAATGGATCATGCTTGAGAAGCTGGCCGTGAGGTTTTGCTTCAAGCAAGTCAAGTTGCCAATTGTGAAGTCCAAACTTGGTGCTTGCAACACTGAAGTACACGCTACCGTCTGATGCTTCTATCACATCATCAGCAAATCTGATCAACCCCGTCCATATATAACGTATTAATTTAAATGTGTGACCCACAACCAGAAACATTAAAAATGATTGAGACTTTAGAGAGCATTGAGTCATTGACACGTAAACGTATTTGAGACATGGGGTATAGCTTTACCAAGGAAAATAAGGCATTCAAACCTCCATTAAATCCCAACACGTTCTTCACTTATGAGAAGGTATTTGGTGTGCCTGTGTATTTATAGAATGCATCAGAATCGTTTTTACGCTATACGTGTGAGTATAAATAGCTTTAATAGACCGATGCATGGTGTACCGAACAGACCAAATATATTATCCTTCATTCAATATATATTTATTTATTATTACTAATCCTTAGGAGTTAAACATCTTCATAGTAACCCTAGGCTACTTACACTAGTGATTATTAAAAAATAGCTTATCAGTTAACTATTAAGGTCACTGTCTCTTTAAAATCAACTTCTATTTCTTCTTCTCCATCATTTTCTATCTCTATTTCTTTCTCTAAAATCACCTTCTGTTTCTTCTTCTCTATCGTTCTCTCTCTAAATAAGACCTAGAAACCATCTGGACTTAATAAAAAAGAAAAGAAAAGAAAAAGACGGTGAGCTCATCTTTCTTAGAAATACAAAAGACCCAGAAACAAACAAATCCATCCCACAATATCGCTGAGATATAAAATCCAACCTCCATTTCTGTTTCTGTCTATTTTCTGTGTTCCATATTTCATTTACATGTAATAAAATACATCAAAAAGTTTAAGAAACCAACTTTTCCCTACTGAAAAAACTTTCATCTTTTTTTCTATTAATTGGTCAAGCCCGAGGAAGGGGTATTTCTAATTTCACTTTTCAAATTTGAATGGGCTTCTTGGAAAAGCCTCAGGGTTTGGTGATGGTGAAAAGGCAAGGGGTTGGGTTCTAACATGTCTCGATTTTGAACTCCCACTCCCTCATTATGATTCTTAATTTAAGGATATTGTCGTTGTGGGAATGATTGCAGCACCTCAATTTGTAATTTGGGATGGGTTAGGACCCTACCTAGGAGAATTTCCCGTTAAAAAATAAATAAATAAATCCATAACTCAAGAAAGCTTTCCCAAAAATATAAAAAATATTTATTGGGTGGGTCCTGTATCTTATGTCATTAGTACAAATATTATATTATTAATTTAATAATTTTGAAACCTAGATTAATAGAGGATGCAAACCTTTATGAATTTTGAGACTGCAACACTACTAATTAAGTCTTGAAATAATGTTTTGCATCTAATTAATTGTGTTGCACAGTGTACAACATATTATGTTTTCGGATATTTTAACCCTTGATATTTCTCGAAAAAGCCTTAATTTTTTTTTTATAATAAAGAAGGGAGTTATCAACCGAAATGAAGATTTTTATTAAGAGAAGTACCACATGTTAAAGTATGTTCGGCTGTGAAATTAGAATTAAAGAAAAGCAACTTAAATTAATTAATTATTATTATTATTATTATTATTATTTTTTTCAATAACACCAATTTTAATTCTAAAGTTCCAATTCAAAAACACAACCTAAGGGTGTAAAGTTGGTGGTTGTTTGTAATCCTAAGGGTGTAAAGCTAGTACGTGGTTGTCTGTAATTTACCCTAATAAAGTAGTAATAATTAATTCTCTTGCCTTATTTTGACGCCATTAACATGTGAAGCAAGAACAGTTACCCCGTCTTCACTAACCTTTAGCAAACCCTGCACATCAATTGATCCATCATAATAATTATCATAATATTAATTTGTCTACTAACTAATAATTGTTTTGAGTCTAGTTAATATATATATATATTACCTTTTCAGAATCGCATACAATGAGATGACCTGCAGTAGTAATGGTGATTCCAAGTAACGTATCACCCCCAATCATCCTCCAATTTTCCCAGCTTCCATTAGTTTGTAATCTTTTGATCCAACCATCTCTCGTAGCCGTATAAACTACACCCTCTCTATCCACACAAACGTCTTCCGGCTTATCCAGAATTCCTTCTCCAAGTTTTATCACTCCCTGTAAATTCATATATATTTGCACACCATTAATTATATATAATAAGCACCTATCACACGAGGAGCCACAGTACGGTTGCTCCATTTTTGACCTTTAAACAAGGAAACAGCCTTTTTATATGCAAATATAAGACCGCATAAATCTGACACTCCTAGATCCCACAATATTATGGCGGAGCATCACACACTTGCATAACAAAAAAACACATACATAACATAAAAGCTGGCTAGGATCACCTGTAACTGGGAGTTAGTGGGAAGAAAGGAAGTGGATGCGGGAGGCAATTGGAGTGGGTCAGGAGATATAGGTGAGAAGAAGAAGACTTGTAGTGTTATTGCAAGTAAACAAGCTAATAAGATGCTTGAAAAAGCTGTCAAATAATACTGTATAGATTTCATTGGCGAGCCAAACAAGATCTGCTTCCTTCCTTCGTAGCTGTATATGTGTGTGTAGTGTGTACTGTGTTGTGTGAAGGCTTGGCACTTGACAGAGAAGACTCCACAGGATATTGGACATAAGGTCCCCCCTCCCCCGCAATGAATATAGAGCGCTCCCGTATTCAATGATTTTTGGTCAAAAATAGCCCAGATAATAAATGCAATATATATATATATATATGAACAAAAAAATTATTACATGCTTCCCCGTGAATCATTAGTTGACGACTTGACAGGCAAAAAAATATGTAAGTGTCAACTTTATTTAAATTATTATTTTTTTTACCTTTCAAAAAAAATTGCATGCACTGTCAAAAAAAAGTTAAGAAATTTTTTTTAGTTAAAGAAAAAAAAAAGTTAAGAAATTACTCACATATAGGATTAACAAAATAAAAATATTGAATCTGTTCACATACGCAGAACTAAATTTCAAAATATCTGTTTTCCTCTTGAAATAAAAGTAGATGGGTTTGCTTTCTATTCAATTCAAAATTTAATAGGATTAACATCATAAAAACTCCAGTACTATAAGAAAATATACACAAATCCCCAATAGAATTATAAAACTCTCCGAATTAACAAAAGTAATTAATACTCTATATTTTATTTTTGTGATTAATTAAATGACAAAATTACCTTACAATTTCATATTAAATTAAAATGCTAATAATTATTAATTTATAATTACTAATTTAAAATTTCTTTACAGACCTGATCGTTTTGTTCGACAATGGAATCATCAAAATAATTCAAGTATATAGCCTAAAAATATAAAGGAAACATAAGTTTCAAAATCAGAAAGTTATCTCTATTTCTTTGTCAATTCTTCACCTCAATCAATCCTTTTTCCTTCAAGATGCATGTATATTTATAGCTGACTTTTTCACCGTTTTGTTTGATTTATATAACGATACGCCGGAATCATGTTTTCTTCGTTCTCTAGCCGAACCATAATTTCTTCATTCTACGGCATCATATTGTTTCTTTATCCGCTCTCCACAACTCGATTTCTACTTTCTCTTGCACACTTTTCTTTTGAACATATTTTACACTATCCACACGAACAATATTTTCAACTATTCATGAGTAAACCTATGGCATCCTTGAGATTTGTCACAAGGACAACTATAACCGATGGCGAATCTAGAAATTGTTAATAGGATGAGCTAATACTAATGTGTGTATATATATATATATATATATATATAGATTGGGTCAATGATGATAACTGTAACAAGGGAGAGCTTGTCCTACATTGGATTTAGATAGAGAGGTGAATAGGTACGTATAAATGGATGGGTATGCAACACTACCCAACAACTTAAAATTTTGAATATTAGAGTTAGATCCAGTCCTTGATTCGGTGCCACGCCAAGCGCCGGGCCCGAAGGCATCCCGGTGAACAATCTTGAGGATGACGGCCATAGATTCCGACGTCAGCGTCATCGCCGACGAATGTCGGAACTGTCGGCAAGCTATATGCTAGGCGAGGACGAAGGTCGGAACTTTCAGGTGAACAAAATAGCCTATGGAAGAACAGTTTGATGGTGAACAAAATGGACACCACTTGGGTGAGTTTGCCCCTTTTTTTATTTATTTTTATTTTTATTTTATGATGGACAGAATGGACACCACGAGTGTGAGTCTTCCGATTAATTACTTTAAGTAAGGAAAATTATTGAAAATAAAATGAAGAGAGGGCTAAATATTTAAAACTTTAGCAGTGAATGTGTGAGGTGTAAGTTTCTTGGGGGTAACGATGGACCGCCACCGGAGATGGGGAAGAAAAAGGTGGGTGGTTTTCCAGGAGGCAGTGAGGTGAATGATATTCCAGAAGAAGGTGGTGGTGGATGGAGTGTAGTTTTGTCCCAAAATATTTTTTATTTGGACTGAGAAGTCCTATTTTTAAATTTGTTTCATATATATATATTTTTTTAAACTACCCTTATTAGTACCGTTCAACCATCTTCTCCTAAAAAAATTATCAGAGAGGGAAATGATTGAGAAGTGGGGTGGAGCTGGGCCGTGGCTGCTCGAGGGATGCGACACATTTGAGAGAAGATGATTGAGCAATATTAATAAGGGTAATTTTGGATATATATATATATATATATATATATACACACACACATTTGAGAGAAGATGATTGAACAATATTAATAAGGGTAATTTTGGATATATATATATATATATATATATATATATATATATATATATATATTTGAACCAATTTGAAAATAGGTTTGAAAATAGGACTTCTTGGTCCAAATAAAAAATATGAATTTTTTCTACCATAAATTTAACTTTATTTTACCTTATTTACTTCCTTTAGGGTATTTTTTTTATTTTTTATCCTGTTAAAAGAAATAATTTATCCAACATAGGTAACTTGTTTTTTGGAATTTCTTCAAAAAGATAATTTAATCAACAAAGTTTTTTTTTTTGGTGTCAAAACATATAATTTATTCAACATAAATGACTTTTTTTTTTTTTTTTTTTTTGGGTTGTGTTTTTTGTACTTTTTTTTCTTAGTGTTGTCAAAAGAGATAATTTATTCAATATATGTAATCGTCTTTGGTTTTTTTTTTTTTTTTTTTTTAAAAGAGATCAAAATATTAAAAATTAGAATGCGACCGAAAAGAAAAAAAAAAAAAAAAAAAAAAAAAATCCAAAAATTACTTTATTTGTTGAGACCGCCTAAAAATATGTTAATTATATGAAACTCAAATCAATATTGATTTCTAATTTCTGTTAGGTAATATAGAATAATACATTAGATATAAAGGTAATTGTGTAATTTGAAAAAGAATAATCAAATTAAGGTTATAAATGTCATTTTCTTTAAATAAAGGTACAAAAGTCAAAAATTGAAGTCCCCACACACACCACATATTGGTATATGTCATATATCGCGCAACTAGGCATATAGATCCAAATTCATTAAAATCATGAGCTACATTATTCATGAAGTTTTGTTACTTACACGCAACTTTTTCAACGGCATGCCCTCAATAGTGAATACTGAAATGATGCCATCCAAGCAGAAGATACAGCCAAATCATGAGTTTTATTTATTTTGTCAACATTTGTAAAAAAAACCCAAAAGAGTCGCTACCACGGAATAGAGTACTCAAAATATTTCTAGGGAAAGGATAATGCTAAGGAGTTTTCTCCTTAATCTCAATCAATATATCACTAAAAGTAACGATTGGTTGAGAACACGTCGTGGTACCAAAGACTTCTCTATCCCCTTTAATATTTTGTTATATGTACCATTAATTAATTATATTATGTCATAAAAATAAAAGTAATTTATTTTAATGGTTCATCCATGTATCAATATTTTAATGATTCATTTATGTATCAATATTTATTTTAATGGTTCATCTATGTTCATTTATGCATTTTCATGTTTGTAGTCTAAGGTGGATCTCGAAGAGGCCCTACCTATTGAAATTCTTGGTGTCAATAAAAATATATATATATATATATATAATTAAAAAATCATATCATCACTACAACCGAAATAATCATATATTTTTAATAGCTCACCATCTAATAATTTCTCTAAAAGAAAATAAAATAAAAACTTTACGCTAGGGATTGTGGATAATGACAAGAAGCCAGCAATATATTACATGATGATCGGTACTAGCAAGTAGCATGGATGTATGCAAATACCAAAACACACATATATAAACATGCCGTAAGATTTAAAAAAATAGACAAAAAGAATGGACGTTATGTGTGTGTTAGTAAAGGTTTTGATAAGGTCATCCTCACCCGCAAATGAATTTGGATCGCTCGTCACTGTCACTATCTCCGTTCTTAATAAATAAATAAAGCACTGTCGCATTGAAATTATTGAGACAAGTTTTTAAAAAGAATTAAGACTAATTTTAGTGAATGTATTGCCTTTTTATTGAATGAACATACCAATCACGCGATACGTGCAACTCATTAATATTATCTAAGCTTCCTTCAACCCTATTATATCTTTCTTAAGAGACCAAACAATGTCTATCCATTCTCTTTATCCTCTTTTAAACTTACCCGTCTGCTCTCCTTCTTCTCTTTAGTCTTTGGAAATGGGATTCTGGAGTCTTTCATAATAGTTTACATAACTGTGGAGTGTAGAAAGAGTTCGAGATTCAGTAATGTTGGAGAAGTTGTAGAAAGAGAGGGAGAGCATTCTAGAATAGAATAGTGAGGATTTTGTAGATCCTAAATAATTAGGACATTTATGTAGAGAGTGGTAGAAGGTAAGAAGATGCCTATAAATAAGTAAGGAGTGTCATTTGTAACATTCAAGCTCAACCAGGAATGAAAAACTCCAATAGTGAGAGTTGTCTCACTTTGATACGTGGAATATATATCTCTAGTATAATTTTAGAATTGTTTAAAGAACCATTAAAACTATAATTTATAATTTAATTGATCTAGAACATAGGTTTGTTTTTGACCTCTCTCTTGTCCGGACTCCAAATGGAGTAAATTTTTTTTTTGAACTTGACTAATTTTTCGTTGTCTATCCAACGATGTGCTCGGTTATGCCCGGATATTTCTGAATAATTACCAGTTTACCCTTTTTCCTTTATATGTCCGTTTTTTGTCTAATTTTTCTCTTAAACTTCTAGTGGAATAAATTACTAGTTTCTGAATAGAATTAGTGAAATGAAGTTATGGGACTGTTAGGGATTCCCTATTCAGCGATGAGACGCATCGCAGCCGACTTTCACTAATTATTTTTAGTTTACTTCAATTTTACAAATATTTCATTGTATTTTTCTTTTCAAATAATGTAAATATAAATAATATTCAACAAAATATATATATATATATATATATATACTGCATGGTCACTCAAGTTTATAATCAATAATCATGCAATGAAACCCTCGTATCTCTACTATATAAAAAAAAATCCAAAAAAAATCACATATTTCCCCTATACTATCATTTTATTCCAAAAAAAACCCCATAAAAATTAAACACCAAGAGTGAAATACTCCAAGGGTGAGAGTTGGCTCATCTTGAGCATAATTTTTCTCTTAAACTCTTTGTAGAATAACTTACGTTAGTTTCAGAACAAGATGAATCCAATACCACTGTTCTTAGTTTTGTTTTTAATTAAGTTGTCGTTTTTTAATTAAGTTGTGTTTTTTTATGAGCCATTAGATCTGTTAGATTTCTTTTTAAATAGATATTTTGGTAAATTGATAATGCTGGTTCGATCGATCAAAGCTAGAGTTATGCGTTCAATCCGCAGTAATACACGATGTCTCTTCTTACACGGGTAGGCCTGAGTAGTAATACACTAGTTGATTTTTAAATGAGATGGCAGTGCCGGATCGTCAATTCTAGGATACTGGTGTTCCAACAAAAATCTCTTCAAGGTGTGGAGGAAATCTTTTCTTTCTTGAAGGGATGGAGTCTAATCTAATAAGCAAGCACCGCAACTTAAGACCAACATCTTGAAAGAATTTATGAAATGGACCCTGCCTTGTATTTGCCCCGGATACAGGGATCTTTTTCGAGTGGGAGCCTAGTGTAGTGGGCCTGTGTGAAATAGGCCGCAAAGGTATACATACATCTTTTTTTTTTTTTTTTTTTTCGACTTCCAGATAATACAATGGAGCTTGGTTACATTATAAGATAAATTTTCATGTTTTATAACACTGATTTTCTTGTCTTTTATACTAATAGTTTGGAGAGGATAATTGTATGCGTTTTCATGTGTTTACAATGTTTATTTAATAATGATTCTTAAAAAGAGAGAATTTTTATAAAAATGGTTAGAGCAAAGTATTTTTTTTAGAGCCAAAATCTACACGTTGTTAAAACCGGATATAATTTTAGGGTCAGGGGTACCGGATAAGCACATCTTATCTTTCCGATATTTTTTTATACAGGAAGCCTGAGAAGGCAGAATAAGGAACAAGGCCTCCATGACCATGGCACCAACTATTGCACACGACTCTGCATCTGCTAAAACTAAAAAAACATCACGTGGAACTTATGTATAAAGCTTCATTCTTGAAATAACTTAGTACTTAGCTGAACATAGGAACATAAGGTATAGAGAGAGATTTTTTATCGAATACTGAGAGATATACACCAGATGTTGATGGCACAAAGATTGTCATTACCGCACTAAATCATTGGATCTTAAACTTATTTGCAATATTAATTAGACACAGATTAACATGAATGGATATAAAGAATCAATGACCTAAAGTTGTAACAATGGGGCTCCCGAACATTTATATATTTACAGCATTGGAGCATACCAAGTCCATAAAACAGTGCCCAGGAAAACAAAAAACAAAAAAAACAAAAAAAAAATTGCGCTCCAAAAAGAATCTTTAAACTTTCGGCTATTTACTCTGTGTACTATGGTATCAGGTTCCGATTGAGATTTCCATGAACAAATTAACGCTGCAAGACATACATGAGGAGCGGGCCAATAGCTACTTGGGGGGGGAAAAAAGGGTGCCGGTACCACTGCTTTCTTTCCTTCTTGTTTCCATTACCACCTCTAAGCTCTACCATTCCCATGCAAAATGGCATGTTGACACGAACGAGGATGGAAGAATTACTGATACCAAGAACCTGATCCAAACTTCAGTGGCAGAGTGTCTCTCCATAGGTTACCCAGCGCACAAAACTATCCGAAAATTCCTCAAGAACCTCTAAACACTGGGTTTCATCATAGGATAGCTCCATTGCAGTCTGCTCCCTCCCCTACCAATATAACGTAACAGAGGTGGGCTTAAATCAATAAAATCACAAGGAAAAACAGAAAAGAAAAGATCATTGATTTTAACTGAAACTTAGACCACATATCATGTGAGCCTTGCAGAGCCATATCAACGGCATAAATCATACACAAGACCAAACAAAAACAACAGTTCTTGCTATATTAAAGAGTGTAGAATATCACTATTGCATAATGCAATATCTCTATACCCCGAAGTCAACATGTATGAGATAATACAACAATCAATACAAATTGAAGGTGTTCAAATTTTACTATATAATTAGTAAAACTGTTTATAAAAGACCATGCATTAAGCTAATTTGATCTGCTGTAACAACAATTAAAGACGACAAGAGCAGTTTACTGATAGAACACAATTTTAAGTATATACGTTAGTGTACCCATAGATTTGCATCAAAGGCAGCTATAGATAGCCTCCACCATTACTAGTTCTTATCACGGCATAGTGACCACTTGGAACTTCACAATCTAGATGACCAAATCTTCACCACATTCTTTTGTGAGCAGTCCAAAGACAAAATAGATAAAAATTATCTTAGTAAGGAATTTTTTTAGCACACTTTACTATTGCAGATAAAGGACTGCAGAACTTCACACATCTTAGGCATGTAGCCTCTTACTATAAAATCAATTAGAAAATCTATTCCTCAGAGAATACTAATAGCATAACAAGAAAAGATACTAACCTTTATGCTAGATCCACATTCACTGGTAGATGGGGTCATATCCCCAACAACTCCATTGATGACATTCTCTGACGACAACCCAGCAATTGGAGAGTTCGTTATTGTTGACCTGCAACCATAAAAAAGGGTGGGTGACTAAGTTCCACCAAAAACAATTCACATCTGTGACATATCAGCAATCTAATCCACAAAAAGGATATATTTTCTTTTCAATATGCAGGGCTTAGGGTATGGCCATAAAATATTATAAAATGTACAAAATGTCAGAAATGCTTTCAAAATGTTTACAGCAGAATCTAGGTATGGCCATAAAATCTTCAACCCAGAAACCTACAAAAAAGAAGACAATTTCTTTTGATATTCACTAGAATGCTTATATATATGACAGCAACACTATGACACTTTTACACATGCAAAAATACTAAAAGAATAAATGGAACAAACATCATAAATAATGTATCCTAAATTAAATCTATTAATAGTTAAATATATTTGTTCTATATCCAAAGGTTGTTCTTTGTTGCGCCAGATAAATAAACAAAAGAAAACAGAAACAAAAATTTTTATTTTTATTTTTCAAAAAGAATGAAGTCATTGTAAGGATGAGTGACTAATAGTAAATTGTTAAAATAATTGACAACCAAAAACCAAAGTGTCACATTTGGTAAGAAAAAGCACAATGAAGCAGTCATTGCAGAAACTTTTAATACAATCATGGTAAAGGTTCTAATTGAAGCAAAGTAAACAATGAATTTTATATACCGAGAAATTAACATGAACTTTGGTTACACGCTATATTCCACAAATCAGAAAACTAGAAATTGAGGCTTTTCTTGGTATGTATAAATCTTTCTTTTGCTATTCTTGAATATCCCCTTGGGATTTTGTTCTTGATTCAAAAGAAAATAATCTGGTACAGTAGTGTTATCAAAACTTTCAACGAAGTCCAACTACAAATTGACAATTTTGTAAGATAATGCTGATAATTTCATGCTCACGCAGCAACCGAGTTCCATCAGAGCTCACTGACAAGATTTTTACCTCCTCAGCACTCATCAAAGGATTACCTCTCATATAAATCTTCCTCACATGAATTTCCAGAGGAGGATAGCCAATCTAAATCAACAAAGTTGGAGCAGTCAAATGCATCCCCATGATCATCGTCAGGGTATCTGTCTCTTTGCATATCTCGAAAAAGGTGCCTTCGAGGCATCAAGGGAGTATATCTACATGTAAACAATTGCTTGCAAATAAGCTGAATAAAAAATTACAGATTATGGAATCATATTGAAGATCACAATATCTATCAGAAAGCCCAGATTTCTGTGCATACCATCCCTCCAATACACATTATGCGACAGAATATGTGTCAATTTGTTAAAATGGGAAAGAAAATGTGAGGACATGAGGAAACCAGATGATACAGCAGTTATGAAAAAGCATGTAAACAGCAACCGTTATTCCATGGCTATGCATGTCAAGAATGCGCCCTTATCAATATAAAATGATTCTAAAAAGCGGAGTCCTCTTTATCTTATAGACGATCCACCCTGTTTGCTTCATGCTATGCCACAAACAATAGCAATAGATAACAAAGCCTAGGAAGAAAAGATGAGAATCTTTCCACTTATAAGATAGTAAGCAATCATCGAAATTCAAATAATGCACACTAATATCATCATTGGCAACAAAACAATTGATGTTGGTAAGTTAATTAGTCATGTGTTCACAATTTTCTATCAAAATTAGGATAGTAGTTTGTGTTAGAAGTCTTGTCATTTGTCTACAACAAAAAACAGATATGTTGGAGATAAGAACAATGAGAACAAGGCGAAAAATTATCAAGCTCAATCACAGACCTAGATTAAGGTAAATTGAGACTTAGTGTTCTTCTAAGACCTAGGATTGATCATTGAAAGGTTCAAAATCTTGTCTTAAACATGTTTTCCAAAATCAGGATTTTTGATCATGGAATCAAGTAAATAGATTGTGTCCTTTATGTGTAGGTCATCTAAGAAGCCCTTTGATTGTGGGTTTATTCTTTCTTCTCCATTTTCAAAGAGATTGATTGAAATTTTTAATCAGGTATTTTTGCAAAACCAAATGGTTCAATCAATGTCATGATTGAGATTTCCAGTAAGAACTTTTATCAAAGACTAGAATGCACTGATCGAAAGCTCAATCAAATGAAGTCGTGTCAATTTTTCTTGTTTGACTGATTGACACAATTTATTTTCTTTTGAATACTCTCTCAGAATAGAATTTTAAAGGATTAAGATTCTATGTGATTGGCTATAAATATGATGTTACAGTCAGTCTAGGATAGCTCTTCAATTCTCTAGGGAAGGGAATTGATAATACAACTTCTACTACAAGTGCAATACATATACAATAGTTTAGAGCTTCCCTGGTCATTCATGCTCTGTTTGGTTGGAAGGATGGAAAATGGATGGAAGGTAGAGGGGGAGGGATAAATGAGGTATTCCTAGGGAAGGGAAGGTGTCTCCATCACTTTTTGTTTGGTTGAATGGAAGGGGTAGTAGAAAGGATGGATGAAGTGACACTTTTTTTTTTTTGGTTGGAAGCAAGGAAATTAGATTTTTAAAATTTTCATTTTTTCATTTTAAAAAATAGGCTATGAGGGATGCTTCATCCCTCTCTTTCCCTTCCTTCCAACCAAACAAGAGAAGCTTCTTCTATTCCGCCTCTCTTCCATCCCTTCCTCAATCCTTCATTCCAACCAAACATAGCATAAGGGTGTTCGTGGCTCTCAGTGAGAAAGGGAGGAAAAATGCCTTTTAGGAAAGTAACTCAAGGATTTAATTTGAAAAGAGTAGGCAAACCTTGAAAACGTCATATCACCACTTTCACAACTTGATATTTCTGGCGTCGATTCTGAAAGAATGTTATTTCCTCCTTGTGACATACCAGATAATACAGAGTTACAAAGGTCCTGCTTCATGTTTGAGCTAGACATGGATGATCTTTCACGGAGGATGTTTCCATCTGACATGGATCTTTTGAAAAATGACCTGGCAATACAGTGGACAACGGTTACAGTATAAGCTGCAGCAACATGATTTTGATCTCTCAGTTGCTATAAATCAAGCAATATTATCAATAAAAATGAACGAATCAAAATAATGCCATAGTACTCAACTCCCTGGTAACTAATCACATAGGACAATGAAAGACAATATCTGAACTCACATTTTTATGTGTATAGATGTAGCATGTCTTCCCAAGGGGTTGGCTCTAGTGGTGAAGCCCTGGGACTTGGTGCCTCATGAAGCATTAAGTCTCAGGTTCGAATCTTCTCAAGTGCGATCAATTTCTTAGGGCCACAACCGCGGACATAGTCCGAGCTTTACCCAATTCGTGTGGAGGGTCGATTTGCATGGGTCCCGTGGATTAGTTAGGGCAAAGCCCCGGACACCCCGGTTATCAAAAATAAATAAATAAATGTAAAATGTCTTTGCTGAACATCTTTAAGTTATTTACAGTGGAAATTCAAAAAATTGAAAATCAAGAAGGCAACTCAGGATTCTCAGGCAAGATATTCTTTTTCCAGGAAGAGCCATAGCAAGGGATAGTGCAGATATGGTGGTGTATTTTACCAAAAGAGACACGTTAATAATGGTAAAGAACAATGAGTACCTTCCATTTTCAACCACATTTGTTTGTCCATTTCTCCATCCACTGTAATGCTGGTCAGAATCCAACTCCCAGAGTTCAGGTTTACCCTGTTGCGGCTGGAAATACCCCAAGAATCTGCTCAAATTTTTGTCATACCAAAGGTTATTTTCAATATGAAGTGCATCCATTATTTTAAAAATCAATTAAGCAAGTAAAAAAAATAGACAGGTTCTGAGAAAGTGGAACACCGCGCCCCCCGCCCCCAAAAAAAAAAAAAGAGGAGGAGGAGTACAACACAACTTACACATTAATTGCATTTTGTTTCTCAGCATCCATGTACGCATTGCTGTAGTACCGCTGAAGAGTCCTGAAGAATTCCTGGGATTGTGTTGCGGCTTGCCACTGGCCCCTTCTCTGGGAGAATATCTATTTAGAGTCAAAAATTTAAGATGTCAATGGATGGATAATGAGAGACCTAATTAAGATGTCGTAGGCTCGGGCACGTGTGTTGAGTGCAGATATGTATCCAAGTATCAAACGTGTCAAATTCCCAAACTGAAGAAAACGGGAATACAGCTAAAAATTAATATCATTTAAGATTTTATTTAATTTTCAAGAGTAAGATAATGCATTTACATATAGATAGAGTTCAATACAGGCATTTCACTGGTTTTGAAGCAATAATATAATAAAATTGAATAATTTAATATGCATGTCCAATTAAAAGTTTTGGACACACATCCCATACCAGAATCAAGAATTGTGTGGCTGACACGAGCACTTCACATACTTTTAAAGAGTTTAGGTAACATAGGCCAAAAGTAGGAACAAGATTAACAAAAACTAATAATAAATCCGGATCACTATAATCAAACTCAACAAACATCAAGTATTCCCAGGCACATTAAACTACCTTGTTGTGCGCGGCTGAGCCACCATACTGGTGCGCAAGTGTGTCACCCATTCTCTCGTAGAACCCCATCAATTCATCAGCTATAGGGTCATCGAGGTCTATCTTTGCAGCGTCTATGACTCCAAGAGAACGGAGTTGCTTTCCAAGAGCAGCCAACCCATATGCATACTGTGCAACATTTGTGCGGTCTAAGCAGTCGATGCAATTGGTCCTGAGAACCCCCTTTTGGAACATGGGTGGCTTAACAGGATGATTTCCATTAGCCATGGAGTTACTCTCATAAAGTTTTGTGTCTGAGTTATTAGCATCTTCGTTGTCATTGTCATAATGTTTTTCGATATTGATTTTGCAATGTGTAGAGGGAGACAGACTGTTATCATCATCATCCCTGCATCATATATTCATTATGGCATATTAAACACAAATAAATAAATAAAGGTAAAATCTGCAGCTATAAATTCTCAGGTCAAATGTGCAACAATTACTAGTAGTATCTCATGGTCATTGGCAACTAAACAACACTTGATTTGACTACCAAAAACTAGGATTATTATTCTTGACACTCAGGTACAAACACATATTTTTTGCAGTATAAACCAATGCAACTGACTGACTACTAAAATATTCTTAAAAATACAAAAGCAAAATCAAGATCACGAAATTTACCCCAAAAAAAAAAAGAAAAAATCAAAATCATGAAATTTTTTCTGGTTAACTGTTGTCTTTAGGTGAACATTGCCCAAAAGATTCAGCTGGTGAGGGACTTTAGACCAAATACAACCTCAAAACCCAAAATTCAAGTATTTTCATTAAAAGGTTCAATTAATTATATAGATAAAATTCACATAGTTTATTTTCATTTTAGAAACGAATTGTCTCCAATTGATTTTAATTTAATTTAAGATAATGAGAAATCCAATTCACTGAGCATGTTCCACTGCTATGATGCAAAGTAGAGGACGAGAACATTGCTTAGAAAGATAGAGGGGGCATTAGGGAGCACAAGCCAAACTCTAACAAATACAAAATACCAAAGCTAACACAAAAGAACAAACAAGAAGGATTATATTTAAAGCCCATCCTTTGTCAAATCATTTTTTCCCACTGTAGAAGGATTGAAGGAATGGAAAATATTGCCTACCATACAAGTCACCATTATGCATACAGATGGAGTAATACCAGGGGAAAAAAGTATATATGGTTCAGAAAATTATTGGAATGAACAAAACAAACTTACTCAAAATAAGGACATTTTAAACACCCCTCAGACCTCATGGCTGGTGCTACTTGACAATAAAAGAGACCTGTAAGTGTCAATGCATATGCAGCAACTTTGCCCAAAAGTAGCAAGACATTTGTAGCTTTACTGGAAAAACCCAAAAAGAAAGAAAGAAAGAAAGAAAGAAAGAAATTAAAAAGAAGATAAGCAATAAAAGGAGTAAAAGAGGAGCAAAGAATCTGAGCACGGAAAAAAATACCTGCGAGAATGTTTGTGTAAATCCCAGTGAAGAAACTTAAGACGGTTCTCCTCTGATAAATCTTTATTTATAAATTCAATCGCATTAGCAAACTCTGCTCGGAGAATAGATTCTCTTGGCTTCTTTTCATGCGTCTGTTGATTGCAAAAACTGATAATTAATCAAAACATCCTTTTTTCTTCCATCGGAAAGGGGTGGAGAAGGTTAGATAATTTTAAATTCCTTTTGGATTAATGACATTTTACAGTTACAAAAGAAATAAATAAAGCAAATCCAGTTACCAAAATAAAGTATAAAATCATCAATACAACCCTAAATCAATAACAAAAACCTTACCTTAATCAAATTCAAAATGATTATGGGATTTCCATATCTCTTGCCAAGATTTTCAAAATGAAGTCTGGTGGCCTCATAATTTTGGTCCTTCTTTGACACTGAAAAAAGATAAAATCAATCTAAAGACATGGGGAATTACCTAAGAGGCTACAATTAACATGCAAATACATACATATAATATCAGGTTTGATATTCAGGCGTGAAGTTTCTTGAGACCAGAAAAGAGGGATTGAGCCACGGTTTTGAACGACAGAACTAATTTGCATCGGAAACCCTTCAGGAACATCCTCAAAAACAATCTGTTCTGTCTCAACATCATTTGCAACTCTGCCCTTCTCATTTACACCTCGTTTTAGATATCTATATCAGAAGAAAGCATTAAGGTGCCAAGACCACTATAAATATGTGCAGTGAAAATGATATTAACCATTTGAAATAGAAAGACGAATAATTTCATTAAAGAAAAACTGCAAAATTCATGTAAATTCAAGATGATGAAGCCGGAAAAAGAGGCTACAAAGCATTAATAATGCAACATGAATCAAGGAAGTAAACAAAATTAGATCAACCACCAAACCAAGACCTGAATCACACCCACTTTTTACTTTCTAGAAACACCAAGGACACAGAAACTGGGTGCCCACTACAACCCTATTTGTCATGTTGTTGACCATTGGCCAGTGTTGCTGCTTTCACTACCAATCATGGAAAGAAAGCATAACTACGATGGTATCACCCTACTCATCCCAACCATAGATTAACAGAAACATTCGAAGAATAGCACCATCGAACAATGAAGAAGACAACAATGATTGACTAAATTGCAATCATCTTATACATACAAACAACGCAACCACTGACATAGCAATTGAACTGCAAATGATCCATGGTCAGTTATTCGTCTCCATTTGCTACTCAGACAAACAACGCAACCACTGACATAGCAATTGAACTGCAAACCCCACTGAAAAGAAGAAAGAGAAAAGACTGAATTCACTTACAGGGACCTAAAAATATTTTAATTAGAATACACCCTGCAATCTAATACTCCAGATCACATCCCTTACTTCCATCAGAAAAATTGTTGCATTTAAGTTTTCAAGAAGAGCCATGATGGTTCGAATTTCTTTCCTTTCGCATTTTTAAGGACACTTCAAATTATTAGACCTTGAATTCCTCACTAAATCTAGAGTTTCAGTGCAAACTATCATTTTACCAAACCACATAAAACATCCACCAAAAAGCTACACACTTTCCCCAATTCTATAGCACAGAGGTTCCTCCTGTTGTTCACATTTATATGCCAAAAATCAATTCATAATACAAATTTTCTTTTCAGATATAATAGATTGTAACCCTAGACTCAGATAGTCAGAGTATACGAATGTCTTGATGAAGACCTAGAGTGGAGGGAATAGGTGTTAGTAAACAAATTACCTATTTGAACAGAAATTCAAAAATAAACTACTATTAATGATAATTTGAATTATCATAAAACCATATAAAAACCATCATGTTTGCAAACATAAAGCAGGTAAACAAAGATAACATTCACACACAAACACACGTGTACGTGAAAAAATCCATTGAAAAAATCCATTGAAAAAATACCATGAGAACTATACCAGACATATTAAATCCACTGTGACAAAGGTTGTACTGGGTTAACCGGAATATAAACACAAGAATTCGCTATTTACCTCTAACCCAGACTCAAGTCGGACATTCTCCTTGATCTTCTCCTCCTTTAGCACATTGAAATCTATGACTAGAATTGTCCCGTTCATAGGTGTGTGGAAGATACTTTCGGATTTAAATAATCCTTCTAGCACTCAACAAGAAAACTTTCACAATTGGGTTGCTATAATGCACTCAATAAGATTTCATATCTTGTGCATGCTTAAGCTATGCTTGCTTAGGTTGTGCTTATGTTCTTTGATAACATACGCTGTCTATATAGCATCAAAGCATTAAAGGACTATGGCCAAGAGAGTAAATCCTAATTGGAAACTTCAATTCCGCAGGTTTCATTCGATCAAACAAACTTTCAACAAATTTATAAGTACCCCAATGGCTTTCACTCAATCCATCAATCAGTCGAAGAAGCCCTATCCTGAACTCTTTAGGATTCCAAAAGTATAAATTTTATAAAATATCTTATGCATTCCAATTGAGGTTTTCATGAATCAAACATGTAATCTAAAAACCCTAAGATGTTTAGTGAGATGAATGCATATGAATATTAACCCTAATTTGGTGAGTGCATATTGCCAGTTGCAATTAACTTTTTGCCCCTGCTTGTAGCTTTAAATTCCAAGTTCGTCTTGGACAAAGGTAACTCCAAACTCCAAGTTATGGAGGAAATTAGCCAACTAAGTCCTATGGTCACGCTTTGAAACCAAATATGCAGCAAACTTGCAATTTCTGGAGCCCAAATCACGTGTCTCCAAACCCTCACTATACTGCAACTGTCACTCAAGACTATATACCCACATTCCCTTTCTTCCCTGACCATACCCTTGCTCTGTATCAGTTGAAATCAAATTGACAACACAGATAAAAGTGGCAGGTTATGTTCAGTCATGCATCTAACAAAGGTAAAGACTGTATGTTCCTATAGTAAAAAATAAACAAATACCTTTCCAACCCAGATTAGGCAACTCGAATCCATCATGACTTGATTAGATGCAACAGGTCAATTCCAACAAAGATTAGGGGAATAAAACTTTTGACAATTAATTTTTTTCCCCAAAATTTTTCGTCAAGACAAAAATAATAATAAATAAACGAATTCCTTGCCTTGAAAGGAAATGTAACAACTTGACCATTAAACTACAGATTCCAAAGACTTAGTACAGTATTCAATATAACAAAGGTTAAAATCCCGCCAGGTCATTAGTGGATAGAAATGAACTACCTTCAGTTGCGGGTCAAACCGAGCAGTAAAAGCCAGATTCGGTATAACAATAGGTTAAAATCGGCAGAATATGGGTACCCAAATTCAACCCATATTTAGTGCACAGTTAGCATTGCAGTACCTTAAAAAAAACAATTTTTTTATGTAGAGCTGTCAAAAATGTGTTCTATATGGAACATCAAAATAGTGTTTGGTAATGCAGTAAGTAGGGCGATTTTATAAACATTCTTCTTTCATAAATAGACTCCTTCTATGTATTTGTTACCTCTACTTGCAAAAAGCTCCAATTGTTAGCTTTGGCTAAAAGCTCTATTGAGGCAAAACCTCTACAACTAAAAGGCGCCTTTTTATGACCAAGCCCATTTAAAAGAAAGTTTGGAAATTAATATCGCTTTTAGTCTCTCCAACAGGAATGCCAAACAGGCACTTAGCCCGCTATAAAAGATATCCAGATAGATAAAAAGACCAAGGACATAACACTTGCGACAATTATTTCCTTTAACCAGGGGGGAAAAAAAGAAGAAATACTCAATGTTTTCCTTAAGAAGAAACGGTTACAACTTCACTAATTACAGACATCCAATGCATTCTTCACAATTACATACCTGGTGCCAGCATAATGACGTGAACGTCTTGCAATGAGAGTCAGCTTGAAGTCCCGCCCGGATATAGATAATGTAGCCTGGATTCACAAAGCAACTAATAAAACCTCAAACATTTAAATCATGAAAAAAGAACTCATAGCAATCTATAAAGTTCAGCAGGCAATATTAAAAGCTGACAAAAATAAGAGGGCTGGCCCAGCGGAGGCCCACCCTCAAAAGGCGACAAGAATACTAAACATAATTCAGTAGCATTTTTTTAGTTCAAATAATTAACTTAAGTGACGTGTTATTCTAACCCAATAAACAAGACATTCAAATGTCTAAATTTATGCTCAAATCTATGAAATTGTACCATAAAGAAAAACACTGATTGAAAACTTCAAATTAATTTACTTTAAAAGAAAATAAGGGCATTAGTATATAAACGAAGTTGCAAGAGAATAAATTCGTCAGCTAACATATTTTTAGATTATAAAAAAGCTAAAGATTGAACAATAGGTTTTCTAATATATAAACAAAGATTGGTAAATCAGAGGACATACTACAGATGGATACAAGAAAATCCTAGTATAACTCCAGACCAGAGAAGCAGCAAAAAAATCACCTGTTTAAAAAAACCATAGACCAAAGCAACTGTCCAAATAGTATTCTGAAGGAGATTCCGAACTCCATGAGTCAAGAACTCATTCCAGACGAACATAGTTTCATAGAGAACCGGTCCTGGCTCACTATAACACATATTCTTTTGAAAACTCCGCATAACATGGTATGAGTAGCTGAAAAAGAAGTCCTTTGTAAGATCCACCATGCTCAGGAGCTTCTTGTATCTATGCCATCAAAAATAAATAAAACAAAGTCAATAAATACACCCCAAGAAATTTGAGATGAAAAAGATGAAGCATAAAAAAACAGGTAGATGATAAACAGTAACAATAAATAGGAATTCCCGTTGACTACTATAGTAACTTATATGCCAAAATATAAAAATGTGTGCATGTGTGTGTATTTGTGAAATTAATACCGGGCTAACGAAGACTGAAGTTTGCCAATACATTTCTGCTGAATGGCAGAATTGTAATTGCATAAAGTGACTGTAAAACATAGCAATTGATAAAGATGCTAAAACCAAAATATTTTGATGATTTCATAATTTGCCAATCCCAACTTTGTTATCATACTTAAAAAAGATATAAGTGCATCAAACTGCAAAACTAATGAATCACACATCTCCCAAATTTGTTACGATATAGATCCAACAATCTGGATCCTGAGATACAATGCTCAACTAATGAATCAGTCTGCATCTCAAAGAACTCTCACACTACGCCTATTGTGTCACGTCATTGGTTCAAAGTAAGTGAAGTGCCTATATTAAACTCTTATCTATTGCATAATATTAATTTTATTCTAAAAGACTAAAAGAAAATTATTAAATAATGCAAACATTAACCATTCTTATCCTCGGGTTTGGAAAATTTCATCAGTCTCACACTTAGACACAAACCCACACCTGAGACGTGTATAAAGTTTCATTTAACATAAGGGTGAACATGCTTCAAAATTATTGGGAATAACTTTTGCAACTTCTAGTGCTCCAAAAATTTATGTTCTATTACGAAAAACGCAGCAAACCCAAGAACAAATTAAGAAACACGATAGAAAAGGTAAACACGCCACACAAAGAACACAAAGATTTAGCGTGATTCAATAAAGCCTACATCCATGGTGGTCACTATGCGAAAAATAGGAGATTAAAAGTTTCAACCCCCAAACCCTAGCTTTTGCTCTCACTCCCTCTGCAATTTTCAGTGTCTCAATAATTCCACCCCAAATCCTAAGCACCCTTATATATTAGGCTACAAGAGAATACTAAACTGGGTCCATGGCCTGCAAGCAAAAATCAAGTTCAAAAGTTCTCCATTCAACGGGTCACAACGCGACCCAACACCAAATTCGGGCCACAACATCACATGTTCATTATTTCATATTTTTTTCATCACTTTTTTGTTTGTTGATGATACATTATAATAATTCTTTTAATGTAATAACATAATGAGGTAATTTATTTCATTTTATAGAATGTTGTAATTCACAATCTGATTTTAAGATTCAACCCACATCCTGAAAAACTTATCGATACATCAGATCCAGATTTCCTTTTTTTTCTTTTTGGTAATCATCCGATCCCAGTCTCGACCAACTTGAAGGCGGCAATATTTTTTAAGAAAGTCAATCGCAATTTCAATGAAATATAAAAAAGGACAATACACCTCTTCATAGTTCAAAGTGATTTCTGTGACTTCTTTACGAGAAACCTGGACAAAAACATTAACATGCAGAATAGACAATAACCTGTTCTCATTCTTAGATTCAACCATGTTGTCTAGAACTGCAGAATTTGGAAGTGGAATCATCTCACTCTTGGAGACAGCATAGATGGTATGGCCACAAATTGCACCAATCTGCCTTCGTTTCGTAATAAGCAGCATGTAATAAGGCCCCAGAAATCTAATGAACCCTAGAAACAGCATAGCACGGTGAATATTGTAATGAATACAATTAACTGCTTAAGTCCGTTGGGATATAAAAGATATACACTTGAAAGACTACATACCAACAATTCCGTAACAAGTAGTGACAAATTTAAGGCCTCCGGTTGACCTGTTTCCCTCGTGTATCCTTCTCAACAGGTCAGAGCATTCAATCTCTGTATATGTAGTAGAATCTTCACGGATGTTTAGCTCAGAAGGCTCCAACCTGTCAATCTTTAAAACTCTCCAGTATGTTCTACTCTTATCTCTTCCTATCATATAAAATTTCTGCAGCATAATATTTGAAATACAATGGTGTAAATTGTGCAATATTATAGGCAAAAGTATACTCAATAAGAAAATAAATATGTATACACACACAATCATATAAATGTGTGCATGTATGTGCAACCACTGTAAATATCTGCTAGAGAAGATCACATGATTGACGATACTAAAGATCACTCGATCATTGTTGATACTTGGTAGAATAGAGATACATTTAAAACATCAACACAGAAATCAAACCATAAATCAAAAAAGAAAATGCTCAAATATTATGGTAAGTTCAGTGAAGTACTCATAAACTGCTTTCAAATACAGACACGCACACAAAAAAAGAAAAATATAAAATAAAATAAAACAAAGGAAATTTTGGATTTTAGTGACCAAACTTAAAACATAATTGCTCTTTAGCGACCCTAAATTTAGGAAGAGACGAATAGTTACCAAAAAAGATATGTTCTTCATTGACCATTTGATGATTTTTTCCATATATGTCTATCTAGAAGTAACTCATTTCATTGTTGGACAAATCTATCCTTTCACCTTCACCACCGTCACTGATGTTATTTACTACAAACATCCATCTATACATATATATATGCCTACATTAGTATACATTCATTGTCTTCTCATTGAGAAATTGGCGTTACATCTCAGAATGATAAATTAGAACCTATTGGCCGAGATAAATAATTTCTAGGGTTTCACTCAGTTCAAGAGAGGACATAATAATGAAGAGATCAATGGAAGGTGGACAAATCAATAATGGAGAATTATATAATATTGTAAAGGTGGACTTGGCCGTCCTCCTCACGGCGACGAGGCCAGCGCAATCTGAGCTCGAAGGGGCCAAATCGCCAACTCCACCGTCACTCTCGTCATGCCCTACCCGGGTGGCCGGTGGATTGGTTCCGACGCTGCCACTCTCAAGCGGGAGGGTAGTTTAGGTTATTCTACATTCTTCTATTATTTTCAAAAAAAAAAAAAGAAGAAAGTATTTTGACGAAGTTATCCTTCAATGGTCACTTAAAGGCATTTAACTTTTAATTTGGTAACTACTCATCTTTTCTCAATTTTATGGTCACTTGAAGAGCAATTTTGTTTAGATTCTGTCTCTAAAATCTATTTTTCCTTAAGAAAAAAAGAGAGAGAGAGCTAAAATACCAACTTACCATTTTGAATTGTAGACAGGTTATTATTGAAACTTGATTATGTGATCAATATACTCAATTTTCATTCAACATTAAAATGCTAGCAGACGGTTTAGAGCATTCTGACATAATTACTTTCTAAGGTGTACACCAAATATTAACTGTATGCAGTAATCAATGACAACATTATAAGCACAAATATTGGCCAAAATGAGTTAAGGTGCTGAGGCAAAGACATATTCGCCCTTGGAATGTTTAAAATATTGGAGAACATATCAAACCTCAAAACAAATAGATATGAAAATTGAACAATCCTTCGTTTTCAACCAAATTCAAACTTTTTGTTGTTGCACACGAAAACTGATAGTAGCACAATGTATATGCTATACTGCTGTAATGAAACCAAATGCATAAAATAAATAGTGAGGTTATAATCTTGTAAATGTCATAAATGAAAAATATATATTTATACTGAATTTTGAAACTTCTGAAATCCTTATGTAATCGACAAACCTTTCAGATTGATGTAAGACACAATGAATTAGTTTGCTTTGACTTCTATGTAAACTGGAACTTGAGCACAAAGGCAGGTAAATGCATACATCGATATCAACAACACTGATGAAAAATTTGTCCTTAATTGAATATAAAGAGTGCTAACAAATGTAATTTGAACAACCTAATGTTATAGAAGTTTGGAGATATGATTTCAGATCGAAGTAAGCTAACTAAGCTAGTCAATTCAAGACAATAGAAAATCAGAACATCTTTATACCGATCGAGTCTCGTATAGCCTGAATTTCTGCATACAGGCCTGGGATGCGGGAGAGGAGGATTCGTCTTCGGTGTTTGTCAGAGTGAGCAGGGGGCTCCCATTCTCCGACGCCATTAGGGTTCAGATCCCGAGCCTCGGGCTCGGGAAGCAATCAGACTCGCATTCAACTGAGAAACTCACCGACTTTCCCGCCATATGCACCCCATCATGAAGTTTGGCTGCTTCAAGTATAGCATTTTCTTTCCCTTCTCTATCTTCAACCCTCCTCACTTTTATTCCAATTTTTTTGTGTCTTCCATTCACAAACAAACACCCTAACAGAAACCCCTAGATTATACCCACAATTCTTTGTATATGTGTGTGTCAAAATAATTATATATATACAATATATATTATATATATTTATTTATATACACACAGAGATGTAGAAAGAGAGGCTCTAATCCTACAAACAGCTTCTGATCTTCGGCCAGATAATACAGATAACAAAAAGATACACAATTTGAAGCTAATGGCGAGAGGCAAAACAAAAATTGGAAAGAAATAAGATAGATCGATAATTGAGGCGAAATTTAAGGGAAATTTGAAATTGAAAATTGAAAATGGATATATTGTAGGAGGAGGAACAGGGAAAAGATCAGAATGAAAAAATAAAATAAAAATTTTGGTGGGAGGAACTAGAAAAGCTTCGAAGTTGAATATACCTAATTTTCTTGATGATGATGATGATATATATTGGTAATATTTATTAGAGATTCAAGAAAGAGTGAATGAATGTAGAGAGAGAAAGGAGAAGGAACTCTCGGATGCGAAGAAGAAATCAAAACCACACCTTGGGTGGCCACACCATATACACAAAAAATACATTATTTTTGTTACTAAAATTATTCCATTTTCCGCTGACCCAAAAGGCCAATTTAATGTGCGAGCTTCTTGTGAACAATACTTGATTTTTCCTTTTCTTTTTCTTTTTTTTTGATTAATTAATTAAATAATGTCTTTTATACCTATGAAATAAATTATATAAATATATATTAAATTACAACGAAGGTCTGTTTGGCAAACGTGTGTCAAATATAAAAGTCAAATGTTTAATTTTACCAGTTTTCGGGGTTAGTGTATGATATTAAAAAAGACAACTTCCAATGATTGAGGTTTCTTTTATTAGTCTTAATACGTTGGTGAGAAGAGTGCTTGATCTGAATTCTGAAGTCGTGGTGACGACTACAACTCAAAAACCAATCCATTTACGACTTCTGATTGATTCTGATGACCTAATTAGAGTAATACCAATTCTGATTCTAGAATGATCCCTTTTGTACACTATTTGATCCCGCTGTCATTTTTGACAGATTCGTAGTAAGAATTTGTTTAATTTAAGATTAATTTAATATTAACATCGTAATTATGTTGTTGGACATCGTTTTAAAAAAAAAATAAGAAAAAAAACTTCTCATATCACCTACATAATCCTACATTTAATTTCCTTACTCCATCTGCCCTTTTGCACTCTAACACCCTTGTGTTTGTGAGTTTTAACTTTTTTTGGATATAATCCTCAAACGGAACACATGATTTTCAATCTGATTATCAGGTATTATACTACTGTATGAGTCCTGATTTTTTTTTTTTGTTTGGAACAACAAATTTTATCCACACTTTTTTTAATGGTCTATAAATTACATCTGCCGGTCACATTCCAAACACACTTTTTTTACTCTCTAAATATTATAAATGGAAAATAATGGATAGATGATAAATTTTATCCACACCTATAAAAGATATTGTGTATTTTCTTTTCTTTTTTTCGATTGGACAGAAAATACTCATAATTTATTTGTTAAGAGAATGAAAGATAAAGTTTTAATTATTTTTACAATTATATCTAATAATATCTATAATATTGTAATTTATGGAAGACAGAACTCTAATTTAAAATTGGTATAATTTAGATAATATTTAATTCAAAACTTCTATAATAATAGTGTACTTACCTTCTCTCATTTCTTTCACCTATTTTGTAGCAGATGAAAATTTGTTAAGGAGGTATGATAAGTTGATAACCCATCATTCCTAATCTCATTTTTTTCCTTGTATCATCTCTGCTGAATACAAATTTGTTTTTTCCTTTCTATTTTCTTTTTACACCTCTTACTTCCTTTTTACCGAACACAGTATAAAAAAAAATGAATGGTAATAAAAAAATACCGGGTAAAGTATAAAAAAATATATAAAAAAACTGTATACAAAATATACAAGAAATAACCTTGCTGTTTAAAAAGTACATGTAAATTCATGTATTTTGACAATTTGTAACAAATTGTCCCATGTCAACAATTTTGACCAATTTTTTATATAAAAACTCACAAAATATCCTTACAGGCATTTTAGGTACATTTTTTTTTCTTTTTCTTTTTTTTTTTTTTATACAAACTCTAAAATTTGCAAAAAAATTATAAAAACTATAAAATATCCAAATACCTCAATATTTTTTAATTATAAAATTTAAAAATATATATAAAATTTCCAATTTTTTTAAACTTTTTTTTTTATTTTTGTTAACGACATTTTAGATATTTCAATCTTCAATTTGAAGAATTGTCCTTAATTGCTCAATTGGATATTTTCTAGTTTTTATAATTTTTTTTTTTTGCAAATTTTAGAGTTTGTATAAGGAAAAAAAAAAAGAAAAAAAAGAAGGATAATTGCAGTGAATTCTCAAACCCAATAATTTTTAATTGGCTATTTCAATCTTCAATATTTTTTTAATTACAAAATCTAAAAATATATATATAAATTCCTTTAAACCTTTGTTAACGACATTTTAGATATTTCAATCTTCAATTTGAAGAACAAATTGTTCTTATTTGGTTACACCAAACATTAGCAGTGATTTCTCAAACTCAATTAAGTGGAGGAGTTTCACTTACTTATTTGTTACATAATTGATCAATTAAAAGAGTAAGTAATTTTTTAACGTAGTTGGTGCACATTTTATATATGTTAATGGATTTTTTTTGTACTTAACCCCGAAAACATATGGTAATGGTATTTCATAAACCTAAACCCTTAAGAAATATATAAGGTATTATACTATTATTATTATTATTATTATTATTATTTTTGAGTACCAATCAATTAAATTTCATCATCTAAGTTTATTAGAGTCATGTAATGTAATGTGATTTATTACACAACACTTAATTCAAATACAAATATATGAGTGAATGTATTAAAATGGTTTATTGCACACGTTAAAATTAAATTTAGCGCAGAAACCATCATTATCGCTGTTATTATTATTATTATTATTATTATTATTATTTAATATAATTTAAAACATAATACGACATATCTAGTTAATTTGAAAAATATTGATTAAATTCATAATAATTTAGATAAAAGGGCTACAAAGTTATTTATAGTGTATATAATAATATACATTTTAACATGTCTATGTGGTAACATATATAATTAACTAGATATATATATATATATATATATATATATATATATATATATATATATGTATAAATATAGTTCTTACGTATTCTGTTGTGTTTTTATTGCGCCAATGCTTGGCATAGAAGACAATTTATTTTACGTGTTATATTTGTATACTGCCATGCCATGGTTATCCTGTCCTGTGGATGAATACAAGCCCATGTTGATTAAGGAAACAATTGCTAGGATGACATGTTTAATTAAAATTTTATTTTATTTTAAATATTAGTGTTAGTTTTGATATTTTTAATTAAAAGAATTATTTATTATAAAGAATTATTTAAAATTATTTATTTATAACAAAACATGACACAATTAATTAAACGATTATAATTAAATTATAAATTATAATTGTGGCTATACACGGGCATCACACCTTGAATTAATATGTCAATTTGAATGGACACAATAATAAATTTCACAAAGATAGCATTGTAATTAACGAAAATTTCGTAGACGTCATCATGATATACCATTATACTTTAATAATTTTTTATTTTTTTTAATAACACAGTTAATTAGGGGAGTGTAATCAAATTATAAATGATGATACCGAGGGCTTTGTGATTCATAATATCTCTTCTACCTTTTAAAGTGATGGTGAGAGTTGGAATCTTCAAATGAACAAAGTGGATGTGTGAGTGACGATATTTGCGAGTTTTTTTTTATTAATAATAAAAATATACATATATAAAAATTAATTAATCAATTAATTAATTGTAAATGATGATTGTGGCCAAACATGAACAAAGCACCTCGAGTTAATATGTCCATACAACTATAAATCTCACAAAAGTAATAGGCAATTAACAAAAATTCTGCAAATGCGATCATAATAACACTACTATACTTTAAATAATTTTTAAAAAAATATGACACAATTAATTAGACAACTGTAATAAAATTTCAGAGGGTTAAAATTATAAAAGTGCCTTCTACTTTTAAAATCGTGTATAAAATGCTAGTAAAATTTAAAAGTTTATTGACAAAACTTATCAAGTTATCCTTAAATCTGTATTAGCATTTTAAAATAGATGGATTGTAAAATGTCAAATTTGACTTTACTATTTAGTATTAAATTAAAAGTTATAATTATTATTTTAAATTATAAAAATACCCTTTATAATAATAAATTTTAATGTTAGATGGGTTGTGTTATTTTAGGATGACCAATTTTTTGTCCCTAATATTATTTTTAAAATTTTAAAATAAAAATTTTACATTTAATTAAATATTAAATTGTAAATTCTACAACTCCTTTAGTCATGAATTTGGTAGTAATTTGATAAATTTTATTAGTTTTAGAAAGTTTTTTAATTTTACTGTAAATTTATGCACGATTTTAATAGTAGAAATGACCAAACATGAGCACCGCATGTTGAGTTAATATGTCAACTTGATAAGTTCTATAGCCATCATATTTGCGAGTTTTTTTTATTAATAATAAAAATATACATATATAAAAATTAATTAATCAATTAATTAATTGTAAATGATGATTGTGGCCAAACATGAACAAAGCACCTCGAGTTAATATGTCCATACAACTATAAATCTCACAAAAGTAATAGGCAATTAACAAAAATTCTGCAAATGCGATCATAATAACACTACTATACTTTAAATAATTTTTTAAAAAATATGACACAATTAATTAGACAACTGTAATAAAATTTCAGGGTGTTAAAATTATAAAAGTGCCTTCTACTTTTAAAATCGTGTATAAAATGCTAGTAAAATTTAAAAATTTATTGACAAAACTTATCAAGTTATCCTTAAATCTGTATTAGCATTTTAAAATAGATGGATTGTAAAATGTCAAATTTGACTTTACTATTTAGTATTAAATTAAAAGTTATAATTATTATTTTAAATTATAAAAATACCCTTTATAATAATATTATTTAATGTTAGATGGGTTGTGTTATTTTACGATGACCAATTTTTTGTCCCTAATATTATTTTTAAAATTTTAAAATAAAAATTTTACATTTAATTAAATATTAAATTGTAAATTCTACAACTCCTTTAGTCATGAATTTGGTAGTAATTTGATAAATTTTATTAGTTTTAGAAAGTTTTTTAATTTTACTGTAAATTTATGCACGATTTTAATAGTAGAAATGACCAAACATGAGCATCGCATGTTGAGTTAATATGTCAACTTGATAAGTTCTATAGCCATCATATTTGCGAGTTTTTTTTATTAATAATAAAAATATACATATATAAAAATTAATTAATCAATTAATTAATTGTAAATGATGATTGTGGCCAAACATGAACAAAGCACCTCGAGTTAATATGTCCATACAACTATAAATCTCACAAAAGTAATAGGCAATTAACAAAAATTCTGCAAATGCGATCATAATAACACTACTATACTTTAAATAATTTTTTAAAAAATATGACACAATTAATTAGACAACTGTATAAAATTTCAGGGTGTTAAAATTATAAAAGTGCCTTCTACTTTTAAAATCGTGTATAAAATGCTAGTAAAATTTAAAAATTTATTGACAAAACTTATCAAGTTATCCTTAAATCTGTATTAGCATTTTAAAATAGATGGATTGTAAAATGTCAAATTTGACTTTACTATTTAGTATTAAATTAAAAGTTATAATTATTATTTTAAATTATAAAAATACCCTTTATAATAATATTATTTAATGTTAGATGGGTTGTGTTATTTTACGATGACCAATTTTTTGTCCCTAATATTATTTTTAAAATTTTAAAATAATAATTTTACATTTAATTAAATATTAAATTGTAAATTCTACAACTCCTTTAGTCATGAATTTGGTAGTAATTTGATAAATTTTATTAGTTTTAGAAAGTTTTTTAATTTTACTGTAAATTTATGCACGATTTTAATAGTAGAAATGACCAAACATGAGCACCGCATGTTGAGTTAATATGTCAATTTGGGTGGATACAATTATAAATTTCAAGAAGGTAGCTAGGGCAATTAACGAAAATTCCGTAGACGCCATCATAATATACTTATCTCCGTACGACTGTTTGGACCGAAGACGGGTTATCTGATATATACAAGCTATAGCCATCTAATGTCTATAGCTTGAAGAAATCAAAGATCATCACAAATTCGTGCAAACAAAGAGGTATTCATCTAATTTCTGTGTGTATCATTCCTCTGCAAGTTATTTTTTTGTATCGTCTTGGTTAGAGGTAACCCTCGAGGGAGGGAACGGTATACGCAGAAACCCTAATTTGAAAGCAAGAGCACGATCATGGCCTCCCGATAGGGTTTACAAACTGCATCCCATGATGAATATTTATTTTTACCCAATTCGTCAATTAATTGATGAAATTATATAAAAAAAAAAAGGCTCTCAATTCAATTTGTACGGTAGGTGGTGCTATTTCAATCTTTTCTATTATGTTCTTAATTCTTATGTGTGCGTATGCATATGACGACTTATGCAGTATGCTTTAATGCCTGTATTTAATTCTTTACCAAAAACCAGAATAGTTATAGAATTTGTGCTCAATGCTGCAAATAAATAGTAAAAATCTAACCTTCAACAAAAAAATAGCTCCTCCAGAGTTCCCAAACTTAACATGTGGTTGGGAATTCTTCAAGCTCTAGCAGATGGGACAAAATTTATTTTTAAAGAGAAGCTTCTTCCATCTGGAGGACAGACTCCTCTTATTCAGTGTCGGACCATCCAGAGCAGTTATATTAAATTTACTATGTTGTTCGATTATTCCTCTTGGGTAATCTATTTGTTCTAGCCGATCTTAGGACCGTGTTTATATTTATTTATATGGATTGCCATTTCAAGTACGGCTCCTATTGAACTTCTTATGTCAAACATATAGGCCATGGTTCTTTCGCATCTCATTAGAATCACTATTTGGTATCAATGTGATTATTTCAAAATTCGGGCAAATGAGTTTGGCATGTTTGGCAGAGAAAAAAGTAATTTTTATTTTTATTTTCCTAGTTGGTACTCCACACCCACCTCCAAGGAATTGTTTGCATCCAAGAGGAGTTGGATGCTTCGTGAGGCACCAGGGCCAAGTGACTTACCCACTTGACCCAACCCCTTGGGGTTAAAAAAGGCAAATTTTATTGTGTCACTAATAATTGATATTCTTCTAGCTAGAAACTTGTTTTTGTTATGGTTTTTCTTTAAGCATTCATTTGCATGAATCCAGATTCCAGATGCAATCATATATACACACGTTAAATGTTTTGAATAGAATTTGGTTTTTATTGGATGTGAATTGTTACTGTTTATTCACTTTGTTCTTTGCAGTGTAATATCTAGTTGATTTCAGTTGTTGGCTGCATGTGGTATAATTTATGGCAATACCCGAGGGAAAAGTTTCATATTCTTCACTTTCTAATATAGATAAGGAGAACAGCAAATTCCACTATATTGACGACTACAGTGATTCTGTCTGGGCCATGCCAGAAGGTCGGACTCCCTACCCCTCGGCCTCGCGAGAAGATTATACATATGATTTTCCCCTAGAATCTGAAGACTTTGTTGATGGAGAATATGATTCTGGTGAAGATCATTCTAGTTCTAGGCAGCGGAATATATCTCCAGAGGTGAACCTGAAAAATGTATTGAGTGGTTTAGTTGCAATTGTCACTGGACGTAATAAAGATTCAAGTTTAAGTGGAGGTCAGCACTTTTCCAGTTCAGATGTTTCGTTTCTTGGCTCTGCCAAGAATGGAGATACTGTCTTGCACTCTTCGGTCTACATACCAAGTGCTCCCCCACTTTTTGAACTAAATGGGATTAACTATAGTGCTTGCAAAGAAGTGTTGGAAGCTGATCCTCCAGAGTGGCTTCCAGACAGTTCCACTACAGTTTGCATGCAGTGCACTGCTCCTTTCACTGCCCTTACTCGTGGGAGACATCATTGTCGGTTTTGTGGAGGAATCTTTTGTAGGGCGTGCTCGAAGGGAAGGTGCTTGCTACCTATTAAGTTCAGGGAGAGGAATCCGCAGAGGGTGTGCGACACTTGTTATGATAGACTCGACCCATTACAAGGTGTACTTATCAATACCATCAGCAATTCTGTGCAGGCTGCAAAGCATGATGTGATGGATTGGACATGCATGAGAGGGTGGCTGAATCTTCCAGTGGGTTTGTCAATGGAACATGAGATATATAAATCATCTAATACACTGAGGAGTTACTGTCAGGTATTGTTCGCATTCTTGGTGAAGATCTCTTTTTACAAGTAATTCTTTGCGTTCCTCTGAAACAAATATCAGCTTTCTGCCTTTTCATATAATTGGACTTTCTGTGATTAAAGGATTGATGTCTAACCATCTATTTAGCATTGAAGTTGTTCGGTCTTTACCTCAAACACAAACACAAACACAATTTATATGTACACAACTGACCTGCCAGAAATGACAATTTTAAGGTTGAAAGTTTTTTGTAAGAGAGAACTTGCAGATAATTCAAAAGCTCTGTTACATGGACTCTTCAAACGTAGTGAAGTTCCCGTGTCGGAAACACATCCCTTGGACATGGGTATGGGAGTCTGGATAAAATGAAATGTATATATATTCTAAGTGCAGATTTTTTTTTGTTGAAATAAATAGGTTGCCAGGTTGAATCCTGAGAAGTCTATACCTGCAGCAGTTTTGAAAGGAGCAAAAGGTTTAGCAATTTTAACAGTTGCTAAAGCTGGGATGTTAGTTGCATACAAGATTGGCACTGGTTTGGTAGTTGCTCGAAGGTCAGATGGATCATGGTCTGCACCATCTGCTATAGTTTCTGTTGGTTTGGGATGGGGTGCGCAGGTAAACTTATAATCGGTTTAAAGATTTTGATATCCATGTAGTTTCTGTTGGTTTTATTTTTTCCTACATGAATTTTCATTTCGTCAAAGTACGGAAAATATCTGTAAGTCTGCATCCATTGTGCTCTCTTTCCATATCTTCCCTGAAGTCATACATCACTTTTAATTGCACTCACACTTTAACTGTTTTACAATATTTATGCCTTTCAAAGATGCATGGAAGAATGTCTTTATTTTGTCAATATGATGTAGGTGCTATTCTTTCCATCTGCACTTGTGCTATTCTTTCCATCTGCACTTGTGTGTTTATTCTTTGTGTCTTATTTACAGTTTGTGGGATGTTCTTTTTCAAGGATCCATGATATATCAACCTTCTATATACAATTGGTTGATTTAATCTCCATATAGATTAAATTTTTAGTACTCACTGATTGGAAGAAGTTCCATATATATGTATTGGTAACAAGTGATTATTCTATTTGCTTGAAATTCCTGGTAAAAAAAAGTGATTATTCTTCTGTTGCCCTCTTGTTGCATAGGTTGGCGGTGAGCTCATGGACTTCATAATTGTGCTCCACGATTCTAAAGCTGTGAAAACATTTTGTAGTCGCATGCATTTTTCTCTTGGGGCTGGTTGCAGTGCTGCTGCAGGACCTGTTGGGAGAGTGTTGGAAGCAGATCTTCGAGCTGGAGAGAAAGGTTCCGGCATGTGCTATACTTACAGTTGTAGCAAAGGTATTGTATCCTAGATGATACTTCTTCTGCCCTATTTCAGAACTGTAGTTTTATGAATTATTAGGATTTCTATCCTGTGATAAAATCTATTAGATTTGACCATTTAATCAAACAATGAATGTGAGCATTGTATTTATGTATGGTACCAACTGCATAGCCCCTATTTTTGGGATAAAAGATACCTATGGACATCTTCACAAGAGTTTTAATGATTTTTCGAAAATGCAACTCAACAAAGGGTATTTAGAACTATTTGAGGTCAGCTACATGCATCTTGTTTCACTATTCTATTTTATCCAAGGGGTATAACCTCAGTCAAACCTCAGTGCTATTATATTTTGCCTAGCTATCTCATTTATTTTAGTTTGGTAAAATTTTCTTTTCTATATTTTGAAGTGAATTGTTGGTAAATTGAGGATGTATTGCCAGGTAACTAAGAGGATTTACTTCCGAACAGAATCCCACTTTTCTCTCCATGCTAGAAGTGTTTCTGAAACATATATATGTGTGTGTGTGTGTTTGTATGTATATATTTGGATTATCCGTGGAGAACATAGTTTAGGATTTTTGCCTGATATATAAATACTAAGGTGTTTCGGGTAACTTAAAAGGGATTGGGTTTCTTACAGAACCCTTCCTTTTTTTTCCCAAGTTAGATGTGTTTTCGGGGAAAAAAAAATGTTTTGTAATCTGTGTAGACGGCATAGTTTAAGATATTATGCTTAACGACTTGTGTTTGTGTTGTTATAAATACTTAGGTGCATTTTTGGGAGTCTCTCTGGAAGGGAACATTGTTGCAACAAGGATGGACACTAATCTACGCTTCTATGGCGATCCTTATCTGACCACGGCGGACATCCTTATTGGGACCGTAGACAGGCCAAACGCTGCTGAGCCTTTGTATGTTGCCCTTCATGAACTGTATTCCAAACTTCAGTATTAGTTCCCTCTTCACGTCAATATGCAACACTGGTGAAGTCACTCCCTTTCTATATGAATCTCTGAATTCTCTAGATGGTGTAAATATCCCAGTTGGTACAGAATCTCAATCGTGGATTTACAATTGTACAATACATTATTCAAGGTGTTTGAAACCACATGGCTTTGCACTTGGACAACGAAGTCCATTCTTAAAGTTATTGCCCGCCAGTCTATTCTAAAATGGATTCGCCCAGTGGGACTTGCTACATGTTTATAACTTTATACATAATAGGACTTTGGTTGTGATATTTATCAATATTAATGTGTATATTTTCATTAATTTTATGACTTTTTAGTTCTGCCTCTAAAAGCGACCTTACACCCAATTATTTTTTATTGTTATTTTTTTTGTTTCCCCTCTTTATACTCCTTTATGTCATTATGTGGCTTTTTTCCATGAATTGTTGCGGGGGTGACTTTGATAAAGATTAAGGACTAAGATGACTAATGGAAATTACCTTAATGGGGTGTTTTTCTTATTATTATCATCTCTCTTTTTTTTTTCTTTTTACTTTTTTTGGATAAGTGACGCTTTTTCTTAGGCTACGTGGGAACGAAAAGAAATGATAACATTAGTTATGAGGGAAAAGAAAAAAAAGAGAAGGGAAAGGAGGATAATTTTAACCCCTTATAGTGTTTGGTTGATTAATGAAGAAAAAGAAAGGAAAAAATAATAATCATGTTTGGAAAAAGAAAAGAAAAAAAAAAATAATAAATTTTAATAAATTTATAGATTTAACCATATAATTTATATGATGGGCCACAAGGAATTTTTTTTTATTTTTTGGGCAAATTATTTCAGCCTACAAGAATCAGAAGTTCAAAACCCATATATTTCAGTTCATATATCTGTCTGCAAGAATCAGAAGTTCAAAACCCAAATCGGCATATCAGTTCATATATCTGTTTGCAAGAATCGTTCATATATCTGTTTGCAAGAATCAGAAGTTCAAAACCTATATCGGCATATCATTTCAAATTGCTCAAAATATCAAAACCCAGTTTGGGTTTGCCATTCACAAGCTTTAGCTGTTGGCCCGCTGTCTCTCAACTCTCAAGCTTGCCCCCCTCTCTCTGTAATTGCTAACTTTGTATGTATGGGTTTTGTTTTAAATTTTTTCTAAATCAACTTATCAAGGTCTCTAATTCTTGTTTTGCAAACCAAAATCAAGTTTTGTGTAAGGGTAAATTTGGTATAAAAAATAATACATCAAGTCTCTTCTTTTCTTTTCATCCATTTTTTCCTTGTTTTTAAGAAGATAAGAAAGTTACCATATAAATTTTATGTTATCCTTCCAAAATTATTCTTTTCTTTTTTTTTTCTATCCCTTCCTTGTAATCATTTTTGCCGAACATAATTTTTTAATCACCTTATCCATTGGGTCAATTTGACACAGAGAGTTGAAAGTTGATACTACGCACACATGTAACATGTAGTCTAAGCTCATAGAAGTGGACACGTGTTTAGATCAGTGTGGTTATAAGAGAGTGACGTGTGTTCCATTGTCCTCTTGTCGTATCTATGTATGTAACTGACAAATGCTAGAAAAAAACTATACTTTTATTTATTTATTTTTAATATTTTTATTTTTATTTTTGTTTTATAAGATTAAAGTCCCTCTTTTTAGGTGCCAACTCCAATAAGTAGTGTGCAGAGTCTTGTAGTCCCTCTTAATAAATGACGCATCATTCGATAAAAATCTTTGTTACGAGAATTATTTTTGTGGACTGCTCATTGCAGTGGCAGCCCGCCACTGTCCTATTTGTGATTGGTTATAAAAATAGTTATAATCAATATATTTTTGATTTTATTCTCTCTCTTCCTGTGTATTTGTATATATATATATATATATATATATATATATATTTTCAAAACCAATAATTTATTTTATGTTATCATCAATAATTATCCATCACTCATCAAATCATCTTATCTATAAAATATGACTATCTCGTGACTATTACACTTATCTCTTGTCATTACTAATAATAAAAACTGAATTATATAAATTTACTTCAACTAAAATTCAATAAGTGTGATTATCTCCATCACCACTATAGTTTTCTCTCCTACATCTTTACTAAACTATTCACTTTTATCTTTTACAAATAAACTAAACTCAATTATACAATTTTACTTCAAAAATTCAATTCTATAATTTACTTCAATTAAAATTTACAGTCTTAAAAATTCACATCTAAAGTATAAATAAATAATATTTAACATGCACACAATCCATCCACGGTTATTAAAAAAAAAAAAAAAAAATTGAAAAAAGAAAAACAATGAAAAAGGAAAGAATGAATCCATTTAAAGACAATTCCAAAAAAAAAAAAACAAGGAAAGGAAATAATGTATTGACAAAAGTTAGCTATATATAATATATATTATATATATATAGACAGGTATTGGAAGGAGAAGAGAGAATAATAGTTAACAAACAAAAAAGGGTAATTTCGTCTTACAAAATTAGATTTTAATGCTCCATAAAAATAAGATCAATGTATTAATTATAGTTGATTTTTTAACTAATTACAAGTGCGACTGCGGTGACTGCAATTAGCAGTCCTCATTATTTTAAGAAGAGTAAAGTGCAAAAAACTATGTCTAAATTTGCAAATAACCTCCAGAACTATGTTTTGTATATAAAATCTCCTAAATTATCACATTTAGTTGTGAAATGCCCCATTGTCATACCTATTTTTCATTAAATGACCATAATACTCTTTCTTATTGAATTACACTTATATATATATATTTTTGTTAAAATAAATTATGAAAAAAATTCATACTAATTTGATGAAATATTCTCATTAAATTTGCATAAGCTTGCTTTTAATTTTTTAAATAGAAAATTTTGAAACAATTTAAGTAATTTCTTAATTTTCATGAATATATTGCATTAAAAAGAAGATATTTTTTGTTTAAGTAATTTATTAATTTTTCATGAATATTGTTTGAAAAAGAAGATATTTTTTAATACTATTTTTTTTTTAAAGTGAGTATAATAAGTTTTATTATAATAAATTAATCATTTTAGAAAATGATAACTACAAATTTATTTATTTTTTCTATTTTTATAATCAATGGTATAATTAATATTTAAATAAGAAAAAAATATAATAAAAAATAATATAATAAAAAATGACAAATTTAATAACAAAGAATAAAATATTTTTTTGTGATGAATTTATCCTTAATTATAAGAAATTAATAATTTAAAGGAACAATCTTTTATTCAGAAGATTAATTCCAAAAAGTCAATAATTCAGAAAGTTTTTTTTTACACTTCATCCTTTCTGGAACGTGGGATGGTAAATAGTTAACTATGCAGCCGATACATGACAAAGACCAAAGTCTTTTACCTACAATAATAACTTATGTGACTTACAGGTGTCCCAAAAAAATAAAAAAATAAATAATAATAATGACTTACTGATGGGAAAGACTACACATATAAATTATAATATCAATTAATTTCCTATTAACCCACAAATAGGAATCTGAGATATATATATATATATATATATATATATATATATATATATATATATATATGGGGAATGTGAGATAAGGATGGAGATGAACAATACTTAAATCCTGGGATTTATAACATCGTGTAAATCAATAATAAATGGACACGTTTTATTTTAAATACCAAATTATTGATAGTAATAAAATCACAACCTTTGATTTGGTAAGTGAATATTTATCCTACCATATTTGATTTGGCAATTAAAGATTACATGTTTATTTATTATGGGTCCACATTAACAGTGAGTATGTTGTAAATTCTCACTAGTAAGGATCTAATATTAACACCTTCTATTATTTTTATGAGGTTTTAAATAGCCCATCTCAGAAGAAATTGTGTGTAAAAAATAAATCAGTTAATACTGTACCCATGACTTAAACATTATGTTGTAAATTTTCACTAGTAAGGATCTAATGTTAACCTCTTCTATTATTTTTACGGAGATTTTAATGAGCCTACCTTAGAAGAATTTGTGTGTAAAAAATAGATCAATTAATGCTACACCCATGACTTAAACATGAAACCTCAAATATAAATCCCAAGTACACTATCAAACTTAGCTACAATATTTTCGGGCTCGGGTTGGGCTTCAAGCTTCATCCATATTAACCCAAGCCTAGTCTGAATTGAATTCGGGCTCAAAATATATAGCTTAAGCCCAAACCGAAATTAGAAAAACATTGCTCAAGCTCACAAAATTTTTGACCGGGCTCGGGTTATTTCGGGTTAGGCCCACCCGAATTGCAGTCCTAATTTTAATATATAAAGGAAAAAAAAAATTGGGGCCCATAAAAAAATAAGGTGAGAAATGAGAATGGATTGAAAATTTTTGGGCCATTATTAAATATCTCTATTTGTTGAAATTTAATAATAATAAAAAATTAGGAAGTTATAATATATACAGAAATAAAAAAAATTGTAAAGAAGAGAAATGAGAATGGATTGACACAGTATTAAATCACTGTATTAGTTGAGGTTTAATAATAGTAACAAATTTAGAAAGGTAAATAATATATAAAGAAATAAAAAATTTTGAGACCTTCTTATTGAGTAGGCCTTAAACGACGGCCTAACTCGTCTAAAACTCTAGTCGACTCTAAATTATGATGAAATAGGGTGTGGGTGGCTGCAGTGAAGGTGGAGGGTGCCGTCGTCTAAGAAGACGTGAGGAGAGCTGTGGCTGTAAAACACTGATTGTTAAATTGTTGTATTATCAATCCCAAGCCAAGCAAACTGAGAAAAAAAATTAACAATAATATGTTGTAGGGGGAGATGTCACGAGTTATTTATTTGAGTTGGGGTTTGAAGTTTTTTAATTTCTTTTTCATTTGAACCTAAAGTATAGTGACTAGGTTTTTATTCTACGTGTCTAAATTATTGTACGTTTTTATAATGGTCATTGAATATCTAGCTTTAAGTGTGTTTTTTTTTTTTTGGTAATCTTTTATTATAATTATTTAGCGTTTTAAATGAAAAAAATAGAGGGTCAGTTTGGCCCATTAAATGACTTATGCAGGTTAAAATGGTAATTTTATTATATAAAAAAGAAGAAGTCAATGCCTCACCCCAAAAAGTACTACTAGTACCTATTAGGAATTTTCGTAACCCTAATTCACATAACCTTAACCCCTAAGTTTCCCATCGGGAGATGCTGTGGAAGTTTCCTTGTGAGAATAGATGACTCCCAAAATAAAATGACGACTAATCGGAAGCTGAGTCTACATTTCCAGAATTCAATAGGCCAAAAAAAAAAAAAAAACACACACAGGCGTAGGGATGGAGATGAGACGGACAACAGGATTCGCAAGCGATGACACGACGCAGAAGCCGATCACGAACACGACACAGAAGCCGAGCACGAGCACGAGCACGAGCACGAGCACGAGCACGATCCTACCCGATATAAAACCAACCATGAACTCCGTGACTCCAAAATTTCCAACAATAAACATCTTTGACGAGGATGACGATCTATCACAGTTATCTGATCACAACCGGTACTCTGATGAAGAAAGTGACCTCCAGCTCGCAATCATGGCCTCTCTCTCAACCCCAATACCCAATACCTCGATCATCGAAGACCCAATTGACGGCGACGAAGACCCCTCTCTGAAAAATAAGCTGTTTACCGAAACAGGGGAGTCTTGGAATTCTAAATCATCTTCTTCTGATAAAATTCATACTGCAACCTTTATGTGTGAAATTTGTGTTGAGCCAAAGTCATGCTATGAGGCTTTTCTCATAATGGGTTGTGCACATTCTTTCTGTTCTGATTGTGTGATCAAATATGTGGCTTCAAAGCTACAAGAAAGCATTCCGCAGATTGGATGCCCTGTTTCGCGCTGTATAGGGCTTTTGGAACCAGAGTATTGCCGAACCATTTTGCCACCGGAGCTGTTTGATAGCTGGGGAAAATCTTTCTGCGAGGCGGTCATTCCCGGATCGGAGAAATTATACTGTCCCCACACCGATTGCTCCGCGCTTTTGATTGATGATGACAGAGAAGGCGGAAGGGTTAGTAGCCAGGTACAGTGTCCCAATTGCAGCAGGTGGTTTTGTGCAGATTGTAAGGTGTCTTGGCATTGGAATATGGAATGCGCGGATTTTCAGAGAATGGACGAGGATGAGAGAGAGGAGGATGGTATTATGTTTAAGCAGCTTGCTGAGGAGAAGAGGTGGAGTCGGTGTCCTAATTGCAGATTCTATGTTGAGAAAACCCTAGGCTGTAACAATGTGTACTGCAGGTTAGTTTGTTCATCTACTCTGTTTTTTTTTTTTTCAATTTCATATACCTTTCTATAAAATTAAATTTAAAAAATAAAATAAAATATCGGTAACGATTTTTGTTTGGTGAATTTCTAATAGGAAAATGCTTCAGGAATTTTAATTTGTGATTTTATCCTGAAACAAAGAAAGGAAAAAATAGCCAAACTTATAATTATGGAATCCAAACCCTAATATAACTTAATAACTTGAATTCAACGTTTGGGAGACTCTTAATTCACTTACAAGATTTTTAATTTGAGATGTGCAAGGAAAAAATTTACTTATCAAAAAAAAAAAAAAATGTGCAAGGAAAAAATTTAAAGATTGTATAACAAATTGTATTTCTCCAACCTTTGTTATTCTATTCTTAGGCTAGTTTTTCTCTCTTAGTATTCTCTTTCCAAAAGTATAAAGATCCATAGCCCTCTACCATTGCATGTCTACATTGAAGCTATCAAAGTACCTCTACAATGCATCAGGCAATTGTCCACTAAATTTGCTTGAGGAACTTTCCGTAATCCTAAACTCTAACTATGCAAAAGAGATACAAATATAATCTTAATTTTGAAGTTATTATACTACAAATTATAGTTTCATACCAACACATAAGAATTATTTACGTATTCTTCTCTCCATGGTTAATTATATACGTGCTTCCATATATATATATATATAAGACACACACACACACCGTATTTAAGCAAAAATCTAAAATTATATGGTTGACAGCTTCCCAAAAGGAAATCTAAGACGATTCAAGAAAAAGAAAATTCTTTTCCAAACGAAAGAGTGAGGGTTTATCTCTCTGGAAAGCTAATTATGTCACGGTCTCATTTCGTGATTTCCTTTTGGCTTCCTCTATGTTCTTCACTCTCTACTGCTCCATTCATGGGCCCGGCTCCATCCATTGTAATACTACTATCTCTCACTCTCTCGTTTTCTCACTATTTTTATTATTATTATTATTATTTTTTAAAAATCTTATTGTGGATTCTTGTTGTAAAGTTGATAATTCATTAATTATTATGATTGGAAAAATTTTCGTCACCGAGTTTAATGAATGAAAAATAATATTGCTCTAGGACGGCATATACGGTCCCATATCCATGTCCATATTTCTTAGATGATAATAAACTATATCACTATCGTTTGGTGGCTCTCTAGTATTCGTTCAAATGTAATAAGCACAAATATTATTAACTAAAATTAAGTTTTAATACATATTCGTCATTTTTATTTTAAAATGAATTATCTTCATTTTCTTTTAATCCTATGACACCCACTCAAAAGAATTTCTATTTCTGGGGTTACTGGAAGGAGGAGGAGGAGGAGGAGGAGGAGGAGGATTTCACCATTCTTTCCCATTACATATCCAAGGAATTTGGGAAAAATGCATGCATAAGAACAAAATGTTGAGGAGAGTCCTTCCCCTCCTTTTTTTCTTCCACTTTGGAAAGAATGAATCCTGTAGCTCTGGAGGAAAACACCCCCCTCCTCTTCTTTCCTACCAAACAATCAAAACTCCATCCCTTTTCCTCCCTTCCCCTCCTTTCTTTCCCACTCTGTCCTCCTCCTGCCAAACAGAACATTAGTATCTAATTGAGCCCGTTGGCAAGCATGATCACAACTCTTTATCTAAGTACTAACTGTTGATATACCTGGAATGATTTTCATTGTTTATATTCATCTTTTTACCATATTTATTCATTTATTCCTCTTGTATTTGATTTTGCAGATGTGGACGGCGTTTCTGTTACGGGTGTGGAGAACACACGTGCAAGTGTAGTGTGGATGGCGATTCTGTTAGGGGTGGTCCTCATAATGCTAATGTGTAGAGAGAGAGAGTAGTGCACAATGTTTGTAGCTGTGACGCTTTGCAAACGATTGCAATTAATAATTTATCATTTTGTGTGAGAAAAATAATAAATACTTGAAATGCTTTTATTTCTCTTCTGATTGAAAGACTTAATAAATACTTGAAATGCATTTATTTCTCTTCTGATCAAAAGACTTACTTCGTGCAAATGTAATGCACGATGTTCCTGCCATCATATGATTAGTGTCGACACTTTTCTTTCGTGATCATTCAAGTATTCAAATTACAATTTCACATTACAATTTCACACAATCTAAAATGTCAGGTATATAGTACTGATAATTATCATAAGTGATATATATATATATAATTATTAAAAATATCAAGATAATTAATAAAAAAATTAATAAAGTTGAATATTTTGTTTTAATTTTGACTCCAAATATGGACGTAAACTCCATATGCATGTGTGGGAGTGCACAAAAAACATGTATATTAGAATGAGTGATTGTAAAAATAAATAATACCTATGCGGCTAACACATGACAAAGACCAAAATTACTTATGCGACTTACAGATGGGAAAGACTACAAATACACAAAAATATAATGTTAATTAATTTCTTATTAACCCACAAATAAGAGTTCGGAAAAGGTAAAATATAATAATAAGTGAGGATAATTTTGAAAGAATGAGAAAAAAAGTGTGAAAAAGTGAAGAAATAGTGGAAGTACATTGGATTGTTACATGGTTCAATTCAATCAAATAATTAGACAGAGGGATGCTTTAAATTTAATTTGTTTTTATGGAACATATCAAATAAAGGAAAAAAAAAAAAAAGAAGGAAAAAAAGGGAGGTTATAACAAATACAGGAGGCCTGCAAAATTGCTTAGGTAAAGTAAAGGATTAAAAAATTCTGAAGGATTATGGGTTGAGGTTGAAAGACAGGTTGGCAATATTGTGGAGAGTTATTTTAAAGATTTATATCGTTCAGACCAGAATACCATTTTTGACAACTTTATTCACTTCACCTCTTAATGAGAGTGGGCACCGAAGAGGAACTCAAGGAGGCATTATTTGCTATGGATCCGTTGAAGGCCCCGGTTCCAGATGGGTTTTTTTTTTTTTTTTTCCAATGTTATTGGGACATGTTTAAAGTTGATATTTTGAGAGATTTTAATGATTTTTTAAGCTCAGGTAATCTCCTAAAGTGTTTGAATCATACTATTATTGCTCTTGTCCCTAAAGTGAAAAGTCCCAACAAAAATTATGCAATTTAGGCCTATGGCTCTTTGCAATGTGGTCTACAAAATTTTCTCAAAAGCCTTGGTGAACAGGTTGAAGCCCTTGCTTGAGAAGATCATCGATGAGCATCAATCTGCTTTTGTGCCGAATAGGCTTATATTTGACAGCATTTTGATTGTGCATGAGGTTATTCCCTTCTTGAAGAATAAAAAGTGGGGAAAGGATTAATTTGTTGCTTTAAAATTGGATATTCCCAAAGCTTATGATAGATTTGAATGGAGTTATCTCCTAGCAATGATGAACCAGATGGGATTCTTAGAGGAATGGGTGCAGAGGATTAAAACATGTCTCTCTACAGTGAGTTATTCAGTGGTGTTGAATGGTCGTATTCCTCGTGGGATGATTTATCCTTACAGGGGATTGAGACAAGGGACCTCTTTATCCCCTTATCTTTTCCTCTTTATGTGCTCAGAGTCTCTCTAATATTTTGCATTTCAACTTGGCCCACAGATTTTTTTCAGGAGTACAAATTTGTCATCGAGCTCCCAAAATTTCTTATCTATTTTTTGCAGATGATTGTATGCTCTTTTGCAATAAAGATTGTGAAGAAGTTGAGAGGTTAGCTACTATTTTGAAAGATTATGAGTTATCTTTGTGGGAATCACTCATTAGACGCTGATGTGGCATGTTGACAAGTCAATACAATCCTAGCCAAATCCTCCGTGGCAATTTAAAAAGTCAAAAGCTTCGAAAGAACAAATCTCGAGCACTCTAAGCCCTGGCATCGCTCCAGGCCCTCAAGCCTCGAAAGATCAAATCTCAAGCACTCTAAGCCCTGGCATCGCTCCAGGCCCTTAAGCCTCGAAAGATCAAATCTCGAGCACGCTAAGCCCTAGAATCGCTCCAGGTCCTCAAGCCTCGAAAGATTAAATCTCGAGCACCCTAAGCCCTGGCATCTGTCCAGGCCCTTAAGCCTCGAAAGATCAAATCTCAAGCACGCTAAGCCCTGGCATCGCTCCAGGCCCTCAAGCCTCGAAAGATCTAATCTCGAGCACCTTGAGGCCTGGCATTACTTCAGGCCCATCAAGCCTCAAAAGATCAAACTTCGAGCACTCTAAGCCCTGGCATCGCTCCAGGCCCAATAAACCTCGAAAAGCTAATCCTCGAGCATCCCAAGCCCTGGCACCACACCAGGCCCATCAAGCCTTGAGAGACCGACTCTCTAATGTCTCGAACCCTGGTGTTAAGCCAGACGATGCTGTTTTGAAAGATTGGAACTCCTTAGCAAGAGATGAAGGTAGGATCTTCATGTTATAGGAATCCATATTTGGGAAACTTAGGAGGATCTTGGATTGGTGGATGAGAAGTCAAGAGGTGCCTTCGCTCTCGACAAGGCCCAATTAACAAGATGATGGGATTATGCACGTCGTGATAGCAAACCGCCAAAGGTGATAGCTTTTTGCGCACTTGTTACAAAAGGGAATTTATTGGCCTACTATGGAGCGCGATGTCAAGTCTCATGTATCAAAATGCCGACCTTGTCAATATTATCATCATCAGATCCATACGCCGGCTACACCCCTCCATCCTATAGAAGTCCCTTGGCCATTTCACATATGGGGGCTAGATCTTATTGGGCTTATCCATCCACCGGTGCGAGGTCATATGTGGATTCTCGTTGCAACAGAGTACTTCACTAAATGGATTGAGGCGGTCCCCCTCAAGCACGCCACTTGTGGGGCCATCGCGGCTTTCATACAAGAGAATATCATTTGCCGTTTCGGAATCCCTCAATACCTTTTCACTGACAATGGTACTCCTTTCGTTAATTATAAAGTCAAGTGATTGCTCAGGCGGTACAATGTCCAGCCTAAGCGTTTCTCGCCATATTACCTGCAGGGTAATGGCCAAGCAGAGGCTTTAAACAAGAATCTCATTCGAATCTTAACTCGAACGCTCGAAGAAAAGCCTAGAACATGGGTAGAGCAATTGCCTCTAGCACTCTGGGCTTATCGCACTTCCGCTAAACGCTCTATCGGTCAAACTCCATTCTTTCTTATCTACGGAACAAAGGCTGTTTTGCTCATTGATATTGTAGTCCCTACAGCGCAGCTCGCTTCGCGAAGCAGGATTCCCATGTCTCGAGATAATGAGTTGGAAGCCCTCGATGAGCAGCGCGAGGTAGCCCTGTAGCACCTTCAGCTGTACCAGCACAACATAGCGCGAGCATATAACAAGCATGTCCAGCCTTGACAGTTCGAACCAAGCCAGATCGTTCTTAAAGCTACTCCACACATTATGCGTGGCCTCTCAGCTCCCAAGTTCTCACCTAATTGGGAGGGCCCCTATATCGTCAAGACATCTAGCGATAGTGGTTATTGCACACTCGAGGGCTCTGATCATAGCCCCATTAATAATATCTGGCTAAAGCCTTACTTTTGTTAAACTTCGCTTTCCTGAATGAAAATTACTGGTTTTATTCAGTTTGGTGCATGACTTGAGTTCTTAAAAAAAAAAGAAAAAAACAACAATAACAACAAGAGTGGGATAATCACAAACTTTTCTCATTCAAGGTTGTTCGATTATAATTGTGGAGTCTTTGACTCATGTTTACATCAATAATCAAAGAGCAACCTATAAGTCTAATCCATATATGATGACAGCAGCGAGTAATCATCATCGAGCTCCCGCGAGTACGCTGTCAATACTGCCAAGCTTTTTCGCTCTTGTGGGAGCTCCCCCTCCAATTTGTCAATCCGAGCTCGTACTTCTTGAAGGCGTGGTGCGAGCAGTCGCTGCTACAAACACTTCTCAGCCACATATAACCATTTTTACAGCCACAAAACTGGAACTTCGAGCCTTTGAACATCATCCAATAGGAGTGTAGCCTCCTTGATAAGGTTTTCATTGGTCGCGCCCTGCTCGATTTCTGCAAAAACCTCTAAAATTTTGCCAAGGCATAGGTACATTGATTGCCGCACATGTGCATAGCGCGATGATAAAAATTGTGAAACCTCGGGATGATGTGCAATGGCTGCTTCTAGGAGTCGCACATAGGCACGAAGGAATGGCATGCCCATCCACTCCGCTTCTGCACCAGCAGCTTGTGTCCCCGCGCCACTCACAGCAAGTTACTCAGCCCCCAAGGTTGGCTCGCTAAGGGGTGATGAGTCCGCTCTGCCTGCGCTAATTGTTCACCTATGGAGCCTGCTGTGGTTTGCTCGACTGTGGGAACTGCGGACTGCCTGGCTGGGGTAGCCGTAACATTCACCACAGTGGTCTCCGCTTGTGGTGCAGGGAAGATTGGTGAAGGGTGCAACTCCGTTAAAGGAGAAGATTGAACCCTCTCCTCTTGCAACGTCTCCTCGTTCACAAGAGAAGCCTGTTATACCTCCTGTGTCTCTAAAGGCGAGGCTTGGGGGTCTCGATCGGGGGCCTCACCTCTTTTGGAAGAGGCGTGCCCTCCCATATGCTCGTCTCTAGGTTGTGAGGGCTTTTGTACTTCCATGGGCGAGCACGACATTGTGTCTATACTATCTCGCAGGGGCACCTTTACATCTTCGCCCCTAAGTGACTAAGCTGCAGGATCGCCCGAACGATTTGTCACCTCAGGGTTTGGGGATTCTGACCCATTCTCAGCCCTCATTTGGGCGTTGTCTCGAGACATATCTTCCCTTTCTCGGGGAAGAACTGTGGCCTCAGCAATGTCAGCACTCGCTCGAGGTGGCACTGTAGCACTTACATATTCTCACATCATCTTTGCCACCTCAGCGGTATATGTGGGCACAGGTATGTCTCGAATGGTGACGAGAGACGAGACATCCAGCGCTAGCTCTTCCATTTCTTCCTCTCTCACCCTCGCTGAAGTGTCCTCCTGACCATAACAATATAGGGCACTCTCATCTAAGGCTTACATAAAGTTAAAAGTAG